TAAGCTCGCCCGGCTATATGTGTCCATAAAGTTTTTTTAGCACTAGCGTGAGAGCATTCACCAACTATTCTTTTTTCAGAGCTCCAACTTAGTTCAGCTGTCCTCCAGACAATCAGTGTAGCAAGCCTCATCACCATGGTGACCAACAATATGGAGGAGACTATGTAGAGGCAGACCAGTCAGGCATGCTGTTATACGAGTAGAAAAAAGAATAACAAATAGAACAAAAAGCAAACAGGATCTTAACCCAATTTTATTCCTGAACATGATAAAAACAAAAACAAAAATTTTTGGAGAGGGAATTCATTTTACAGTAGGACGTCTATTTACAACTATTGTAGTCTCCTCCTGCTGGCCATTAGAAATAATGCAGGTTTAAGGCACTTGTACAGTGGCTGGGAGGTGTCAGGGGAATGCATTTACAAAAACACTTTGCAAACTCCACAACACGAATGCAAAAGAGTCACAACACAAATGCAAACAGGCCGCAACGGAAGTTGAAGCCCCTAGGATCTGTTAGATGTTTCCGACAGACCGTTATTATAGACGGACAAATGAACGTGTTTCTAATTAAAAGTTATCTTTTTAAAATTATAAATGTTTTCCAATGTTCTTATATTTTCATAGTATGTGACACAACTTCCGCTGCGGCTCCTTTGCATTCGTGTTGCGGAGTTTGTGAGGCGTTTTTGTGAATGCATTCGCCTGACACCTCCCAGCCACCGTACACTTAGCTTCAGTTTTGAAACCAAGAGACTATGTCCAATTTTTATGGCAGCAGTATATGAAATGCAGGTTTTTGAGTGGTATATTTAGGATTTTTGCTTTTCCTTTCTGTAAAATTAAGCAAAACTGATCCGAAACGTTGTCAGATAAAAAAGCAGATATCAAGAAGTTCAGTTTTATTTATTTAATTTGGACCCAAACACTGCAGTATGGTCTCTGTCACATCCTGTTAGTGTGTTATATGTTTTTGATACATAAAAACAAAGTGATGAGGCTTGAAACTTTGCTGTTGTCTTTTATAGGAAAGATATGACACATGCTCACTTACACTCACACACACACACACACACACACACACACACACACACACACACACACACACACACACACACACAATAGTGTAGTTCAGACACAGGACAATAATAAGGAAGGATAGTGAAGCTGTTCCAGATGGATCATCATCAGGATAAACATTATCCTTTACTTTGACAAAAAGCTTTTGGATCCAAACATCCCAGTGCATGATTTAATTAAAACGTGCTTTGGAAACTTTAGAGGAGAACGAGGTTTTCCCACATTCACTGACTCCACTGAGATTTAGAGTTTGTTCCGTTTTCAAAAAAGCAATTCTACTTTTTATCTCGATGGAATTATGTTCAAAGAAGTCGGGATTTTTGAACATTGGCTCAACCAAAGAGTTGAACCAAAGGTATAAAAGGCATTTCAACTCCATGTTCTGGACTCAATAACTGATTGTTTAGTAGATTTATTAACTTGATGATCTGTGAGTAAACACTGTCATATGAGTTTGGGTAATCTCAGCCATCCGTCACATGTTGATGCTCTGGTACTACTACTGAATAGATCTATGAATAGAGGGAAACCTGCAGCTGCAGTGAATTAGGTCAAACTATTTTAGTTACACCATTGACATGATTTTGACTGGAGGTTTTTGTGTTAATAGATGTAAAGAACAAGGGTTTGGAGTTGAAGTGCAAGTAGAGGAATTAATCATTTCTAACAGCCAATGATGTGTCATAAACAATATAATACTTGATATGAAAGAAATTAATGAACAGACATGATAACTGCTCAGAAAACACATCTTTAAATACACATTCATACTTCACCATGCTTTTGTGAAGCAGATTTTTACAGTTTAAATTAATAGCTGCACAAAACACATCTCAGCCAGTTTTCCCCCATTTCTCCTCAGATTAGGACTTTTTCAAAGCCAGGAGGACACTGTGGGACAGTTTATGTTTTATCTCTGAGCTCCAACAGTAGAGGGGGGTCCCTGTCCAATGGAGAACAACAATTAGCTAATCACATTTACTCCTGCACAAAAGCCCCAGCTGTATAAATGTGCTGCACGACCCAAAGAAAGCAAATACACAACATTAAGGGGACATCTGCGGAAAGAGGGTTTTGGAAAATCCTCTTTTGGCACCCTGTAAATACATCCACATCTCTCAGTTCCCTGAACGTGCTGCAGAGTCCTCGCTCACAGGAGAATCTAGGTTAGCATGCTGCTTTCATAAAGACCTGTGTGCGTCAGTAAATTGGAAAGAGTCTGGCTCCAGGGACAGCTTCATTCATGCAGCTTCTTCAGGGCCTGTAGGTGGAAGACTTTACATATCTGACATCTGTATCAGTTTGTACATAATATCTGTTTCACCGTTAGAGGGGAAACATTTGAATATGACATCCAGCCAGGCCCGGCAGGAATGATAGAGCGGATGCCAATATATCTATCATGATTTATTCTGAGTATTAGGATAGAGAGAATTTCTGAGAATTGGATATTAACATGCATGAAAGCTGTCTCAGACCTTGACACAAGATGCCAAGCAGTGCTTGTTGTTGCTATGGAAATTTGGTTCAGGAATAGCCTGAAGGTTGATACATTTTTGAAATACAGCAAAAAAAAAGGACTGATATCTCATAAGTACTTCTAACCTGATTTAATGCATTACTTTAACTTATCTCTGAAAGCGTTATGAGGCAGCACACATCTTTGCATATTGCAGATGCAGAACTGTAACTACGAGCCTGACACCCTAAATCCCCTTCATTGGGCTGACGAGATCTGCCTCCATCCCAGGATCTTTTTCATTATGAATTCTCTGGGTTTTTTAAAAAACCCTCTTCTATTTTTATCTAGTATGTTCACTGTTGCTAGGAGTGGGGCAGTGTCAGACATGTATTCAGGAGAAGCACCCCCTTGTTTAATAATGCATAAGTACGTTGCATGCGCCACAAAGGAAATCTCCTGCCCCCCCCCCCCCCACACCCACCCACCCCCTTCCTCACCACCCCCCCAGCCTTTCTGATTGTCTCTCTGCTGCCATTTGTTTACACTGAACATTCTTATACAGCAGATCTGAGCTGCTGCCCAGAAGAATTGATTTACAGTGAGATTTATTGGGCAGAGCTTTCCTGCTTTGTTATGACAGACTCCGGGGGGTGAGAAGGAGTGTGGAGTCAAACAAAACTCGGCGCTCACATTACAGAAGACCGAAAAACAAAACTTATGAACTTTCCAAATTGTTCCATCCACTGTGGCCCCGCCCTGGAGAAAAAAGAAAGAAACCAAGACTGCCCCCCCAGTGCACTATAACCTTATTCTTGGATAGCTGATCAGACGAGGCAGGATCGAAGAGCAGAAATAATGTCTCCTCCGTTTCAGTCTTGCTCTAAACAGCTTCATTCTCTTCTATTTAGATTTCTATTTAGTCATGCTATGCTGCCGCTCTAACCTATGCTGGCCTCACACACAGAGCAGAAGGCTCTCATTTCAGCTCTGGCAAAATGAGTGTCGATGAGCTCATCCTCGTGAAGGAGCTGGACACGGTGGGCGATGCGCTCTAAGGCTTATTAGAGCTGGGAGGGGGCAGTGCACCCAGGGCCAGGGGAAACAGATGCTGCATGAAGATGAGCATCCAGGGAGTTTTGTATTGGCTGAGCCGATCCAAATCTTTGGTGTTCTGGCGCTAGCAGATCTCCTCCTGTCATTACCATTTACTATCTGGAAGCATGGGCTCAGTGGAAGCGGTGGTGATCTAGTTAGTTGATTATCTGGAACAAATGAAAGAGCCACCTTGTCTGCAACGCATTCAAACAACATGGCATAATGGAAATCAACACCACTCCCTTTGAGGAGAACAGAGGAAGACAAACACAAGAAACATTTTCCTCAGTAGGAAGCAGTGGACTGGAACTGGATATGCATATAACACATCTAGAATTAGACATCCCACTGTGGGAAAGTGGAAACAGACTTTCTGCTTTGCAAAAGGAATTCGGCAACAAAAGAGCAAGACTAAAAAAGTGTGATAGAGACATTGACAGCAAAGAACAGTTCTGCAGCAGCAGCAGCAGCAGGAGGAGGAGGAGGAACAGGAGGAGGAAGAGGAGGAGGAGGAGGAGTTGGGGCGTCCATGACAGAGAATCAAGTGAATTACTGATTGCAGAAAGCTCTAATAGCCCCAGACTGGCCACACTCCATTACAGTCATTTCATACAGCAGCTTTTATTACCTCCTCCCATTACACACACACACACACACACACACACACACACACACACACACACACACACACACACACACACACACACACACACACACACACACACAGACTCTTAACATTCCCAGTACCACCACAATGCATCTCACAGCCTACACTGCACAACTACCTGCAGGATCTCAGCTAAAGATGGGAATCTTTATAACCAAGTGCACTATTCCTTCATAAAAAAAAAAAAAAAACATCATCGTCATACAGAGTGCACACACACATACAGTAAATACTCACACGCCCACCCCAGCTATCACCACAGCGCTCTCCTCTCTCTGAAGCACTGCTTTGCATCTTACAGCAGGGCCCTTTTCTCACCGAGCAGCCCGCAAGACAGCAGGGGGACTGTGTGCACTCTCCCATCAGGCCATGCGTGAGGAGCTGGTGTGTGTGCATGCTCTGGTTCAGGGCTTAGGTGAGATTAGGGTAAACAAGCAGCACATTGTCACCCCTTGCCCCCCACCCCCCCTTCCAACTCTGACCCTGCCTCGCTCAGGTAAGACCCAGGGGTTGCGGAGACAAAAAGTATTCTTGTCCACAAAGTGACAGGGATGTAGAGACTGCAAGTCCAGTTTAGAGTAGACCTGGTTAAGTGCTTTTTTGATATGAAAAAAAAACACATCATATGTTTGCATAATGCTTAAAGGGGAAAAAAAGTGGTCAATGTAAAGAGGTCCAGACTCTCACTGCTCTCACCTGAGTTCTCCTCCACCTCCCTCTCATCTGTGCACACCCCCTGGCCATGCATTAATGAGTGAAGTGGCCTCTCCACGCCACGCGGCGGGTAGCAGCGGAGGCCCGTTCCACACCGGGGGAGTAGACGCCGCAGTGAGCGCCTTTGGGCAAGGCACAGGTAGGGCAGCAGCCGCAGCCGGGCTCCCGCACCGTCTCCTCGCAGCCCTCCAGCAGACGACACGCAGCCAACCTCTCATCAGAACACATCGGGCAGCGGATGGCCGTGTCCGACAAGCACAGCGCCACCAGTGACAGGGCGCCTAACGTCCACAGGCCCCAGTAGGACGGGGCAACTGCCACGCCACGTCCTCGAACCATGGCAGCACCCGGCACCTGCACGCAATCCTTTTGCCCTGGGTGTGTGATCCCCTCTGCTTCCCCTCTCCTCTGAGTGTGGTGCGGCTTATGATTTACTTTTTACTTCAAAAGCTCAATTAAGACCAACATAGGAGGCTACAGAGGGAAGCTCTGTCCAGGATGGTTTTTTGATATTTTCAGCTGGTTTCTGTTTCAACTGCAGGGGACACAATGCCTCTGCTGTATTTCCTCTCCGTTCCTCTGATTCAATTTCACAGAGCAGAAATTGGAGCTTGCTTTTGTTCTCGCCTGACGAGTGTAGTGGTGATAAGAGGTATTTTTTTGTAATGTTAGAAGGAGCACTTGCCGGCAGGATTATCCACCACTTTTGTTTAGGTGAGTCTTGGTGTCCCTTTGAGTCCAGAGGCTTGTCCGCCCTTTAAATGAAGCACAGAGAAAAGAATCTGGTCTACAAGTGTCCAAATGCAAAGTAGATAACCAATAGGAAGCGTTTTTTAAGTCAAAGCTGCAGTTTCCTCCTCTTTTCTGGTGTGCAGTGCAAAGGACTCGCTCCTGAGAAATGGCTCAACACGAGTAGCTCTCTTTGGACTTTATACTGGTCCATGGACACGCCTCTTTCTACAGTGAGAGAGGAGCTGAAAGGCACAGCGGAGAAAAGCCAGGCTAAAGCTCTCCCCCTCTGTCTCCCTCTGTAGCTCTCTCTAAGGTTTATATCCACTCTGCCTCTCTTGTCCTCTTTCAATCCTGAGTGCATGGAGAGATAAAGCAGCTGAATTACCCTCTCACTAGTTCACACACAGAATACACTTTGTTTCTCTCCCAACCATTTCTCTTATTATTTACTATAGTTGTACATGTATGACTTGTTGTGAGTTGATGAAACACTCCGCTTGATATCAAAAAACTAAGAAACAAAAGGACACTTAAACTTTAATCCTCCCAACACAATCCTGTGTGCACCACTGGAGAGAAAAAAAACAGCCCAACAACATCCTGTCTGCACCCTCTGTGTCTGTGTGTGATTTTGCATATTTGTGCGTCCAGTGGCCGGTCTGTCCCCTCAGATCTTGTTCTTTTATTCACTCCTTAAGAGTGGCCAGCTATAAAAGGCAAACAGACCCCCACCCTTTCACACCCTGCCCCCAAAGGTCCCAAATGTGCTCTCACCAGGCCATCACAAGGCTTTTGCATGTGTGTGTTTCATTGTACATGTGTGTGTTTCTGATCATGACAGAGTCTGTAAATCAGCATGTTACTTTGTTCTCGTTTGCCTGAGTGTGTGCAGTTATGCCCCACACCCAGCCTTTAAGGTTCTGAATCATGGCTTTTATTGGTCGATGTCTCTCTTTTTTTTTTCTGTTTTCCTTCATTTTACCATGGAAACCCAGCATGTATTGTAATGCCTTTGTGTGTGTGCTTTCGTTCTGATTTTTTTTTCCTCCAGTTGGTAGCTGGTTGCCACAGGCGGGCCAGGAGTAGCAGACTAGCCTTACAAGGCCGTGCCCCACTCAGGTGGTGGTGGCTGCTGCTGTTGTGTGTGCTGTAAGTAATTGGCACCTCATCCAAATCTGCTTTGTAAGAAATATTTAGAAATGAGTCAAGATGATAATGGCATTGCAGTGACATAGAAACTTTCTGTAGTTCAAGTCAAATATTTGAATGGAAGCATACCGGTAATTAAAAAAAGCTTTAGTACGATGACTGACTGACCCACAATGTTCTAAAACAGTGGGTGACCAGCTCACTGGTTCTGCTCATACGAGGGCCAGAAGCTTCATTATGTGTCATTTATGAGGTGTTTGACTCTGCTCTGTGTGTGTGTGTGTGTGTGTGTGTGTGTGTGTGTGTGTGTGTGTGTGTGTGTGTGTGTGTGTGTGTGTGTACTGTGAAGATTGGCAACAACCCCCCTCCCCTCTATACCATTGGGCTTTCTGTTTTTTGTGTGTGTCTATAGTTGAACACACATTGAAATTCTTCATCAATAGGAAAAAAACAAACAGTTTCAGGACATTTCTGTCGGTTTATGTCCCATTTTATTCCAAAGCAAAAAAGATACAGAGTTAAGACATGTGGGGATGTTCCCAGTCAAGTAGGTGTTTTGAGTATGGCTAGTTTGACTCACCCATACATGTTGCACGTTGTTTAACTGAATATATCACAACTACAGTTATTCCACGATGACACTTGTAAGGATTTTGTTTTAATGGTTTACCAACCATGGAGTATGAAAGTCAAATGGGGGGTGGTGCTTTCTCTTGCACTCTTTAACATGTACATGAATGATCTATTTCTACAACTGAATGGTTGCAACACTGGTTGTGTGTTGGGTTACAACATAATCAATCTTCTTTTTGTTTCAGCATCTGCTGAATATTAAATGGCTGGCAGTGATTAAGAAGGATTTACAGCCACTGAGGTCGACCAAACAAAATCACAGCATGCTGATAATAAGGCAAGAGGCTTCAGAGCAGATCTCTGCAGAGCACCTCAAGTTTGCTCGCCCAAAGGTTGCAGTTGTTTTCGCTATTTGTTTTACTGGTCTAACGACTCCCAGTCTGCTGCCAGACTCTATGTTATCTGTTACTTTAGTGCCTGTCATCAAGGACAAAGCTGGCAAATTACCGGCCTATTGCACTAACCAGTGTGGTATCTAAGGTCCCGGAGAGGATTCTTTTAGATCGGTTATCTGAATTTACTGGTGCCATAGATAATCAGTTTGTCTTTAAAGCTAAGCATGGTACTAAGCTTTGTATTTATGCCTTGAAAGAAGCTGTTGAGGAAGGCAGGAAACAGTCATCTGTCCTTATATAAAGTGTTAATATCTTAAAGCCTTTCATCCTGTGAACCATCACACAGTTGTTTATGAATCCAAGTGAAAAAGGGGTGTCTGATTATATTGTAAGGATTTTGTCTTAATGGTTTACCAACCATGGAGTATGAAAGTCAAATGGGGGTGGTGCTTTCTCCTGCACTTTTTAACATGTACATGAATGATCTATTTCTACAACTGAATGGTTGCAACACTGGTTGTGTGTTGGGTAACAACATTATCAATCTTCTTTTTGTTTCAGCATCTGCTGAATATTAGCTCTGACTATGGGGTAACATATGACGTACAATACAATTCTTAAAAATAGTGCTGTGTTGATGTGCAGGACAGAAAGGGGACGAGGATTTTTGCCTGTCAGGGCAGGTGCTTAGTGTCAGTCGCAAACAAAAATATATAGGGCACTTCAGTACAGATCAAATGTCTGATGATGATGCCAAATATTATATACTCAAGCAGATATGTTGGCAAGAAAATTCTCTGTTGGAGGATTGTGCTCATGTTTAGATAAATCTCTTTTAACTCATTATTATACTGCCCCCCTGTGGGCCAAGTATGAAAAGGCAAGCTTACTAAAGCTTTTAGCTGCTTATAATGACATGATTACACTTTTAAAGAAACACTTTGATTGCCTAGTGCAAGAGAACAGTTTTTAAAATAAGGTCTCAACATTTTCCACTGTTTGTTTATTGAAGGATTCTCAGAACTCCATTATAATGCTGCTGACTCAGCCAAAGTTCTGTGCGATACCACTCATCCCTGTTGAGACACTGGTATGAATGTCTTTTATTGGGCGGCTGTGGCTCAGTTGGTAGAGTTGTCACCTCTCCCGCTGCTTCAGTGGCGGTGTATGAATGGGATTAGTTACTACTAATGGATGATACTACATAGTAATCATCACTACCATCAGTGTGTGAAAGGGTGTGAATGTGTAGGTGTGACATGCAGTGTAAAAGCGCTTTGAGCAGTCGTAAGACTAGAAAAGCGCTATATAAGCTCAAGTCCATTTAGCATTTATTATATTGGTGGTATTTTCTTTGTTTTTACCTTGTTCTTAATCTTGTTGTTTTTTTATTTGTTTTTTTTTATTGACTCCTGAGTCTGTCAATAAAGATGAGGATGTGATGATAAAGCTTAATTGGCAATATCAACAAAATATTATGAGTAATACTGCTAGTACTTAAAAGACCAGAGGCAGATGATGCAGAAGAACTTGAGAGACAGGAAAGCACAAAAACCTCTGAAAAGATACAGTGGTATGGTTCTCTAAAATCCAGGATGTGCTCAGGTTTGCTGAAGTATCCTTGTTATGTATCGTGCATTTAAACATCATATCCTGGTTTGGACAGCACTGGATAAGAACTTACCTGGTTTAGAGAATCCTGCATATTAACTACTCTTATAGAAACAGGACTATGCTTTTTTTCATGCTCCATGTACACATCACTTTTAAAACGGTATCAACACCAGAATATGGCCTCAAACTGGATACAATGACAAAAAAATAAACAAGTAACACACCTTGATGAAAGAGCTTAAATGTATTGAAAGAGCTTCAGAAGAAATACTTGGAGGTGGTTTGGTACACTTGTTTTTATTGAATTTGGAGAAAGAAAGAGTAGGAATGAAAATATCTTTCTTATTTGGCCACAAGATGGAGTACTATATCCTTAAATGGTAACAACAATCACGTGGACTGCTTGATATCAAAACATTTACAGTCCTATGTTTTTCTCATGGTGTTAGAGACTCTACATGTTTGCATTTATCAAAGGAATGTAAAATATTCTGATCATGAAACCAGTAAGGAGGAGCGTTCCAATTCACCGGTGCTGCTGTGATGTGTGAGCATGCTCGTGCCTTTTGATGCTCCACCTCGTTCAAAATGAGTTCCTGTTTCTTTAAGGGATCTCTCCAAGTGACGTTGCTTTTATTCCATATTCAGAGAAAGTCCTGTGGCACAGCGTGGAATCTCCTACTGCGAGAGAGCGGTGCTGAGCAGAGAGCAGAGGTAAGAACGTTTCATCTTACTATCATAAACTTCATACCATCAGACACATCATGAACTTCATCTTCAACAGAAAATGAAACTCAAAAGTATGTTAGTATTTATTAGTTGTAACTTTTAGCCTTTGTGCTCCTGAGCTTCAGCTTGTTTTCACCTTTTCTCCTCTCTGAATGAGATTCTTAAAATGAGGACTAGTAACTGAACAGTGATGAATTACTTGCATTTCAAACAATTACTAAAAGTGTATATATTTCAAGCTTTTTAATCAACTAAAAATCATAATATGAAAGGCTTTTAAAACAGCTTTTAATACAGCTAGATGTTTTATCTTCTAATTAATTTAGAAAATATAACTAAAAGTGTTGGAGTGTCTCGCTGGCTGTTGGAGTGGAAAGCACATACACACTTGCTCCTATGTCGCGACCAGGCAGGAAGTACATGTGCAGTGAACATCATCTTCTTTCTCGTCAGGCTAAATGTAGTGACGGGGGACGAGCAATCAACCGTGGGCTTTTACCCCACACTCGTTGGGTTTTTTTTTTAGGTGAACTTGTCATGCTGTCCAACCAGCAGGAACAGTGAGTTGCAAGTGTTGCAAGTCTTTCAAGAAATGTCACATTAATACACAATGCAGCAAACATGTCATTAGTGACAGTAGTGAAAAAGGTTGATGCAGCACAATACAAGACTTTTCCAAGTAGTATACATGTCAAAAGAAGGAATCTGTCTTCACGTGGGTTATCTCATTGAAACTACTTCTTGCCGTCTCACCACAGAACGTTTCTTTCATCATGAGCACAGACAAACATACTGATTTCACTGCCCAAGAGGGAGACACGATGGGTGAGTATTTTATTCCCTTGTCTCTGTTGTTAATGCAGAACCACCGCATTAGAGTATAAAAGCCATAAGTTTTATTATTTTTGTCTTTCAAAATCAATATTTAATTATCTTTTTTCTCTTTGTTCCTTTTCTTTGGATTTTTATTTATTTTTATTTCATGTTGTACGTATTCTTGTATGTTTAAAAAAATAGATAGAAAAATGTGCCAGGATGAACAAAATGTGTGATGAAATATGACAGCTTGTAATGTAGTGAAACAGCCTGCAATAAAGTAATAAAAAAAAGCCATAAATTGTCTCTGCAACTGGATTTTTAACATTCCCATATTTTTGAAGTATATTTGCAGAGAAGTGTAGTACACATGTTTTAAAGTGTTAATTAATGAAACAAAAAGTAACACGTTTTGCATGTGTCACTTTTTCAGACACTTACAGCGAGGTTGCAGATCTGAAGCCACACAGGGAGGAGGAGGAGGAAGAAGAGAGGGAGGATAACTCGAGTAGTGAGAATGGAGTGCAGGGTGGAGAAAGTTCGACCACTTCACGTAGGTTCACTAACACACCCACACACACCAACACACCAACACACACACATGCTCCACACCTTTGATGTCTTTCCATTTTACTTCTGTGTGTAGCCATTAACGCACGTTTATTCCCTTTGTGGCCGCCGCAGACAGTGTGAAGTTTGGGGGGGGAAAGTATGCAGAACATTGCAGCAAACCCTGAGATATGTTAGTAGAAATGATGTTGGGAGACGATGTCAAGTCAAGCAAAGAGTTTTAGATAACCGTGTTTTTAATCTGCCCACTTTATAGTAATGTGAATATCTTTTTTGTGTTTAAGCGTTCAAATACTGATGTGATGTTTAAGTTATTTTTGGGGGGCTTTTTTTGGACAGGACAGTTAAAGAGAGACAGGAAAAGTGGGAGATGACATGCAGCAAAGGGTCGAGGTCGGATTCAAATCCATGGTCTCTGTTACAAGGACTATAGCCTCTGTACACAAGGCGCACTACATAACCACGAGGCTATAGACGCTTTTCTTAACCAATCGGAGCAAAGAGAAGTTAAAACTGAAAAAAAACTGAAAAAAAACTGAATTTCCCCTCGCGTGATTAATAAAGGATAAATTATTATTATTATTATTATTATTATTATTATTATATGTATTTTTAAAATACAGTTTTACAGGAAAATAGGTCTGAGGTACCTTTATGTATATGCTTCATTTGCACTTATCTTGATGTTTCTCACAAACTGTAGCATTAGGGTCACCCAATTCTGGTCTATTATATTTCATATGGTAATAATATGTCAATATGTAATCTTGAGTAGCTCCATTAAGATACAAAAAGTCATTTAGATAGTAGTTGTCACCAAGACAATATTATTAAAATAGTTTCACAGTGAAAAACAAACAAACACATTGTTAGTTAAAGGACATGTGCATTCAGTGGTCAAATATTTCTTAATTTCTTCATTCTCAATGTTTAGAAATGTATCTTGTTTCGCCGTCTCTGTAGCCCATACCATGACGGGAGCTAAAACTTAAAGAACACTTTCAGGCTACAGAGCTGGCTGGAGGTTACACGAGTGACAAACTCATTTGTCCTTGAAGCCGTTTGAAAGTTTGAGGAGTCAGTAAAGACCATAAATGTTAAAGCAGTCAAACCAGCATTCTAACATAAGCTGCACTGACATATGGAGACCCAAACCAGGGACAGAGAGCGGTGAAGCATGCTGTTTGAGTCTGAATCATAATAAGATAGTCTATAGTCAGTTATTAATTCTACTACAATTCTACAATTCACTTAGCAGACGCTTTTATCCAAAGCAACGTACATCAGAGAGTAAGTACAACACAAGCAAGGATCTAGAAAAAAGGGAACAATGTCAGTAAGAGCAAATGATCAGCTTTGAGTCTGATTGGACACACAGGTGCTGACAGGAAGTGACCAGAGGCAAAGCACAACATTGAGGGCAGTTCGTTGTCGTTATCAAACAAAAACCATCATATTAATACAAAAGTCAATTCAATACAAGTTAAATAAACACTCATAAACTCTGCATTGTCCTCTCACACTGACTGGAAGCATAAAAAACATTTTACACATTTCTAAACTGTGACCACCTTGTTTCACACATTGTATTTTAAGTGTTGAAATGTTCCTTTTCAGCCTTGTGGCCTTAGTCCCTCATTTGGCAAATTAAAAAAAGAGTATGGTGTCACAGACGGCGCTCCTGTTTATTTCTGACTGCCACCCATCTGCACCACTTGGTGCACATCCTAAAGCCCTGCTCTGCGTCTGATGCACAGCCTGTGGTTCACTGCTCTCAGACCCTGGACTCTATATTGGGCCACAAAGAGCGGTGCGTGTGCAAAGTTTCCATAGCACCTCTCAGCGCTTTCCACAAACAAGGCGCTGCTCTTCAGCTCATCATCATCACCGCCAAGACCACAGTGTGGTTTCTGGATGGAGCTGAGTATGCTGGGGGTTATTTCACACTTAAAAAAAGGCTGGGTGAGAGGTCCTGCTTACCAGGCCTCAGGAACTCTGCATGTCAACAGTTTATGTGATGATTTATTTACATCGGCTCTGCAGATTCTGTGTGGTGAACGAGCAAAAGAATGACAAATTGTAGAAAGAAAGTTCTGCTGGTTGATAGAAAAAAAAATGGGAGGAGATTAATAATGGATTTGGGAAATTTTATAACAACTTTGCCAGTGTCACTTTAGATGTAAAATGTTCAATTTTCAAATCTTTTTTTTGAAAAACAAAGCAGGAACTAGTTTCTATGTGAGGCTCGGGCTGCGTCTCTCTCCTGCCCTGGTTCTAGTTTATGTGCATTCAGAGGAAATGCCTTCCCCTTATCTTGAGCACACATCTTATGAATGTCGCACTATGTGACACTATTCAAAGGCCCAACACTTTGGAGATGTGCTTGTTCTATTATCAAACTTATCAGTTGTAGGAGGGGAGGTTGAGACAGTGTTCCACATTCAGGTTTAGTATCATCTCTGTATATGAGTACAAACATCACAAGCTGTATAGGCACATGTATCCTTGCATTATGTCTTGTCTCTATTTATCTGTGCTTTTTTATCATGTTTCAATCTTTCATCTGTGATAACATCAAATGTCTCTCCAAACACATTCTCTGCTTCCTTTTTGCTTAGGTGCAATAAAAACCGAGGCAGAGGAAATGAAAGATAACAATGATCTGTACCATGAGGCTGAAAAAGAGAGAGAAATTGTGCCGAAAGATGCGGCAGAGGGGGGCCACGAGGAGGAGATGGAAGAAGGGTTAGATGAGGAGGAGACAGGTGATGACAGAGACAGGGATGAAGAGGGAGATACCCTGAGTGAGCCAGAGGACCTCTCGCTGGTCTACTCGCACTACGATGGCGCCGCTCTGCCGGATGCCCACGCTGCAGAACCATCGGCTGAATCAGAAGACGCCTATGTGCCCGGAGCATCAGGGTCTCGCATCCAAACAACAGGCAAGCTCAACTGTGACATCTGTGGCCTGTCCTGCGTCAGCATCAACGTCCTGATGGTGCACAAGCGCAGCCACACGGGTGAGCACAGGAACACCCAACCTCAAACAGTTACACAATTTTAATCAGTGACAGCAACGGGAGATAGCGTCTTGTGTTGACTAGGTCAAGATGTCTGATCGAGTAACTAGGATTAACCACATTATACATGACGCATTAGTCCTAACCAGCGCCACAGCTACAGCAGGAAGTTGTGAAATATACTTACTTTGTTCAAATTTAAAGCACAGGCCATAACTTTGAGATTTGATTGCAGGAAGCAAATAGGTCATGCAAACAAAGAACATCTACAGCCTTAATTATGCAACTTTTGTAATAACTCACTCATGTGCATATCATTCAAATCTACTGCTTCAATAAGGACAATCAGGTTCAACCTTTTCACTGGAACCAAACACATTTAGTTAAACCTGCCAAAAAAAAGTATAGTATTTTCCTTTGTGCTTCATTTAATTATTATTAAATGTGTGCACTGACTTGGCCAAGGCCCCCACTGAAAAGCTGTTTCATTTTCATGGGTCTTGAAAGAGGTAAAATGAGGAAAAAGAACGATCTAATGATTTTTACTAAAGCCTATCAAAAGATCAAGGTAACGAGTTTGACCTCTAAATGTAGCAGTAGAGAAGCCTTTGACACACGATGATGGCTCTATTCCTTTATCGATCAGTGTGAAGAACAAAACCAGCTGTCGCTCTGAATAATAGTAAAACTTCATTTAACAATGAGAAGATTTGAGCAGCAGAATAAGGACGCCTACAGATGAAACTCATGAGGCTGCTTTTTTCAACATGGGAAGTCATATGCGCAATTCACTGTGGCATTTGTGTGGTTAGAGTCGTGAGAGCTTTATTCTTTCAGGTCTCTCAATACCAGAGTGGACGTTGTCTTGTGCAAGACAATCTTTAATAACAAAAGTAATGAATTCAAAAGAAGAAAAACAAAAGAAACACTTAACATTCACTTCATGTGACATCTGCAAAATGTTTAAGCCTAAATAAAGTAGTGTTTACAGGGAAAAAAACATAGAAGGGAGTGCTGCACTGGGTCAAAAAACAAAATAAATATAGAAAAAAACAGGTGCTCTTCAGGAACAGGGGACAAGAGTGGAATAGTTAATAAAAAAGTTTGACTGTCCTGATTAGAAGAGAAAAAGTGAAGTGTGAAACTGAAAGTTCGAGGCACTCTGATAGCATTTAAAAATCCTTTATTTAACAGATTGTCGCTGAAGTAGTGTTTGCGCTGGACGTAGAAATCCAGCAATAAACGTGTGTACTAAAGATGCTATCTAACTTTTAAAGTAGACCAGATCTCTAAAATTCTGAATCTCTGGAGGCGGCAGGAGCTCAGTCTGTTTGGACTTGGGTTGTGAACTAGAGCAGTGGTTCTCAAACTTTTTAGACTGCGTACCACCTCTGAAAATATTTAGCTCTCCAAGTATCAGATTCTGTTAATGTAGGTCTACATTAACAGAATCTGTTAATGTAGACCTACATTAAAAGACATTAACAGAATATTTGTTAATGTCTGTTAATGTAGGTCTACAGCTGCTTGCAGTTGTTTCAGTACTGAAATATAACAGAATATCGAGTGGAACTTTTCAAAACACGAGGCGTACTCCAGTTGTTGTTTATGTCTGTGAGCGCGCGAGCATAAATTGAGCAGATTAAAGTTGTTTGTTGCAAAAACTAGATTAATTTAGAGGGGAAAACACATTTGATATCAATACAACCCAATAGAAACAAGACAGATAAGAGTACGACAAAAAAAATTGTCGTTTTATGCTGAACGGTTTTGTTTTTTATATTGTGGAGATTTCTTTGCGTACCACCACAGGGAGCCCACGTACCACCCGTGGTACGCGTACCATAGTTTGAGAACCACTGAACTAGAGGACTGCCAGCTCAAGTTCCAGTTTGGACAAAGTCGCAAAATTGTCCTGTAGCTGGAGAGGTGCCGGTTCACTTCCTGAGCACCGCTGATGTGCCCTTGAGCAAGGCACTGAACCCCTAACTGCCAGGGCGCTCTTTCATGTGCAGCCCCTCACTCGGACATCTCTCAATTAGAACATGTCCAAAGGATCCTGTTTGTGTGTGTCATGTTTCTGTATTTTAGCCTGTGTGTGTTTGTAGCCACAGAGTGTAACATTGAGTTATCCCTCGAAGGATTAATGAAGGATTTCTTCTTCTTCTTCTTCTCTTAACTAGATAAGTAAAACTGTCTACATGCATAAAAGTCATACACTAAATGTACCCCTAAATATTTAGTCAGTTGAAAAGGCCACTTCACACCTACCTTGTTTAGTTCGCTTGAACCTAACTAAAACCTCAGTGCAGATCTTTTGTGCTGGTGTGAATACAAACCATTGAACAGCCGAACCAGACCCAGCCGAAGAGGTGGTCTCGGTTTCGCTTCCAAACGACCTTGGGTACAGTTCGTTTGAGATGTGAAACTGACCGGACCTCAGTCCGACCAAGTTCTAAAAATCATACGCCTTTATGGACGTAACAGGCTCCCATTGCCAGGAGCATTATAGGAAATAATTGTTTAGTAAGCAGCACAGTGTTGTTGTTTTGCTTCTGCACAAAAGGCTTGCTGTGAGCATGCCGTGGTAGGCACACATTAGAGCTCTCCTTCGCAGCCTTCCTGCAGCACGCATCATAAAACTGACCTTGTATTGTAACACGCTTTCACACACTTACATTTTTTGCGATTACCGCTTTACCCCGCCCCAGACCTTTTTGTCCAATGATTGAATGATCTTTGCACACATGTGGTTTTGTTTACAAATTCATGGCCTCTTGTGAAAAAGTGCCATGTGAAAATAAACTGCACCAAACCAAAACAGAAACATTGTATTTGGTCCAGACTAAAGGACTCTCCTGGTGTGAATACACCCTACAAACTTTTATGTAAAATGAATATGTTAAAATAGTTTAGATTTACATTTCTTTGTTTATTTTCTCCATCATATGTGTTCTGCTCAGGTGAGAGGCCGTTCCACTGCAGTCAGTGCGGATCCTCCTTCACCCAAAAGGGAAACCTGCTTCGCCACATCAAACTGCACTCCGGGGAGAAGCCTTTCAAATGCCCTATGTGCAGCTATGCCTGCCGTCGCCGAGACGCTCTTAGTGGGCACCTGCGCACCCACTCTGGTACCTGCTGCCACACACACACACATGTGAAGATGACATGCACTGATACTGAGTGCACCTGTGTACAAAATCTCTCACCTCTTTAATGTTGGTTTCTCAGTCATTCTGACTCGGAACACATGGCTTTTTCCTGGAACAGCCTCTACACTTTCATACAGATACACACATCACACAGGACAGATTACTCATTCACTCCTGTCAACGTACTCACTCTCAGTTCACATGTTTCACATGCAGAAACCCTGCATGCTGCCTAATATGCACATCATCAGTTTTGTTTGAAACCAGGAAATAATACTTATTGTAGCACAAGATGTTGTTAATGTGTCATGTGTTGAATAACTGAAATCCCTGTTTCCAGTGGAGAAGCCCTTCAAGTGTAACCACTGCAATCGGAGCTACAAGCAACGCAGCTCGCTGGAGGAACACAGAGAGAGGTGCCATGTATACATTCAGAGCAGCGGTATGAAGGCTGAGAGAGGTGAGGGGAGGGTCCAACAACGCTTTCTTCTTTTTTTAAAGATTCGTTTTTGGGCTTTTTTGTGCCTTAATTGTAGAGCTAGGACAGTGGATAGAATTGAAAATCAGGGAGAGAGAGAGTTGGGAATGACATGCGGGAAAGGAGCCACAAGCTGCCCGCTTGAAGGACTACAGTCTCCACACATGGGGCGCGCGTACTAACCACTGCGCCACCAGCGCCCCATGAACAACACTTTCTGATGCTAACTTCAACTTCACATGTCACAATAACAAACCCTTTGTGTGTCTGCAGCAGATGCATGATTAAATCTGTTATGTTCAACAGATCTGTTTTATTGCCTTGTTGAATACATGTGCTAGCAGCTGTTAGCCCGTCATACAGCTAAATAGGTTGTGGCTGCTGTGGTGTGGAGACTCAATGCTCTGAAGACCGCTCCTCATGTCTATAAGACGAAGGGGAATTACAGGGCAAATTATTTTCAGGCCAGCCACTCACACAAACGAACAGCAAACAAACAAAAGTGAATAACCTTGCCCCAAAATTCTGGAAGGACAGCTGCGCTGTTGCAACACCGAGACAATGCTCTGTGGTCACCAGATGTTGTAAGTTTATGCCAGGTTGTACCGTAGTGGTGAGGAAGCACATCCTCATTATGTGGTCTCATCTCCTGCACTGGTGGAGTACAAAGCACCAGGAAGTGAGGTCAGAGGAGCCTCTGATCTTAAATTAATAGATTTTCCCTCCCAGTGTGCCTCTACATTGGGTTGCTAGTTTTTTCTTATTTTATATCCAAATCTCAACAAGGGGACAGCGAGGTGTTTGCCCTAAACACATGAGTGGTTTTTGTACATGATGGGGTTTTAATTTCCATGACGTACTTACTCTCCGATTCTTTTGCAGAGGACAGCCAGACATCCAGGACTCAGATGGGCACTGAGCGTGCTCTGCTGCTCGACAGGCTTGCAAACAATGTGGCCAAACGGAAGAGCACGATGCCACAGAAGTTCACTGGTAAGAGCAGCTGGACTCACAACACAGATCTCAAGCGGTTTTCAGCAAAAAAAAAGATTATGATTCAGATGTTTCTGTTTAATTGCAATGTTTATCTAATGAATTGAATTGTTTAAATCTTTTAAATCCCCTTTTGTTTACTGAGCTCTTTTAAAAACAAAATTCTTTGTGCAGCCATTATATGCTTCTGTCTTTTTGAAATGCAATTTTTGCTTTTTGCTGGGTTTTTTATGCTTCACAATGCTGAATTTATGTTTGGTAGTATTTTTTTTTATTTTTTCAAATTGTCTGTCTAAGCTACTTGTTTGTCTGTCTTTTTTGTCCTCGCTTGTCTCTTCGTCTCTTGCCTAACAGGAATTGTGGGTAGAGCACCTCATGCCTCATACCTGCCCACATCAGCAAGTGGTCGACACTGTCCTATATTCTCTTCCAGAATTGTGTCATAGGTGGGTATTGGTAAATGATTATTCAAATGAGAGAAAAAGAGAAAAAGCACTTGAAACTTCTCGGTTTAATCACTCACTTTGCATGTTTTGATCCAAGCTGAGATCGTTTCCTGATTGATGAATGATTAAAGAAATCAGTTTCATAATAGGATGCCCGACATATAATACTCTCGTCTCTCTGGTTTGGCTGCACTAACATTGGGTTGTAGTTTCGTAATCAAGCTTCAAGCTCCTTGCAAAACTCAAGGGTGTCTCGGCAGAGCATCTCCGACAGCTCTATCAAGTTGACAAATAAGTGAGATCTTCGAATATGACAACCACAGGGGGGGAAAGAGAAGTAATTTCTGAAAACCGCACAGAGACAGAGAACAGGCGGGAGGCGAGAAACGTGAGCAGGTGCCTCTCCGTCTCAGCTGCAGCTGCAGAGGAGGCCTTTATCGTCTGTGTCGTCTGTTTCCTCTGCTTCCTCTGTCCTTTCATGCCTCCTAGCTGAACTGCTTTCTCTGGTTGTTCTGTTTCTTTAAAGCTTCTTTAATCCCGTCAACCTTGGAAAGTCCGACTCACTGTGCGGGTCTTCCTTTGTGTTGCCTGGGCGATGCACTTTTTCGTCACCTCTTTCACTCAAACACATGAAGTTCCCTTATCATATCTTTCTCTATCTTTGGGCAGTAACTGCTTAAACTGCTGCTCGCTTTCTTGGTATGTCTCCAGCTGCTGTTGGATGAAGGGTGTGAAACCTCTTCCTGCTGAGTTTGAGTGCTCTTTCTTCTCGTGCTGCTGGTCTAGGAGACAATGGCGTTTGTCTGGACTTGAGCTTTAAGAGGGAACTGATCCATCCCTCTGACATTAAGGACCCTCCACCAGGCTCCCCTGGGCTGGAAGCCTACCACCACCAGCAACAACCTGCTGTCCATCCAGGGCCTGACAGTGACTCGGCTCCTTCCCTCAGGCCCTACCCTATTTCAATAGGCCGCAGCGACATAACCCCCATTGGCCTCACTAACGGCCACAAGATGAGTATGTCGTTCCTGGGCCACCCTCATGCGCCACAGCCCCCCCTCAGCATCGACTCGTTCCACACAGACGGCTCCCAGATGTCCCAGCCCATCATGTACAGCTTAGGACACTTGCTGGGGGGAGGGCTAAACCACCAGAACGGCCTCCCCCACCCACACGCTCAGCCCATCCCTTTATCCCCACTGGAGGCGCTAAGGGTAGTGCGAGCCGACGGGGAGGCGGGACCTCTGCCTGGAGCGGTGTACCCCTGTGGTCACTGCAGGGTGATCTTTCTGGACTATGTCATGTTCACCATACACATGGGCTGCCACGGCTTCCGCGATCCGCTCGAGTGCAACGTGTGCGGCCACCGCAGCCGGGACCGTTACGAGTTCACTTCCCACATAGCCCGTGGGGAGCACCGCCTAGAACTGAAGTAGTTTTTCATTTAATGCTTATACACTCACATACGTATGAGCACACTCTCAGGTTTACTCATACAAGTAGCTGATAGTATCAAAAATGAAAGCATGGAGTAGCAGCCATTTCTCTTTGTGTCTGGTGTATGTGCTTGATATGAGTGAATGTGTGTAACCGAGACAAAATGAGAGAAGTTCTAGGTGTGTGAGAGGTGTCAGGGTTCTTAGTCATACTGTATTCATCTGAGAAGATAGCCTGTAAAGTGTTAATAGGAGGGGAGGAAGTGTACTTTATTTTCAAACGTACTTTTGTATTTGATGATCCCTGTTCTTTTTCCAAATCTTTAACATAGTAGCAGAAATTGTTGCATTTATTGAGTGTCTGCTCGATTTCTTTTTTCCTTTTATCTCAGTTAAATTGCAAAAAGAAAATGTGTTTTCCTACATCAAACATAAGGCAACACCTTGTGTGAGAGAGCTTCTCTAAAAAAAATAAAAAAAACTTGTCAGTTCAAGATTGCAGAAAAAAATCCCATTATCTATAAGGTCACATGCCTCTTTTTAGTTCTGTGGTTTTGAGTGCAGTTCATTGCTTCAAAAGACTTCACTTCCCTCTGCACCATCTGATGTTTTCTCTCTCCAGAATAGTTACATGTTTAACCCTTGCGCAAGTTGGAAATGGCTCACCGCTTTGCAGAGATGAACTGTTACGCACTATTACATAGGGCAGAGATGTAAATTCAGTGTAAAGTGTTTTTATGATGAAGATCAGCATCAAACCATTTGCATAAAAAAAAGCTTTGTATGAAATGAGTTTGAACGTCAGTCTACACTTCTCTTTCTGATGAAACTTGTCTTCTCATTTCAAGATTTGAAAATCCTGGCTGCTTCAAAAATGAATGTCAGTGGCTCAGAAGTCCTTTTACTCTAACATCCATCTGCTGGGGGGAAGCGTGTAACTGCATGACGGAATTAGTTTATATGTGCGTTCCTTACACAGAATCACTCCAGAGCAGGGGATCGCAAAGGTTGTCGGACTGTTGAGGGCATTTAAAAAAAGAATTAAGCTACTTATTTGGAATTGCCTGAATATTTTTAAAGTATTTATTTAAAGGGGGATAAACAGGGGCATGTGCTGATGGGTGGCCGGGGTTGGGTTATATTAGATATGATCGCTGAAGTTAGAAAGGGAAGATCATTTATATTTATTTGTGTGTTCGTGCGCACATCACACTTGAGGCCACCCCTGCATAAGTCAGTGCTCTAGGTGAGCCACCCAGTCAAAAAAAGTCTGGACACGCCCCTGGTGATAAGCATGTTGTCAATTTAGCTAATACAAGCACTTGTTTTGAAAGAACTAGGGTAAGAAAAAAAACAAACACGTTGACAAAATGTATTCCCAGAAACAAAAAACAGCTTACTCACAGTATCATCATCACAGAACCATGAACAAAACTTGTTTCATATCACATGGCTAGCTACTTGTCAATCACAAGGCCCACCATAAAGCACACCCTGCTTTTTCATCTGTTTTACTGTAATTTGGACCACAATTGACTAAATAAACATCATGCTGTATTGATTAAAATGGGAAACTATCTTTTGAGACAATGAACTCATCTGCAAAAAATTTTGCTGGGTTAAAAAATCCAGTGAGTAGTAGGGTAATTTTCTCATTTATTTGCATACAATCTGTCATGTTTTTTTGAAGAAATGGAGTAACCCCCTACTGGCCAAATGAAGGAATGCAGCTTAAGGAACTTTTACATGGGCTTTGTTTAAACACTCAGGGGACATACACTGCTATACAATCTATGACAAGAAAACTCAATGATTTTTATCAGTAGCTCCACTCTTCCCACTCGGCTCTCAACTCACCCACAGTATTCAAAAAGTTTGTCTGCCAATAAAAACTCCACTTGTGGGATTTATTCTGAGTAAGGTCAAAAATGAAGGTAAAAATGTTATTGTTGGAGTTTTAGTCATGACAAATTTTTGGAATTTTTTTCTGATTGATTAAGGGAAATTCTGGTAAATGCATAAAAATGGATTCGTAGCCTGGCAGTGCATAGAGCTGTGTGTCATAATAAATGTGGATGCACTTCACTCACATGACACTGAAGGGACTCGGTCACACCTTGTTGCCTTTCAGACCAGAAAAGGGTGTTAGCTTCATCCAGCTGCTACCACACTATCTGTGTTCTCCATCAGCGCCAGTTCCCTTTTCTCTCTCTTTGGGGTTGAAGAGAAGTGACACTTGTGAGACAAACTGTCATCACAGCTTCGTGTCCACATGTCGGAGTAAAAGCCAAGTCATCCATCTTAGAAGTAATAATTGGCCGCTTCACTTTTCTGAGTAGTGTTTTGAGGAAGAGTGCGGGTTTATCTGAACAAGTTTAAGGTTAAAAATAAAGGCGGGTTTGTTTTTTTGGTAATTGAGGGGAAACTAAAAAATGAAAGACTATTTCTAACACATAAAACATCTAAACATAAAAATGATTGTCTGGGAAAAGTGAATGGGACTTGTGATTCAAAACCCTGCTTTTGTCCAAACTATAACTGTGTTTCTGAAGTTTCATTTAAAAAAACCTGCCTGCTGTTTTTCAGACAGGAGTCACGAAGCAGGTCCATTCATACTGAGAGAGTATGGTGACATCTGCCGATGGAATAATTAGTCATCTAAACAGCCAAAAATCAAAATGACAACCATCATGATATACTTTGACGGGAACAAATACAAAACTGTGTAAATAAGTGACGTCATTGTCGATTCATAACTGTTGATGAGAAAATGCATGATTAAAGGATGTTTCAGGAATTCCCTTTGCTTTGCCCTTCAGATTTCCTTCAAGTTAGCTGGGTTTCAGTTACGCTAAATGATTTAAAAAAAAAAAAAAAACTAGATTCAAAAAAACATTTTTTTTTTATAAATGCTCTCTTATGTACAGGTCCAACATTAAATATCAATAATAAACATAAAAAAATACTAATATTTACATAAATGAAGCTGAAACAAAAAATGTTTTTTATCTGAAATCCACCTGCTTCAATCCCATATCAATCAGTTTGTGAGGAAACTAAATGTTAAAGTAACTGATGTTGTGAATGAATCACGAGATCGCTCTGACTTGAAATGTCATTTTTCAATAACAGAAATGTACGATGCTTTATTCATCGTGTCCTACTGATAATCACTCCCACTCACAATAACAGACTCACAAACATGCAACCTTCAAAACACACCTCAAACAGTGGATAAAAGAAAATCAAGTCTGTGACCACCTTTAACCTTTAACCTCTATTATTGTCTTGTGTCACTTGTGCCTTTGTATTTGTATTTTATTTGTAATTTGTAATTTATCTTTCTATGTTACCTGCCTAGGGACAACAGATGGAAACTAGCACTTCTGCTATAATCTGTCATTTTTAGAGCTGTAATTGTTACAGCTGTTCATTAATATGCACTGTCCCTAACAAATAAATAAAATAATAAAATAAATAATCCATACATACAGTTTCAAAAAAATGTCCACTAAATGAGAATGAGGTAAAATGTAAAGAAATGTAGAAACAGGTGTATAACTTAACAATGGATTTCCCCCCCCCCTCTCATTTCAGGTCTGGATGGTGAAATAGCTTGAAATTGTTGTTTTGTGTTGTAATTCTGTATAACTCCAGAAGATGGCGCTGTTTACACAAAGTTGATCAATAAGACTGAGAGCAGCCAGCGGTTTTTTTGGATGATGGATCCACGTGTTTCACGTATAATATAAAGCGGTTCATCAGAAAAAGTGACCTCCTGTGAGAGATAAATAAAGAGATAAAGATAATTAACGTAACCGTGCGTCACAAAGTGGGGGATGTAACAATAACTTGCTACCATCAGCTCTGACTTTTATTCCGACCCAGAGGAGCAGGTCTGAGCATGCGCACTGCATCGGTTCTATGGGGACGGGAGGAGGACATCACGGAAAAAACGTAGCAGCAGCAGCACCACAAACCCCACACACGCCGAGATTTCGTCTTCTCGCTGCGCTGTAACTGCGCGACGAAAAGCGGGGCTCACGACTATGCCCGGCGCGGCGTCAAAGTGCGGGGAGAGGACCACTTGACAGGCCTGGGCGGAGGTCTGAGCCTTTTTGCCGGGGAAGGGGAAATACATTTGTTTCTTATGGGAGAAGCATGCGGGAAATGGTCGGAGGTTGCTGCGTGTGTTCAGACGAGCGAGGCTGGGCTGAGAATCCGCTGGTTTACTGTGATGGACACGGCTGCAGCGTCGCCGTTCACCAAGGTAACGTTAGGCCGCTGTTAGCGTGTGATTACTGGGGCAGCTGTGGAGGCTGAGCCGGCGGCTGGAGAGGCAGCCAGCGGTGCTTTAGTGGTGGGTCGGCTGTCTACGTGCGTGTTTGTGTGTGTTGATGTGTGTGTGTGTGTGTGTGTGGGAGGGGTAGGTAGGTAGGTAGGCGTGCTGTTTGTTGTTTCCTCTCAGTCGACACACATGATTAAACACTCAGGGCCAAAGCACAGTGACATGGAGCCTGCATGGCGCCTAGATGCCACTTAGGTCTGTGTGTGTGTGTGTGTGTGTGTGTGTGTGTGTGTGTGTGTGTGTGTGTGTGTGTGTGTGTGTGTGTGTGTGTGTGTGTGTGTGTGCGTGTGCGTGTGCGTGTGTGTGTGCGCGCGCTGTCTGGCCCGGTCGGATCCACGACATACTGCAAGAGGCGTGTTTTGCGACAGGAGAGGCCCGCCGGTCTGGACACCGTGTTACCTTTTTATCGGACCAGCAAAAAGGGGCAGCTGCCCTAAAAAAAAAAAAAATCTAATTTCTGCAGCCTGGCACTGGTTGTTGGGACAAACTCTTGCAGGCTGGTTTTTATTTATGCTTGGCTGACTTAATAAATTCTGCCCTATAATCTGCACCTTAAGTTTGTGAAATACTGATGATCCTCAAAGAAGTGATGAAATTCAAGACAATATAATATGTCTATATTATGATTATAATAAAATCTGATACAGCAAGTTGAATGAAGATTTGTCATGAAACCGACCAATATAAGATTTTTGAGCACAATACAGACAGCAAATCTTCACCAACTTCAGATAAGGTGGTTGATACAGTAAATTGTTTCAACTGGAAGGAAAAAATGCATCATCTTTAAGAATTTTTGAGGGATGCTTTCTTACACAAATAACTGAATTAGAGAAGATATAATGTTAAAAGCATTTGGTAATAGACCACTGTCATCTGGCTCCTCAGTTATTTAGGTTAGACAGTGCTGAGAGTCACACCAAGTGTTGACAACATTTCTTATTCACACTAAGCTTTTTTTTTTTTTTTTTTTAAAGAAAAAAAAATATGCTGCGTGGTTTAGGAAGTTTTTTAATAAATGAAAATTGTTGAGCTTCTGTAGTTCATGGTAACAAGAGACTTCTCTTCAGACTGCTTATATTGTAAACATAGGGGCATGTGCTAGTGCTAATAAAAGAGGGAAGTTTTTTTTTTTTTAATTCAGTTGTCTTGCAGTGCTTTAGTTTCGCAGTGTCTGACCCCGACAAACCCACTGCCCACTTTAAAGTATGTCTGAAGTATCAGAACAGTTCATCTATTCCAGCATCTCAAACACGCTGATGACACTGTTTGCCAGTTTCGAAGACAGTCACCGTAACCTTTTAAACACCTCCTAAAAAAGCTGATTACATTACCAGCATGCCGTTGATTTAATTTTTGATCAGCTGTGATGTAAGAAAGTTAAAAGATGTTATTTATAGTCCATATCCCCCAGCTCCTACAGAGAATCGCTTTAAAGTCTTTATATGTGATTTTTTGATCCAGCAGATGTCGCCCTTGAGCACCATCATAAAACCAAAACAACTCGCGCTGCATTGTTGTGTTAGCATGCTAATGCTAGCGATCTTTATTCTGCTCGTATCTTCACACTGCATGTAAATTGACCTGAAATGAGCGTGATCTAGAAACACAGTTAAGCAGTGAGTACAGTATGTTATTCTTCTTTTCTCTAGTCCCTCAATTAAACAACTTTTATACACGAGGGGAGGAGTCAGCCGGCCGTCCCGGCGATGTAAACAAAGTGAAGATAGGACTCTGAAAACTCTGAAAGCGTCACAGACAGTGGGACTTGGGTGTTACACCCATTGTAGACAGTCATGACTCACAGAGTTATTTTCAGAGGATATACTTGATTTATATTATATTTAAGTGTGAAATATCACATAGAAAGCCTTTAAATTCCTATGTGTTTAAAAATAATAATCATTGTTTAAAGATAATCTGATCAAAATGACATGAGATTAGATTCTTAAACATGTAAACACAATGCATGGGGCGCCAGGTAGTTAAGGGGGTTAGTGCGCTTGCCTCATGTATAGAGGTTGTAGTCCTCCAGGCGAGCGGCCCGGGGCTCGAATCTGACCTGTGTCTGCTCTCATTTCATCCCCAACTTTGATTTACAGCTCTATTCACAGACCTATCGCTACAACACAGGCATTCAAATCCAAAAAAATTAATCTTGGAAAAACAAACACATGATGCATGATGTACATAAAATATATTACAGTAATATAAATTCTGTTGTACCTGTATTTGTTAGGGAAATTGCTAATGAACACCGTTGAAGAATAGGTGAGCTTGTGCTAATCTGTTCTGTTGTGTGTGTGTGTGTGTGTGTGTGTGTGTGTGTGTGTGTGTGTGTGTGTGTGTGTGTGTGTGTGTGTGTGTGTGTGTGTGTGTGTGTGTGTGTGTGTGTGTGTGTGTGTGTGTGTGTGTGTCTCTCTCTCTCTCTCACCCAGCATGCTATGGCATAGTCCAAGTGCCCACCGGTCCGTGGTTCTGCCGGAAGTGTGAGTCACAGGAGAGGGCGGCGCGTGTGGTGAGTATGCCAGCACACACAACACGACACAACACGTCCATCCCTTCCTGCTCCACCCGTTATATGATGGTAATAATAATAATAAAGTTTATTTATGTAGCACTTTTTGCAGACAAAGGTCACAAAGTGCTTTACATCAACAAAAAACAACAACAGCATACATACAATGAAAGAAAAAAAAATGAGTACATCCTGCTAGAACCAGGAGCAATAATTGGCACAATAAAACATTAAAACGTTAAAACACAGATGAATGCCACACTCACAACATGCTCTGCTCTCTCGCTGCCCCAGAGGTGTGAGTTGTGTCCCCACAAGGATGGTGCCCTCAAGAGGACGGACAGTGGCGGTAAATCATCTATCTGTTTGTCTTGAGTTATACAGCAAAGTGTGTGTGCTTCAGATTTCCATTCATAAGAACCTTATCTTTCTATTGATCTGCTGACGATGTCTCGGGTCAGGCTGGGCCCACGTTGTGTGTGCGCTCTACATCCCCGAGGTGCAGTTTGCCAACGTTCTCACCATGGAGCCCATCATCCTGCAGTACGTCCCACATGACAGATACATCAAGGTACTGACACACACTCTGCTGAGACACATTGAGAATTGAACAATAGAGCTGTTTTCTTCTACACACTCCTGAAAATGACATTTCAGGCAGAATGCACCTGGTCGCATGCATACAGTCGTGGTGTCACCATCCCCTCCTGTTCACTTGTAGTGAAAATGTACAAGGGGGGCTGTCCAAGTGAAAAAGGTGGCTGTTTGCGTTCTCACATTTAGCTTGCCGCAATAATTTCAAGAAATTTTTATTTTTATTATATATTATAAAGATTTTTATTGTAAAAAGTGTGAAAGCACCGTGACTGGCTTCAGTGTGGTACTTTGTCTCAAAGTTTACATGGGCGTTCAAGCTATTTTTGAGCTAGGGCCTTAATTTGACTTATTTGGGGAAATTTTATTTATTGGTTTTTTTTTTTTTTTAAAGAGGTCATATTCTGCCCTTTTTGGGGTTCATATATTTAATCTATGAACTTCTAAAGTATGTTCACAATAGCTAAAGTTTTAAAAAAGTCTTTGTTTTCATGTACTGCCGCTCCATGCACCGGCTCACTTCTGACTCTCTCTCTAAGGCTCTGAAGTGCCCACGTTCAGAGTCCCCATGTTTGCCAAGTCTGATCTGATTGGTCGGCCTGTCGGCTCTGCCGTAATTGGTCAGTCGCTCAGCCACTCTGGCTCCGAGGGGAGTAAAAACATTAGCACCTTAGCACTACTGTGCTACCACAGGCTACAGCATATCGTGGGCGTGCTACAGAAGTTAATGGGCGTGCAACATGAGCTGCAGGGCTTGCTACAACGAGCCAATGGGCTTAGATCAGTGATCTCACACTGACAAGACGTCACACTGACAGTTTTTCAAGGGGGGCTAGAACCGAGCGTTACATGCAGCTAATGCTACAGCTAACAGGAGGAGGTAGGAGAAGCTGCGTTTCCGCGGACATTTTTCACATAGATGTGCCTAAACATGCACAGGACACTTGGAAAACACACTAAAGAGCATATAAAACCAGAAAAAGCAGAATATGGGACCTTTAAAAGGATCCAAACTCTTCAAGTTATTTTTGTTAGGGTTAGAGTTTGAGTGACCTGAGGCCACCAGACTCCATCAACAAAACAGATGTCTTTACAACGCAGAACATGTTGCTGATAACTGCCTCCACTTGTTATTATTATTAATAACGGGTTAGTTATTGTTATTATCTGACTATTTTAAAAGGTTAGCCTGAATCTAATCCAACACACAAAGTTTAAAAAAAAACATACTTGTCTGAGGCAGCAATAGACCAGAAGGATGACGCGAGGTCAAAATGAGTGCTTTCACACATTCATCAAACTCCTGAAGTTTTCAGAGTCAGCCTGTGTGAGGTGTGAACAAACAGCCACATTTTTCACCACAACTTTATCATTTAGCATTTCTCCTGCCAGCACCCTGCTGCTTTGTCATGATGTCAGAGTGAGCTGATGTAACCCGTATTTAAATACGAACACCTCCACAACCTCGACAACCTTTTATCGTTCATGCAATTTTTTATTATCAATCACAAAGTGCACACACAGTTTAGTACTCTTTAGCTGGGATCTTATCGGTACCCAGAACTCATGCTGTCCCACAACCAATTTCCTGAACAACTACAATTAACCCTTTGTGGCCGTGATATCTGTAAGACATCAGTGCAGGGACTTTGTTTCAGACCACACTTTGTTTCAGTGTCAACAATCATGAGAGACATCCATCATCTGCATGACTGTTGTTTAAACAAAACATGAAATAATGCAAATACATGTGGGAAACACACAACTCTGGTTTCTTCTCTCCACCTACGCATCCCGTACAGACCCAGAGCTGAATGTGGCAAGGTCACGCCTGCTCTCTGGAGGTTGTCGAAAGTCATTCTGGGAAATGTGGGAGACTTCCAGCTAAAGCAGAAATAGATTCAGCTTGTCAAGGGAACAACAGATACTTGAATGTACTGATATGTGCTCAAGAGATTAGTTTGAAGTCACATGTCAAATATAAAAATTAAATATAGGAAGCTTATGTCTTTGAGAGGTTTTGGCCCATTGGTCAGACACTATCAATACTTAAAGATGTCCACTTAGGTTCTTGGGTATGGGCATTTTTAAAAGTTTCAGTGAAAATAAGAAATTAGACATAAAAGACCTGTGAAACAATTGGGTTTTTTGTTATTAAAGAAACATAAATAAATGTTATCCTATTGAGAAATATTTTAAAGACTTCTCTTCACGCAACATGCACTGCATTTTATAATTCATGTTTCATTTTCATTTATATCACATCAAATCAAATCACTCTAAAAATGGCTCTCATACTGATACTATTAAATCCACCAATGAGCACACACTTGGCAGCATACACAAAGAAAGTCATTTATCTAATGGGATCAAACATGGAAAATATATAAGAAAAGCATTTCTTTCACAATTATATTTCTCATGCTTTTTTTTTTCAAGATTGTCTTGAAAGGAAGTTTTTAAAGTCTGCCTCCATAACGCGCATCTGCAGTTAGTTTCATCAGGAGACGGGCCTGATAACTAGAAGACTTGACTCCAAGACTTCTTCAGGAGTCAGGACTAAAAAGGGGAGGGACTTAGCCTTTGCTCCTGGCAGAGAAGGGTTGAAGCACTGGGATGAAGTACTTGCATTGAAAGTAATAAAAGATGAGGAGTGCTGATTTTAAATTTTTCACAATGAGTACAAACCAGAGGATACTTGCTCCCGTACTTTGTTTTGGATTAGATTAAGAATGTCTCCTCTTAATCTGACAACTGTGGACTCAGGATGTGGCTGAATGCAGAAGAAAAATCAGTCATGGAAAGCGATCCTGTTTGTGGGAGAAGTGAACTACTTCTGATTTGTTGCCACTATAAAGAGCAGCAGTACCAGTACTTTTTTCTGAAAGGTCAGAGGTTTTCAACTGCTGCGATTTGAAAAACACACCGAGCAGCACTGTTGCCTTTTGGTCCAGAAAGCTTACTGACATGTTTACATGTGAAAATGTTTCATGCTGTACACTGACTGATGACATAGAAAGATAATGGGACCTCACACAGAGATCTAACTTGTAGAGAGAGACCGCCTATGGGAAACATATGTTGTGCTTTGACATTCAGAAATGAAACAAAATATCAGATTCCTTTTTCTTTCTTTGTTGTAAACCGTTTAGCCACAGACTTGTTTCGAGACATAGCTTTTTTCTTCCATCAGCTGTCGTGTATACATTTATACCTCGGATGAATCTTTGATGGATTAAGATTTATGCATTGCAGAAAAAAGATAGCAGTGTATGCAGCATGCGCCAGAGCCGCTCCTTTAAAGCAAACCACGTTACAAAGAAATCAATATTTGAAGCATGGGGCTGAGCAGCCAGTTGCAGACATGCCGTGTTTGTGTCTCTGTGCGTGCCTGCATTTAAATGTACACATGTGAGTGTTTGAGCGCCCAGTTTCATATTACTGTGTCAGCTACAGTAAATTGCATGCAGCTTCCCCCCCCCCCCGTCAGAGCCATTCATCCACATTTTGCCTGCCTGCATTCCTAGACGGCGCTACAATGGACAGTGAAAACTTGAGAAGCCACTCTTTCTTTTTGACGTGCTCGGTGCAGTGGTGGTGTCTCTGGCATTTCATTACACAGCAGACGTCCTCAAAGGGGAACAGAGGGCAGAGTAGGATGTGGGGTGTAAAGGAAAGGACAGAGGAAACGGGAGAGAAAAGGGCGAAGCAGAGAGGGTTGAAGCAAAAAGGTAGAGAGCCCGCTGTTCCTTTGTCCCGCACCTGTTGCTAGGCCTCTCCTGCCCCCCACCAGTCAGCCCCGCTCATTGGGGGGAAAAGCTGCAGAAGTACAAAAGCTCTGTCTGTGCGTCAGGGTTTGTCTGCTGGTGTGTGCTCAAATGCTTACATGTATTTTGCAGACGTGTGTGTGTACATTAACATGTCATTTAAAGACTCATGCTGCTCACCATTGATACAAGAATTCTGCTCCTGAGCCTCCTTTCTCAACCCTGGCTACATTGGAAGCTATTTTACTTATTCTGTTAGTTTGAAGAAGAAAAAAAAAGTAGATGACAAAGAAAAAGTGAAACTAAGGAGCCTCGAGAAAGGGGGAAAAAAAAATCCAATGTAAAAGCTGCATTATTATTTTTTTATCCAGCCACAAGCTCTTCAATGTCAACTTTTTTCCCCACAACATTCCCAAACATCTGCTGAACCGTTCACTCACACAAAGTCGGCGAGCGCAGAGCAAACGGCTTTTGTTTGAAAGCTCCATCTGTTGTCTTAGCCAAACATCCTGATCTTTTACAGTATAGCTGTGGCTGCCCTCAAATTAAGAAGTCTTTCCATCTTTCCCACAATGCAATCACAGCGGTTTCACCCTAATGGCCCGACTAACGTGAGTGTAAAGAGTGTGCTCTGCTAACGATAGACAAACACTTGGAAGAGGAGACCTCCCAAGAGGTTTCAACTGCTTTCCATATGGACCTGCATTTTGTTCTTTAAACAGCAAGGACTGTGAACTTGAATAAACTGACATGTGTCTGTTACTTCATCTCTTTTTCTCTTTGCTGCTTCATTAGACCTGCTATATCTGTGAGGACCATGGGAGGGAGAGCAAGGCTGCCTGTGGAGCGTGCATGACCTGCAACAGACAGGGCTGCAGACAAGCTTTTCATGTCACCTGGTAAGAGTTAACATGTGTGTGTGTGTGTGTGTGTGTGGGTTTGTGAGTGGGGTGCATGGAATTGGTTGTCTGTAGCATGGTGTTTAGCTAGCTCTTGCGAGAGTACCTTCAGAACTGTTGTAACATATACCTAAGAATATATTCACAAGTGTCTGTACAGTGACCTAAATGTGATTATTCAAGAACAGGAGGAGAACAGTTCTAATGGGAACAGCAGCAGGTTACCAGAAAGAGCCAATCTCTGTTTCCCATAGCTGTATTTATTTTATATACCTCATTATCTCGTAACATTTTAGTTTTATTTGCTCTTTTTGTTTATTTTTCGTCTGACTGGCAGACGTTGAAAACCTCAAATGAAGCTTGAAAGGATGTGCAGTAGATTTTTGTGTGCACACATTTGATATTTGATCCCTGATGTCGTGACCAATCACAAAAGCTCACAGGTAACATCAAAGGGAGATGTCCAGGTGTCTCTTGTCAGGCGTGTGTGTGTGTGTGTGTGTGTGTGTGTGTGTGTGTGTGTGTGTGTGTGTGTGTGTGTGTGTGTGTGTGTGTGTGTGTGTGTGTGTGTGTGTGTGTGTGTGTGTGTGTGTGTGTGTGTGTGTGTGTGTGTGTGTGTGTGTGTTCTCCTCTCTGATCCTGTGACACCCTTTGTGCAGTGCTCAGATGGCAGGTCTGCTGTGTGAGGAGGAAGGCCCAGAAGCTGACAATGTGAAATACTGTGGCTACTGCAAGCATCACTACAACAAAATGGTAAGATGGACGACAGTCTGCAAACAAACAAGCACAAAACACCTGAAGTGAAATTAAGTTGTAGAGTTACAAACATCTTGAATGTCAAGAAAGAAAAAAACGATCCCTTAGATCAGGGATGTCAGACATACGGCCGACAGCAGATTTCATCTGGCCCGCGAGACGTTTTGGGAAGAAGGAGGAAATGTATTGAAAAATATTTTGAGATTTTTTTATAAATTAAATATTTGTAATACGTATTTTCCCCGAATTGTATTAAAACCTATGTAAAATGAGCAACGTAAAGGTTGATATCATGATACGAATATTAATTGAACGGGGCACTTTGAACTATCTTCTCAGCAGGGAGTATCACGAGCTGCTCCTGCATTACGCTGTTAATACATCACATCAGCAAACAGGCTGAACACCTGAGACAGGTGACACAGAATGCAGGTTTTCAAGAGATCGAAGGAGTGATATTTCTTCAGTTTTATTTGCTCACGAGTTGCCAGAATCATATCAAAGCTACGGGACTTAACCGCTGCACTGCGCGTGCATCATGACGGTCTTCAGTTCTGTGCACACTTCTTACCAGTTTCTCCTGTCTTCACTGATGTAAAACTAAAGTTTTACTAATGATAACAAAGCTTCCTATGGAGTGAGCCCCAAAGAGCAGCTCGTTCAAATAAAAAACAATCATCTCCGCCATGCGTAACGGCCCAGACTGTCTCCACACATCCAGACGTTGAGCCTGATGCATCGCCCGACTAGTTTTACCTCTGGTTATTGTAAAAACAGTAAATTAAAATGAATATTAACTGATTTTAATTACAGATGGTTTATTTTTAGGTCACCCAGAGGTGAACATGTTGATCACCTAAAAGTTTCAGTGCGACATCACTTCTAAATGCAGTAGACTGCTGTTGGGACTTTATCACCAGCTTTAATCAGACTGTAAAAATATAACTATTACTGAACATTTCATTCTTATCTGAAAACAATATCACGCACAGGCTGTCCGATCATACAGAGGTCCGCTGGTTTAACTGTGGAGCAGCGCTAAAATGCTTTCTCGAATTGCGCACGGAGATGAAACAGATTCATGACGCATAAAAAGTCAGTGACAGAGTTAGATTACAATAGTGCGGACACGGAGAAGAACGGACAGCCAGACTCATATGAAATGTCATTTGAGCAGCATTGTATTACACTAATAATAATTATAATGCATTTTATTTATAAGCGCTTTTAAAAACTCAAAGACACTGTACAATAGTTAAAAACAGAAAGAACAGCACAGAAGGACAGACTAACAGACATTGCAACATTACACACAAATCATAAAGATAACAACAATAAAGGTAAACAACAGAAAACAGGAAATACATCACAATCATACATTAAAAGCTTGTTTGAAGAGGTGAGTTTTGATAAGTGATTTGAAAGTAGGAGGGTCGGTGCAGTGTTGAACGTGTGTAGGGAGTGAGTTCCAGAGAGAAGGTCTGTCCCCCCAGGTTCGGTGCTTGTTTCTAAGAGGGGGAGATAGGAGGTTGGCTTTTGAGGAACGGAGGCTGCGTGCAGGAGTGTGAGGGTGACTGTATAGCTGCTTCTTCTTCATCAATTCTTCTAAGATTTAAATTGCTTTGGCGTCTGGATGTATAAAGAGAGCTGGGTAAAGCGCTTGAGGTGAGGCCCTGTACATGGTGCTCTGTGGCACATGAACCAACTAAAGTTTCAGTAAACTAGTTTCAGTTCTACCAAAAATAGAATGGGGCAGGGGGAGGGGGGTTTGTTCCTTCGCTGCTCTCTTAATTTAATATAATTTAATTTACATGCTACAAGTGTTGCTCAAGCTTCAAGCCGTTCACTCTTCATGCACCTTGTTAGTTGGTGAAGTTGTGCCAAAAAGTCCCACTCTGCTTCTTTAGCTCCGTCTCCCAACCTCTGTGGATCTGATGCATTGTGCCCAATGTCTCCATCCTGGATGCCACCTCCGTAGCTCTTATTGGCTCTATAGTGAGCTGGGGCTAACGTCAGTCAATGAACCAACACCAGCCTCTTTAAGTCGTAAGGGCTTCTATCAAGCACCAACATAAGAAGCTCAACTGCTCTTGCCCATATTTGATCTTCATCTAAAAACCAATAACATGCTCTGTTTAATATTTCCATAACACCTCAATTTTTTTACAGCAGAAGAAGCTGCGCTCCAGTGAAAACACAAGCAGCTCCATCTGTCATCCCAGAGGTCGCCCCACCTCTCCATCATCCCAGGAAAAACACCATCACCACAAACTGAGGAAGGTCAGCACTAAAGAAGTATCACGATCCGTTGCACCTCAAGCAAAGGAAAGCATAAAATATCAGGTTATAAAAGTCATGCATTATCATAAATGAAAATGTTGTTCTGGGGCATGACACAAATAATAATCACTTGTGTATGTTGAGGCCCTTTGTGTAAGAGCTTTTAGTGAATGTTCAGTCGGACCTTGTTTGTCTCCTCTCACGCCTGAGCTCTGTGTGTCCACGTCTGTTCAGAGTCATAAGGACAAGATCCGACAAAAAGAGCGCCACAAGAAGTCCTCTGACGGCCTGAGCACCTCAGTGATGACCAGCAGTATTGAAAAGGTATTCAAATCTAAACCCAAAAATCAAAAACAACAGAAGAACAGAATCAATCAGACTTGTGTATTTATGGCTCGTGTGTCTGTCTTGTGGTGCAGATATCCTCCAGTCACCACAGCAGCAAGGACAGCGAGGGAAAGTCCAAGAAGCAGAGCTCACACAGTCACAGTCATCGCAGCAAAAAAACAGGAAGCACTGGCAAGAGCTGCTCCTCGTCCTCCTGCTCCTCCAGTCCGTTCAACACAGGTACCACATGGAGAATCCAACATCAAATCTATTGATGAGATGAGATGAGATGAGATTCAACTTTATTGTCATTCCACATATACAAGTATAGAGTAACGAAATGAGGTTTGGCATCTCACCAGAAGTGCAGTAAGCAGAAAGTGCAAGAGTCTGTGCTATGTACAGTAATTACAAAATTTACAGATGTAGACTAAAAAAAGTGAATTATTAGGTATATATGGATGGCTGGATTAATGGGATGCTATAAATATAAATAAATGCTATAAATATAAGTGTATTGATAGTATGGAGTTTGGAATGAGAGGCATTATGTTGTTTTATGGTTCCAGATGTTTGTACTTTTTGGACTAGATATTTGTTTAGTATATTACATTTATTTGGTTTGTTTGTTTACTAATTGGGTTAACACTGTGTGAGGCATCTGAGGTTAAATAGGTAGGTAGGAGGACCAGCATGCACTGGGGTAGGCCTACATTTATTTGTAGCAGTGCAAGAGAGGCAGCAGAAGCCTTGATTTTCTTTGTTCTTTTGTTGGCTTCCTTCCTTTGTGGAAATGAAATCATACGACACCCAGGGCTTTAACCCTGTGTACACATTGGATTAAGATTAAGATTTTTGATGTCTAGTGTGACATAATGATTACCACACACAAAAAAAGACTGTCCATTTGTTGTTGTTTTCCTGTGTAATGTAGAAACACTTAATGGGTAATGTATCAATGGGGTATTTAATAGGTAATAACAATTTCAACAAATCATAGCTTTTAAGTCACATGACCAAGCGTGAAGGGCTGGAGGGCAAAAAGAGCTTCAGCCACCTCTGAACACTGTGGTTCTGCAGCTGAGCTTGTTTGTTTTCCATCTCTTCAAAACAACAAATGTTTGCATCACCTGACAACCGCGAAAAAGTCAAAGACATTTTGTGGCACTTGCTACCCTTTAATACAGCACTCGTAAACATTATTTCATAATCTTAAAAACAGCAGAGACCGTGCCAGAACTTCCCGTTGGTGATGTGTTTACTCGTATCTCGTGGAGAACTCTTCCCCTTACACTGCCGCGAGGGTCAAAGCCTACAAAAGTACAGATAGATTCATGTATTTTTAATGGGGCTGAGTTAATTGTGCTGCTGCTGTTTGGGAAGTGACGTGCAAGAAATTCTTCATGAAGTGTAAGCGAGTTCTAATTAGCTAGTTATATGTTACCTCACAACTGAATCAGGATCATTGTCAGCTGTCACGTTCAGTCAGTGTCTCTAGGAAGTAATGTTAGTTCAAAAGTAAGTAATATTGAACTCTTGTAAGCACAGGATTAGGAGAAGTCTGTTCTTTTGTTCTCTCAAAGAAAACAGCAGAGCATCTAATTCATCCACAATCTCCTCCTCTCCTTTCTCAGTTGGGATTCTGAAGAAGTACAACCTGATTCAGATTCAGATTTTTTATTGTCCCACAAGGGGAAATTTACGTTGCAACAGGAGCACACAGAAGACAAGAAACACAAGGACAACATCAACATCACCATAACATCAGACAACACAGCAAAATATAAAACCAAATAAAAACAGCGCAATAAAATCAGTCAAGAGACCATACCAGAATGGAAATTGAAGTTATTAAAGTGCAAAGTGGAGGTGTCAAAATGTGCAATTCAAGTGCAAAAAGAGCAACAATAGCTAATTGTTGTTCAACATATTAATTGCACTGCACCTGGGTATGTTTGGTTGTCGATTAGTGCATCCAATGAATCAACAACTGTCTTTAGTTTAAATAAAGAAAGACTAATATGTCCTGTCCTCACAACAGTCACATAGTCCTTCTGTTGTCTGCATTCATCTATTCTGGAAACACTGCTGGGTTCAAACCCAAACTTTGCCAAGGCGTACAACTTCAGAAGTATGTTTTAGTTTGTGTGTGACCACAGGGTTTGTTCTTCTCTTACAGGTGGCTCCCTGACCTCCACTCAGGATTTCCATCAGTTCTCATCATCATCATCCCGTCTGGAGCGCGACCACGATCGAGGCGGCGACGACCACAGCAGCGATGAGCGAAAGGAGCGTCACAGGAGGCCGGCGGTCCAAGAGGAAGAGGAGGAAGATGAGAAGGAACGGGACAAAGACGAGGAGGGGAAGGGGGAAGATGAGGACGAGGATGAGGACAGTAAATACCACAAGCCACCAGCTTTGACTTCTGCTGATGTCCCACTGGCGGGGTCACAGGGTCACGACCGGTCCGAGGGCAACTCAAGCCCCTTTGAGAACAAAGTCACTATTTCCACCTTTGGGTCCATCATGCGCATCACGTCCACGTCCAGCCTGGGCAGCAGCAGCAAGATCCGCAAGATCTCCTCATCGGGGGACTACAAACCCTCCAAGTCTCTCAGCAAACAATCCCAACTGAGCACGCCACCCATCCTAGAAGAGGCGGACCTGGAGGAGAAATCCGCTCCCCCGCCGCTGCCCCGAGAAAGGAGGCACCGCGGCAACAAGAAAAGCAGCCACGGTCCAGGACGCCCACGAGGCAGCAAGAACCGAGAGAGGAGAGAAGAGGAGCATCATCACCACCACCACCACACAGCACCTCCTCCTCCCCCTCCTCCTCCTCCTCCTCCTCCTCCGGCCTTAACCTCCTCTGTTTACCCAAGCCCATCCTCCATCCCTCACCCCGCCTTCCCCTCCACTCTTCCACCCACCAGTATCACTTCCTCCTCTTCTTCCACATCATCTTTCTCCTCCTCCTCTGCAGGCAGTTTTTCCACAAGCCGCGGCAACTCGCTGCTCGGCTCCGGTGAGTCTGACTCAGGGGTGTGTGTGTGTGTGTGGTAGCCCTCTAGCTTCCTGTTTGTGTGTATGTATGTGTGTGTGAGAGAGTGAGATGCATCACTCATCTGTTGGCATGTTGGTGTGTTCATATGCAGCTCCATTTTAAAGTGTTGAAATGTTTCCATTACCTATGCGCCGTGTCAGCACAGAGGAAGCAGCCTCTCTGTATGTCAGGTGTGCAAACTGTTGGCTGAAACTAGAAGAAAAAGACCACTTTAAGTCAAAGCCAATCAGGTTGAAGCAGGTTTAACAAAGGCTCTGTTTCATGATGATGTTTGTTAATAAAAAGTGGTTGTGGCATTCAGACATCTGTGACACAGTATTTAAGGTGGAGAGATTGTTGTAGATAGCGGTTGAAGTCTGCCCTGCATCGTTTCCTGCCCTACTTACATATCGTGTCAGGTACAATATGGGTCATTTTTTTAGGTTACTACTACTCATAAACTGAAAATGACAATAATTCTAACAAATCTTTTCTAGGTATCTACTCCAGTCTCAAGGACCCTCTCACGCTGGGCGGGGGTGTTTGCAGTACCCCTCTGTCTCTGGGTGGAGGGGTGTGTAGCACCTCCCTGTCCCTGGGAGGGGGTATGTGTAGCACCCCTCTCACCTCAGGACTCCTTCAATCACACGTTTCCTCCCTCTCACTTCCGTCAGTCAGTGCCGTCTCAAACACGCAGGTACTTTGCAAAGAAGACATTATTACATCACACTGCATGAAACATTAACAGTGTGTTCTCACTTTGTACTTTGTGTGCAGCCAGTTTTGTTTTTTTAGTTTTAAATGAACGTTGTGAATGTGTTGTGCTGCTTCAAATAAAAACAATAAGGACTTTTTTTTGTTATCATACTGCCATTATAACCAAGGCAAGAGCCTGCATTATTTAAAAACATATGTGCATGTTTTTTACCCACATATTAATTCTCTTCAGCAGGTGAGCTTTATGTGTCTGATGTCTTTACCCAAATCCACTGGTGGTGGATCAATGTATGTAGCTCAGCCCTGAAAAACAGTTTGTACACTAAATATATGACTTCCTACCAATGTGATCACATAAAACATGATGACATCAGTGAAACCTAATGGATGGACCAGTTGGTGCACTCATATTACTCCTAGCTGACATGCACACTGATAACACCCCCATCATATTAAGGTAAACAAAACAATACCCTGAACCCTTGAGTTAGAATTTATTTGAATGATCATTTGTCAAACCAAGACTATTTACAAGTATGGCGCATGCTAACAACACATCTATAGCATGATCCATGATGTGATTATAATGCTCACTGTAAAGAACATGAAACTTTGTAGATGCGCTGTTACCAACAGAGTGGATGAATTCTCATTGATGTTTTTATTTATGACTATCAGCTGATCATTCATTGATACTTCACTAAGTCTATCGAGAGATATTAACCCAAAAAAAACTAAAATGACTAATTATTTCAGCTCTTTAATCACAATGTCTTCCTTTTTAGCATTAAGTCAAAAATAAGCTACATGCAGAAGGTGGGGGGGGATGATTCCATTAACATGTAATGTGTCTCAAAAACTAAATGGACACAAACCCTGCACATATTACTGATTATTTCTTCTCATTGCTTTCCTCTGTTTTTTTTTACTCGGAAAGCATTTCCACTTTAACCAACATCCTTCCTGATCGTCATGAAGATTTCTCTGTCAGCCAGATGTTGATGCTCTATTTCTTGTAGGTCCATCCGGGATCGAGCACCTCCTACAGTTTGACCTCCTTACAGCCGTTTGCCAGCTGTCTCTCCACAGCCCCGACACTGCCACCACTACTGAGCCAAGCCCAGACCTCACTGCCAGGTGAGAGCAGGATGCACATCAGAGTTATCGAGATTTGTTCTGAAACTCACTTTAAAAAAAAACTTTAACTGGAAAGCTTCTTCTGACACAATATGAGGGTTTCTTTTTTCAGAATCTGACACACATTGATCTCTTCATATTGCAAATAAATTTGATGACTCTTTGGTTCTCTTCTCAGAGACGGACCTCGATGACTGTCGCTTCCCGTGTCAGGGGAACTCACCAAGAGACAGTCTTTCTTCACAGTATGTCTCATTTCATTGTTTTATTTAATGTTGAAAGGGATTTCAAACACTTGTAAGCCAAGGTACAAAAATGTTGATGATTTTCTCCAATAGATGACTTCAGCAGTCCTTGCTGCAGTAAATTGAAATGCCTCTGTTGTGATCCTTCCTATGACGCTGTCAGGCAAACAGAATAACAATCTGAGCCTTAATGAATAACAAGCACTTTTAATGAATGGACTTTGTATTAGTCATTCCATTTCTTAAATATGACGTGTTGGTTGGTAGCATGGCAGCCCTGTGTACAGAGGCTGTAGTCCTCATCGTACCAGTCACAGATTCGATGACATTTGGTGCATGTCATTCCCCACTCTCTCTACATGTTTCTATTGTCTGTTTTATTGAGTCTTAAATATACAGTTTGGAAAAAGTAGGGGTTCCTGAAAAGTAGAGAGAATAGTAAATAGTTTGAATCACGAGAGATGTCCAATCTACTCATCTTGAATCCATCAAATAAAACATGTCTGGATGGATCATGTTGTAGCTGAACTGTAGTTTTTATCTGAGCAGTTTCTATTTCTGTAACCAGCAACAGAAATCGACAGGAAAAGAGCTGATGGTTATCGACCCCAGTCACCCCATGTGAATCAGAAAGAATACAAACCACAGCCAGGGTAGTTTCCCAGAAGCGACTTCTCTCTGACTCCATGTTGGTTTTCTCCTCCTCCACACACAGGTCTCCTATGAGCTGTCTTCCTCTTCTGTTTGACCAGAGAGACGGGTTGAGTGCAGGAGTCAGAACCCGTCCAGAAAACGTCCCAGCAGCCAGCTCTCACATCGAGCTGCTGCTGGAGAAACACAGCAATGGAGAGATGGGAGTCAACAGTGAGTCTGAAGAATAACACACAAGGTGGTTTTAGGGTGAAGCTGAAGGTCACAACATGATCCATGCATGGATGCATTCCATGTTTGCTATCTAAAAAGTTCAGTCTGAGCCAAGTCACAACATTTTTTTAGACGTTTTTCCCCCAAAATAAATACCAGATACTTTGACCTATTTTAATACCCCAACAATCTTAGAAGCAGAAATCTTAAAAAAAAGGCTAAATTATCTGACATTTTTTATCTATCCTCAGAAAACACACTCAATCTTAAATCTAGTGCCGCTAGATCAAAAAACATATTTTTTTCTAATAAAAAGAAAGAATAAAAAAATTCATGATATCACTGTGTAATATCCTGGAATAGCGAAAATGTATTTTTAAGAAGTAACCGTTAGTACAAAAGAAATGGAAATGCTTAAAGAGAGAATTTAATCTCAGCCAAATACACTTCTTAACTCCTGTTATTTAGATTGATTGATGGACTTGGTTCTTTTCTAGTCTTCTGATTACTTGAAGCACTTTTTACACTGCAGGTCACTCCTACACATTCACACACTGATGAAAGTGGCTGCTATGTAAAGTGACCATCAGAATAACTCATCTCATTCATACACAATCACACGCCACCGACAAAGCAGCGGGAGCAATTTGGAGTTAGATAGATAGATAGATAGATAGATAGATAGATAGATAGATACTTTATTGATCCCGAGGGAAATTCAAAGCATCCAGTAGCAGGTTACAAAGATGTACATGACATGAAACATTTGTTACAAGTTAAACCACAAAACCGACACCTCCCCCTCCCATACATATATCTTAACCTCCCCAAAAGATGTAAAGAATACCCCTAGATGCAATTAAAAATAGACTTATACAAGAAATGTACATAACCCGTGCAGGGATAAAAATATATGTGCAATAAAAAGTTAAGTGTCTTGCCCAAGGACACATCTGAGCTGGGGATCGAACCTCTGACCTTCCTGTTGAGAGACAACCGACTCTACCAACTGAGCCTTGGTTTGATCTGTTTTTTTTTTTTATAGAGTTGTAATGGACACAAAGTGAAAAGATATAATAATATATATCTCATAAAACTCATAATTTGGACAAAAGATCTTGAAATACATGAAAGTGTCCGACATATAAACTGCTGTATTAGTTTGGGATCAAAACTAGGTTGAGGATTACAACTATCTTCACTTTTAGAGCACAGTAGTAGCATTTGTAAGCTGCACATGCTTTCATATAGCTGCAGTCCTCTCTGTGAGGATACGATCGAGTACTATTTAGAGATGATGAATGTGAACCTGAGGACTGCGTGAGGGGTAGAAAATAGTGCCGCAAAGCAGAAGCTGCTTTGTTTCCCTTTGTTCTGTTGTGCCCTCATGAACCATACTGCTTACTCCATCTTACTCACTTTCCCTCTGGGGACATCAGCTGACGCTTGCTTTCAGATCTATTCTTTGCTGCTGCTTTCTCTTTCTACACAAAGTCCTGTCACAAATCTCATCTCCAGTTTTTCAGACTTATTTCAGTGTTTGTTTGTTTTTTACCACTGTCTCTCTTTTTGCCATTGTGTCCAACTTAAAGTGGGTAAAAATACACTTCTCTGTGTTCCAGTGAGAGTTCACTTCTCTTCCACTCTGCAGAAATTAGAGAGTGTTTGTTCAGTGGGTCTGAGATGCTGGGCACGCTGCACAGACAGCTCCATAGAAAATCAATTAGAGAGCATTTAGGGGACGGGTTGAATTCTATTTCAGACCTCACAGCGATGCTGTTAGTTTGGTATCTAGTATTAATCGACACACGGTCACAAAGGAAGGAGTAAACCATGCAAGCTCTTGATTGCTGATTGAAGTCAGAATGTTTTCAGATGTACAGCTTTTTAATACAACAACCATGGCGTCTAGTATGAAGAATAAAAAGTGATGTGAGCTGCAGAAATGACAAGAACGGTCTTTTACTGTCACTGCTTTATGGCAATGGATCTTACACTCAGCTTTGAAGTCAATGAACTCCAAAACCTTGTTGTGGCCCAAATTTGAGGATATTTTTGGATGTCCAAAGTTAGTTACAAACTGCTGGTTGGTCCTACATATAAAACCTCCCCAAACACCAGGATCCAGGATCCTGTCCACACATCTACGCTCGGGTCTTACTCCCTCCACTGCAGCATGAAACGTGGGACAACATCGCCCCCTTTTCCATGTTTGTATCTTTTACACAGAACAGCAAGGGGGAAAATATTTCTGCAACTACAAATGTTAATTTAGAAACCATGATTGTTTGTATGCAGGACTATGTTTGATCTTTATTCATTTTATTTTGAATAAGCCAGCCTTTAAAGCTCTTATAAACCTGTGCACGGTCCAACTCTATGTGTTTGTAAATCTTTTCCTATATAGGCCTCTTAATCTTTGAGGAAGTGTTCCCACATACTGTTGTTATCTTTACTAACCCTGTTCCTATAGAACATCCCAACACAATGTAGTACAAATGAAACACCAACTATTTTCTAATTGAGCTGTTAATTTGGGAATTGAGACATCATCATTTTCATCATCCCCGCCCTGTGTAGTGTCACTTTACACACCAAAGCTTTGCTAAAGATTGTAAGTACCAAAATAAGTAAGAGGATTTAAAGGAGAGCCATATAATGAAAACTCTAACTCTTAATGTTTTTGTTTTTTTAAATGTACATAATTCAAAAGATTACAATGTTGAGTTATTTGGGTCACAGACACAGTTTGGGGACCTCTTATATCTTCAGGTATTAGCTCTGCTCTCTTCAACATTAAACCCATGCAGGGGCCTACTCGGGCTGTTTAATGGAAAACATCTGTAGGGGTGCACATGACCTCAGGCTGAAATTACAGCTAAGAGCAGGACACTTCTTACACTACTTTTGGTACAGCCTCGTCTCTTTTTGCACAACGTTGTTTAAACATAACTGGCTCAAGTTAATACAAACAGTAAATAAAGTACATAATTATGAGTTTGCAACTATTAAATACATTTCATCTTTATATTTTTTGTCTTATTTACTTTGATTTTGTTTTGAACACTCAGACAGCTGAAAATGATGAGCTTCATTGAAATGTTGTGTTTACAGTCCATGACATGTCTATCCTCTCTTTGTCTCTCATAGTTGTCGAGATGCTGCAGTCACTTCACTCCCTGCAGCAGGAGAACCAGCGGCTCCAGGACCAGATCCTCAGCCTGACCGCCAAAAAGGAGCGCCTGCAGATGCTCAACACTGAGATGGCCGTGCAGTTCCCTCCTCACATCATCTCCGCCCAGAGCTCCATGCACGCCTCAGCCCAGATCAACTTCCTGTCATCCAACCAAGGTCAGACTTCCCATCTCTTCTGCACACTGAGATGACAAAACTTTAAAACCAACAATCTTACATTTTTGTCTGCTGTTTTTTTTTATTTCCTCCTCCCCTCACAACAGTACCCCTGCATATTAGCATATTAGGCTAATCTCTTAAGCAATACCCAGAAATGATGCACAAATCACAGATTGTCATGATTAGTTGATTTGAGGCATATCAATGTAAATAATGAATGACATGGTGGTTGATTTTGTCCTCTTCACCCTGTGTTTATGTCTCTTTTCTTTAGACCCCCTGAGCATCAATAAGAGTCCTCTGTCCAAAAGCTGCTTCCTGAATGAAACTTCTTTTGTTACCTCGTCTGAGGTGGGCACCTGAAGACCCTTCTTGTCTTAGGGCTCAAATATACTTGCTTTTGAACCACGCGTATGCGTAGACAACCTGCTGCATCGTGAATATAAATGTTCACACACTTACCTATGTACAACGTGTGTTACTGGAGGATTCCTCTAGAGGGAGCACCACATAAATCAGACTGCATAAAACACTGTAGTAGAGATGATCTGGCACCAGCTTTGTTCCTACACAACAGTAATGACAAATCAGAGTGCAGGTAGTTGTCGACTTGATCTGTTCACTTTTCTTCAAAACTTTCCACCATTTTCTTGGCGGCTCTGGGGTGTCTCCGATGTGATCATTTACGGTTTCATTACCAGACAACTCTACACTGCTCCTAGCGGTTATATGCGTGTTGTATCTTGTGGACGCGTAGAGTTTAATTTCTGAGGATGTGCACAACCAACACTCCAAACCTCCGCAGGATACACGAGGCTGATGTCATGCGTTCACGTAGTTAAAAGCAAGTATACTCAGGGCTTTAGACTCACAATAAAAACTAGGATGCTACTAACGCTATTTTTCGTTTTTAATTATTATTCCTGTTAGTATTGACATTCAGTTAGTTGACTGATTTATAAACTGTTGTTTAATAGAATAGAATAGAATTACTTTATTGATCCCAAACTAGGAAATTGTGGCGTTACAGCAGCAGGTTGTCCAAACACACAATATGAGTAAATAAACACAATATAATATTAAATAAAAAGTACATAAGCACTAAAAATATCAAAACTAAGAATGAGAATATATACAACCAGGATTTAACTAAACATTACTAGTCTTAAATATGAAAAGATTAAATACAACATACTTTGCTGGAGATAGATGTAAATGTTCAAAAACAGAGTTGTAAATGGACAGTATTGACATAAAGAATGTTTCCAGAAGACTAAGACAATGAGTGCATATTGTCCGTTTCAAGCTAATTTTAACATCTAATGTAACCACTCTGCTAAGGCACCCAATGCACATTGACATTTTTATTTGATTGCACTGTTTGTCTTTGTTTTAGGAGCTCCACTCTGGTAGTCCGTCCCGCAGTAGCTCCTCCCTCTCCTTCCAGAGTACCCCTCCTCCTCAGCAGAGCCCCGCCTCCTTCGGACAGCCTCTGCTGAACGGCCTGAGTCGAGGTCTGAGTGATGGTTTGGGCGCCATCAACCAGGCGGGCTGCTCGACGCTGCCCTTGGTGGGCGGGCTGATGGCTTCCCTAGCGGGAAATTCTCAGCTCAATATGAACAGTGTGCTGGGCAGTCTGAACGGTGTGATCCAGTCTCCTGTGCAGAACGCGCCCCAGCCCACCCTTCCTGCTCTGCGCCCCCAGCCTCCACCGCTAAACCCCCAGGTCCTCACATCAGGCTTTCAGCTTCCCAAGAGTGTGAGCCCGTATGTACCAAGTCTGTCTTTCAATCATCTGAAGAAGATATGCAATTTTTTTAACAAAGTTTCAGACAGCCCACAGATATTTGTTGAATCTTGGCAGAAGCCTGTGTGTGTTTAAATGAATTCTGAGAGTTGTTATTTATTGACTGTATGTTTGTTACTTGCAGATCTTCTCTGCTGTCTGAGCAGCAGAAGCAGCTTCTTCTCGAGCAGCAGCAACAGCAGCTCCAGCAGTTCCTCACCTCACAGAATTTCACTCCGGTAAAGATCTCTTTATGATACACTAACCCTTTTCACACATACAGAAATCTCCTGAAAAACTCTGGAGATTAGTCTACCCGGAGGTCTTTAAGCTATGTGTGAACGCAAAGAGCAGCATTTTTCGCCCAATCATTACCTGGAGTTTCTCCTCCAGACCTCTAGTATTTTATCTGCAGAAAGTCAGAGTGAGTTGATGTCTGAACGTGGCAGAATATACTCTGGAGATTTCAACTCGAGCCAATAGAAAGAGAATGACGTTTATATATAGTGACTGTTTAAAGTGTCTGCACGCGACCTCTACGATCTCCGTGCTCTAATTAAACGTCTGCATTCTGTTTTCTGTTCCTCAGTATGTTGTTCTCCTCTCTTTTGTGGATGTTGTCATTCCATTGGAATACACATAGCATTGATATAAAGACAAATATTCTCATTATAACGTTGTGTAGTGGACTCTGTTGCTTCAGCCGCTACTTCAGCGTTGTTTATTTACGTCACGTCTTACCTCAGGAAATCCCCTGCCCCCCTCCCCTCTGACAGGTAAAGTTCCCCCCCCCTCCCCTCTGACAGGGAAAGTCCCCTGTCCCCCCCCTCCCCTCTGACAGGTAAAGTCCCCCCTCCCCTCTGACAGGTAAAGTCCCCCACTGTGAGGAGCATATGTGAACGACTAGGTCGAGAGAATCTCTGGAGAAGTCCTCCTGTAATTATCTAGATATTATCCGGAGTGCATATGTGAAAACGGCTTCTGACAACTTCTACTAGGTTTATACCCGTCCTCCACACTATTCTTTCATCCGCACACATGTGATAATTGCATCTTATAAGTCACATTGTGTCCCTGCGTGCCCCTGGCCCTTTTCTGGGAAATGACAGTTACCTTTAACATAAGTAACTTCTTACAGACATCCTTTCGACGGGTCGATTTTGCAACCTTGTGACAGTCGGAGTATCTGTTTTCCCTGTTTCCAGCCTCTAGCTTTAGCTTTAACATCCAGACATGGGAGCTGCACTGATCTGCTCATCAAATTGTCAGAAAGTAAATGTATAATCCCTCATTTCAACCCTCTACTTTAAAGCGTGCTGATTTCTGTTTTTGTTTTCATTCAAGCCTTTTTGTTTAAATAATTGAGCAGAATCAGTGGAGGTTTGCTCAGCAGTGCACCGGCCTGTTTGAATTTGTTTGGATAGTGTTATTAGTGCACTGTGATTGGTATTCAGCAGATAATAACAGCCAAAGAGATGACCTTTAGCAAGTTAAATATATAAATATAAGTAGAGCATTAGCCATTAGCATGTCACTAACAAGTCACTGAGGTGACATGTTCCTGTGCGCCTTCTCAACCAAAGGAAACCAGACACCATGGATGTTCATATTTGAATTGCAAATGAGTGAAGATGTTGGGTTTGGTTTGTAGACTGGTCAGACACTGTGAGCTCTGAGTTTATACATCACTGATAGTTAGTTGAAATGTGACATAACTGCAAATTGAGGAAAGGCGCAAATTGTCTCACATGGAGGACATGAAAAAACAAGCTTTAACCCGTGTTAACATTTCATGAACATCCCATAACGTGTCTGTCATCTCCCCCTCCACCAGGAGCAGCAGGTGTTGGTGTGCCAGATGCTGCAGCAGCAGAGACAAAGGGAGCTGCAGCGCCTCACGCTGACAGGAGCCCTCACCTCCAACCCAAACTCACCCAACCTGCTGTCTTCAGCCACCGCCTCACCCCTGCAGGGAGGCAGCCTCTTTGGCCTGCAGGAAAACGCACTTCACAAGCCCGGGGTGAGTGACACTACTACACTGTCATCATGAATGTTAATGATGTCATGTTTTTTTAAAAAGTAAGCAACATTTTTGATTCTGTGTTTACAGTCTGCAGGAGAGAAGGGTGGAGACAAGAACGGGTGATTTTTTTCCTGACCACACAGGAGCAGCTCAAATGAAGAAATCTGGCATCGATGCTAACTTGAAGAACCAAGGTCACACGTCTGTGTGACTGTTGAACATCTTTCCCTCTGTCATCCTCATCTTACTCCCTCATTTATGAATGTATAACAGGATGGACTTAAACGTCAAGGTGAAGTTTTTTGTGTTTTGATATTCTTTATATTCAAGGATCTTCTCATAGATTTTTGCGTAGGCAGCTTTCAGAGAGCATGAAAACAGTGATCTCTTCTTAAATTGCACTAATTTGTTAGCTAGACCAATGGGGCTGCTTCTGAAGGCAGATCCAGAACTCCTGCTCGTCCCTGCAGGAGCTGCAGGAGCTCCCACGGTGGGAGTAAACTTTCTCTCTCTGACTTCTTTGAGCACTTACCTTTCATCATTTCCTGCTTGAACCAGAGTTTCCATTCAGTAAGTGAGACTTTTTGAAACCTCAACTGTCTTCCTGGATATTTTGTCTTCCCTTTATGTTGTTCACCCCCACCCAAGTTTCACCAAGATTTTGTATACGTTGCAACCTCTCACCTGCACTTCTGATGTAAAGGGTAAATATACTGTCATTTTTTTATGCTTGTTAGGGGCATTTAAACATTAAGCTAGTAATTACCTCAGATCTTTCTGCCACATGTTTCCCACTGTTCAAATTTTGTGATGACTTTTTACCGCAATAGCCTTCACTGGATAAACAATTAACTCATGTAAATGTAAAATGGCACAAAACCAAGGTGTCCAAAATGGCCCTAGAGTCCACCAGAGACTGACAAGTACACAGACTTTATTTAAAAAACCACCCTGAGAGTTTCTAAAGACTTTTATATCCTTCCAGTTGCTATGGAGATTAAGCAGATGAAACCAAACATTTGGAAATTGTAAGTAAGAAATGAATTGTTTTTCCTAAACAAATGTGCACTTTGCATGTTAGAAGCTAACAGAGCAAATTAGCCATCAACACATGACCTTCTAAAGGATGCTTGGTACTTAGTAGGCTGTTTGGCACTGATAAGTTTTTTTTTTTTATGTGAGTATTTTTGCACTCCTCCTCCTGAAGTGTTGTTGTTTTTGTTGTTTAGTTATTTTCACACTTAGATATCCTTTCATGATCATCGACTAGTCGTTCTTTTAGCAATACTGGATAGATAATGCCTTAATGAAACTAGATTTACAGAGGAAAAGCATGAGCCCAAAGGCTCACTCTCTTGTTGTCTTTCTTTGATCGTGTTTTTTATCTGGGGTTCATGGAAGGGTACGTTAGTAAAGTGAGAGCACTCTTCCTAAACCTGTTTATACTTTTGATAGCAGACTGGTAATTTCCAACATTGAAATGTGTGAATAAGCGTATAGTGGTAACTAAAGTGTCAAATCATTTTCTATTGTAAGTTTTGTGTTCAGATGCAATGTGCTTTAGTTTGTGCTTCAGAGCACCAAGAAATAAGGACTTACTTTGGCTCTTACATTCTATTCTGCACAGAGGAGTCATAGGAGAGCAAGATGTAAATGTTTGTTCAAGTGCTGTTGCAGCAGTGTATGATGCATAGTGTAGCTGTTATCAACTGAGAGGACAGAGATATGACAATGTAGAGACTTTAATAAGCTTCTGCTCGATCATGTGAATACTGGAGACCTAAGAGGCAACAGAGAACAAATATGAAGATGCCAATCCATCTTCTAAATCAACTGTTTTGTGACCTAAACCAGTTTGTAATTCAATAATAATTACTAAAACAAGGCAGGTTGGGGGGAAAGTATTATATAAAAATATATATATTTATTTTCTATCCTTAAAAAGACTTAACTTTTTGGTGAACTTTGTGCACAGCTGAGGAAGTGACTTCAAAAAGGATCCAGGACTAATTTGATTTGAGAGGGAGGATCTCAAAACTTAAAAATGAGTCACTTTAAACAAAAATGTTTGATGACAAAAATGACCTGTTTGTCAGAGGACAGAACATATGACAGGTAAAAAATGTTTTCTTTTACCGGATGATGAACACAGGAGAGAAACTATTTGGAACAGACTCACCTGTCTCTTAGGGCTTCTGTATTTGATGAATCTGTCAGATTTGGGTTATCTCACCATGTTTCTCCTTTACTCTCGTCTTCTGTTTGTAACGTTCAACAGGATTTCCCTTACATGTGATATCTGGAGTGTTACTTTGTCTTGTTAGCGGCTAATGTAGACGTCGTAAAGGAACCTTAAGCGGCTCACTAGTCGATGATAAATACTGTAGCAACGACAGGAGAATGTTGATTTATGTTGAAAACATGAACCAACGTGTTGACATGACTCCATGTGGGAGGTCTGCAATTAACCAAGTATGTCCTTTGTATGTGAGTCCAGACACACGACCATGTCCAAGAGATTGACTGAGGATGGTGCGAAGGATTTCTGAAGCCGTTTCTTTTTCATGTTGCACTGGGGCGCTTTGGGCCCAATTGTAAATCCTTTTTTAGTACTTTTTTTTTAATTTTGTTGGAATACAAGTTGTATACTTTAATAAGTTTGTGTGAAAACACATTCATGCTTTGAAGCTTTGAAGTTTGGGTAACAAAGATAATCCATGTTCTGAATGTCGTACTGTGTATCTTTTTATGTATTACAACAATGAAGCACCTGGCTCTGAATGAGAAGACGGAGAGAGAGTTACCTATTGGGGTAGGAATTGCATGAAATGCAGTGAGGTCTCTCAAATGTGTTGCTAAATACCAAGTAATAACTATGCATCATTTTAAATGCATTGTTCCCTGAAAAAAAAAAAGAAATTAAATGAAATGAGCACTGAATTTTAAAAAAAGGACAAGCATGTTGTCATTGTACAGTGTATTTGTTTGAGAGAATTGATCAAAACGAATTTGACAAATTCAGATTAAAAGCCCTGTAAAGTATTTTGATATTTTTGTGTGTAAAATTAAAAAAGGACGGATTAAGAGAACTTTTTGTCAATAAATGTATTTTACTGAGTTGTTTTATATTTTCTCTTGAGTGTTCAATGATTTATCTGCATGTGCTGAAAGAGAAAAGGTTTGAATGACAGGCTAGTGTTGACCTGATCTGCTCCCTTTTCTACATTTACATCAACCAGTTAGAGATGTTAGAAGAAAAGATTCTGTCATATAACAGTTAGGAGGTGGATTCTGTCTAACATTAAATACCTCACCATTATTCTCATTATTATACAATATATCTGAATCCAGCCTTCACATCAGGTCCAAAGGGTGAACGTTAAGGCGTCAGTAGGGTTTATTATTTGTTGGTTAATCATTGACTGATGCTATAAAAAATGTAATATCCATAGAGAGGATTAATAGAAGAAGATTCTAGGCGTTAAAATGAGGTTCTATTCATAAGCGCTTGAGTTATAACTCTTGTCTTCATTAGTGGTTAACATAGGGATGTTAAGTGTTTATGAACGTATTACAAACATGTTAAAACTGTATTGTCAGTTTTGGTTTTGTGTAAATCAAGTGGATATTTATGTGTTTATTGGCCCAAGTTCCCCTGCTAACTATTAAAATAGCATGCAACACTTTGTCTTTAATCAGTAGCAGCTGTCATCAGTGCACATGGTTTATAAACAGTGTTGGTATGCTTTCAAACAGGTCAGCATTAAAAGAAAGTTGGCGGGGAATCTGTTTCTGTAGAGGGGCAATGGGGAAATAAAGATAGAGTTGTTTATTTTTTCGGCCCAAAATTGTTTATAGTTTGGGACAAAATGTAGTTCTATTTAGTGAAGTCATAATGATCAAATGAATTAACCTGAACAACTGGCAAATAAGTGCAGAACAGAGGCAGTTCATTTATTTCTAATGTCTGCCTAATGAGGGCGTTTAGTTCCGTGTTTTAACTTTAAGTCAGCTTTATGAATGAAATGAATGATCCCGGGGAGGAAGAGGAGGGGCGGAGTGTTTACATTCGTAAACCAATCACCGTCTCTTAACAGACAGCAGGGGCCATGTTGTAACTTATGTAGACGAAAGTTTTCGAGGAAGCATACCGTCCAGACCTGGGTCCTTACTTCTCTAAGTAGAAGCAGAAACATCACGACTCGATTGACTGAATTAGAAGAAGATGAACTCCAGCAGCTTCCTGGTCGCAGTGCGGAGAGGATGCAGGCTCACCTTCAGACGTCCTCACCTTCTGTTACCTGCTTCTTCTTCCTCGATGGTGAGCTTTCAATGTTTCTCTCGAACTAAAAGTCTGTGCATTTTATCAGCCCTAGACTTGTTTTCATATTTAATTTACTGATGCATCACGAATGTGGCAGCCTATTAAAGTGCTGAGTCATTATTACCAATACCCGGCTTTTCAGTTCTGTCTTCTTTTCTTTACAAACACTTGACCTGTCACTGTCCCACCCTTCATTCACCTTTACCTGTGAAGCATTAGATTCTGAGAAGAGCTGCAAGGCCCAGTCATTCAACATCATCAGTATGCTTTTTAACCCAGTTTGTAACTGTCTATTTGTTCTTGTTTATTCATCTAATCTGTTCTGATTTTATTCATTAATATTTCTATATTTCATTGACATCTAAAATAGGATAATAGTAGATAAAACGTGAATAAGTCCATTTACATAATAGACACAGTTATTGTTATTGGAAGCCAATAGGCTAATTATTTGGCAGGTATGTAGTTACATTTCTTTAAAATCTTATTGCATCCCCATTGCAAATAAAAACAAACATTTAAAGAACTGAATATGTTAACTCTTTCATATACTTATAATAATAACAATAATAATACATTAGTTTTATACAGCGCTTTTCTGAAAACTCAGAGACGCTTTGACAAAAACATAAAACAATAAAACGAAACAAAAAACGACGAGGACAGTACAATGAAGAAGTAATGTAGAGGGGGAAGGGAGTTAGTGGTTGTAGGCAGTGATGAAGAGGTGAGGGGGGACAGGAGGTTTGCATCAGCAGACCTGAGAGTGCAGTTGGGAGTGTGCTGGTGGAGGAGGTCAGACAGGTAGAGGGGAGGGGCCAGGTTGTGAAGGGCTTTGTAGGTGATGATAAGGAGCTGGGGGATGGGGAGCCAGAGGAGGTCATGAAGAGCGGGGGTGATGTGGTCTCAGGTGCGGGAGTGTGTGAGAAGTCGAGCAGCGGAGTTCTGAATGCATTGAAGTTTCTTGAGTGAGTGTGATGGTGATCTGTAGAGGATGACTGTTGCAATAGTCTAATAACTCTAATAAGGTGATGAATGCGTGGGTGAGGGTCTCGGCAGCTGAAAATGAGAGGAATGGGTATGTTGCCAGTCTTCATCTTAATCTGTAACTATCCCACGCTCTGCTTCTGTGTGCAGTGTGCACGTCTATCCAACAAGTTTAAGCCAGCAACACAGAACTATAGCAAGTTTCTCACTGGTTAAAACTTCCCCTTTCTTTTTATTTTATTTTACTTTCAATTTCCATGTAACCACGGGGTGTGTTTTTTTTTCCTTTTTTTTTCTGCAGGTTCAACTCTGTCTGCAGTCTACACAGCCCGTCCCTGCAGCCAGGCTGCCCTGCAGAGTGAAGGTGACTGCTGGGAAACGCTACGCCTGGTGTGCCTGTGGACACAGTCAGAAACAGGTGAGTATGTACAGCGTGTAAAGCCCATATGCTGAGCATTTAGTTAAATTGTTAAGTTACTGCTTATGAGTTTAATGTTGAAAGCAGGCTGATTCATATTCTATCTTTATGGATGTGTTTCATATCCTTATGATTCCCACAAATGTAAAGAGGAAGGCCACAGCGTAACTTTAACATTTTATGAAATATATAAGTAAAACAACCTTATCTAGGCAACTTTGAAACAGACCATCGGACTTCATTACCCAGAAATCCTTTATGTTAAATCTGTAGGTTAAAATAAGGTTGATAATTGGCTTTATTTATATATTAATAGAATTGATTTTACATATTTAAAATACATTTAAAATCATCGTTGTTAGTACCAGACCAGGACCACCTTCATTAAAGATCTCACATTGTGCTCAAACTAACACTGGAGACTTTCTATGATCACACCTCCATCATGACCTGTTCAAACTTTAAACTACTACACTTTGATTGACACACTGAAAATAATCACTAGGACATTTCCTCAGCAACATCTGATTTATTTCTACAGACACCAACATGTTACATCATTACCATAACACTCTCTTATCAAGTTTTTAAAGCCAGAATTTCAGTTTAAATTTGATTTGATCCTAAAGTCCCCCTCCATTCAGCGCCACTGTTAACGTGTCACAACATGAGATTACAGTTGTAACCAGTAGTGAACAATTGTGACTGTTCTGTTTACTTTTCTTAGCTTCTAAAGAAAGAGCATAGCATAGATCAACACTCGCCCATGACACAACCTTTGACTTAACCTCCCATATTTTCAAATGAGCCCTGAATAAAAAGTAAGATGTCAACTTACTGCCAGTTTGAAACCTTTTCTCCAAACCTTTCCCTCTGCCTCACACCCGAGTCCTAATCCCATTTAGGGTTGAATAAATGGCTAACACCAGCCCTGTCAGTGTGTCATAATAAAGACTTTAGCATGTGCTTCAAGTTAGACAAAGAGACTGCCACACCTAAACACAATGTATGAGTTACACCTGAGGTATTTGTACTGCGATAAAGGACTCATATGTTGCTACAGTTTATGGACCATGAACATGTAGTGATAGAGGACCGATCAGCATCCAATCAGAAACATATTTAACGACTGCTAATCATTTCTCTTGAACCTAATAACTCATGACCACTGACTACCTGAACTCAAAGTCCTGGTGTGGGATATCAGTTATTAGCACAAGGAGACTGGAATATATTTTGTAATTTTAAGATAAAGGTTAAAGTCTTTCTATGTGATTTTTCACACTTAAATATAATATAAATCAAGTATATCCTCTGAAAATAACTCTGTGAGTCATGACTGTCTACAATGGGTGTAACACCCGAGTCCCACTGTCTGTGATGTTTTCAGAGTTTTCAGAGTCCTATCTTCAGTTTGTTTACATCGCCAGGACGGCCGGCTGACTCCTCCCCTTGTGTATAAAAGTTGTTTAATTGAGGGACTAGAGAAAAGAAGAATAACATACTGTACTCACTGCTTAACTGTGTTTCTAGATCACGCTCATTTCAGGTACATTTACATGCAGTGTGAAGATACCAGCATAATAAAGATCACTAGCATTAGCATGCTAACACAACAATGCAGCGCGAGTTGTTTTGGTTTCATGCTGGTGCTCAAGGGCGACATCTGCTGGATCAAAAAATCACATATAAAGACTTTAAATGACAACAACAACAAAATGTGACCTGTAAAAGAATAAACCAGAAAATAAGAAAGATCAAACAGTAATTAGCAGTGTTCAGAAACCGGACATTATTCAGTGCAGTGGTCAAATAAACCTTCATCTTGCTATTACAATCTTCCATGCTTCTTAATAATCCTGTTTGAATGTTTTAATGTCAGTGGTATCATGTGTTAAATTATTAGACGTCAAGATGTGCTCAAACCTTTTCTTATGTAGCAAGTTAATTATGGTAAAGACATGTACTTTGTTTGTCTGCTGGGGGTAAAAACGTATATGGTCATTTGAAAAGTAAGCGGGCAATAAAAGTGAAAAACTAAATCGTTTTTTTTGTAAAGTGAGACATTTTGACCTTGTGTCCTTCTCTCGCAGCCTTACTGTGACGGAGCTCACAGGACAAAAGCTCCGAGCATCTCGCCTTTACGCTTCACCCCTGAAAAGGACCAAACGGTGATGCTGTGTGCCTGCAAACAAACCAAAAACGCTCCGTACTGTGACGGCTCACACTTTAAGGTCATCTTCCAGGACGTGGTGAAGTCGGTGAAAGGAGTTTTTAAATGAACAGTGTTGAAGACGCTACACCTGGAGACCTCGGAGCAGAAACTGTCAATGACATGAAACGGAGAAGATTTATGTAACGCTACCTTGATCGTGTTCAAGCTGACCTACAGCAGCTTCAACGTCTGATTTAATTGTATCTCTGATTTGTTAATAAGCCTGCACGCGTAATTGACTTGAACTCTTCATTTCAGGTTATCAGGGATCTGCAAATTTGTATGAATGGTTAAAATTTAGTAGAAAAACAAAATATGCTTCATGCCTTTTTAAGAATCATGTATTTGTGTTATTATCTTTGTCCTATTCTAACTGATATATTGACTGTATAAATAAAAGTGTACATGTTTTTTCATGTATGAATGTTTAATGTATTAAAAACAGTTGTGTTGTCTGACACATAAATAGCCATATTTTTAACTGTGCCAACTGACATGTCATGTATTTGTATTGGTCGATCTTAAAATAAAATCAACTGTGTTTCGATGTATTTACGTCTTAGTTTGTGACTAATATTACACACTGGGTCTAAAAGAGTTGGTTTATAAAAAGCACATACATTGTTTTCAAAACACAATGTAAGGACATGACCTCTAGTGCATTCAGCCCTCAGCATGTGTGGAGGTGTTTTGTTATTCTCTCTATTTCATGACATTATTTATAGTAAGGCAGTAATGCAACTCGCTGGATGCCAACTGTTGCCTTTAATAAGCAATAAAAAGAAAAATCTATTGAGTTTTAAACAAAGTAGTAGATTTGTTCAGACTCTGCTGTAACTCTTGATTTCCTTCAGATGAAGAAGCTCGACATCCACACTGGATCTCATTCATGACATTTTGTTGACTTTGTTTAGAGTTGGAAAACTTAACTCTGAAGTTCAACAACTCTGGATTCTGAGGTCATGAAGTTTCAGAAAGAATTGCAAAATCAGCTTCAAAACAAGTTAATATATGGAAAAACTGAACACAAACAAAATCAAAGGAGTGGGAGAGGCAAGAAACTTGAGAGGAGTAAAAAGAGGGAGACATCATTTTAACTCACAACCTACGGTTAGAAAGTATTTCTCTTATTCTGGATGTAGTTAAGTTAACTAGACTGAGGCTGGGAGGAGGGGCACAGTTTGAATGTTGCGTTAACAAGCTGCATGGCCAGTTCTAGTCAGGGGCCAGTGTCCCTCTAACACGGAGCTTGGTCCCCCCTGTGGCCACCCCTCAGCCCCCCCTCATAACACATACACAGTATTTGACTCAACAACCGGACTCACAATCTAGTATTAAATACTCTTACTGAAACAAATATCAATCTATTATATTTTATGTTGTGTGCTATTATTTGGCATGATATATATATTTATTTTAAAGCGATCATCTTTGTCTATTTTTCACCTGGGTTTAATGTTCCCCTCTGACAAAACAAATGGCCCCAGTTTGGCCCCCCTCAGTGAAAGTGGTCTGGAACCGCCACTGACAAGCTGCAACGAACATAAGCTACTGACTACCTGTTAAAGTGAAGGTAGATGATGTTACACTCCTGTCCAGCAGGTGGCGGTGTGCGCCTTCAAGTTGTTTACGATCCGCCAATAAGCCGAGAAAAGAAGAAAAAGAAGCAGTTGAGCTTTGGTTTTGGTGCCTCCTCTGATATTTCTCAGTTTTTATACTCTGTTTATACTCTATTTCGGCTCTGTCTGAATGACCTGTGGTCTGACTAAGCTGTCTTTATTTAATTAAATACTATCGTTCACATGTGCGCGGCTAACGCAGCAGCTAACGTGATCTGAATCAGTCTGAAAGTTTATCCAGCTGTCATTGGAAACATGAACATGTTGAACAAATTAGACCACAGGTGGATCAGGCTGACCTTGGGACAACATTGGATAACAGCTTTGGTGTCTTCAAAGGTGTGTGGAGTTATTATATTATGCCTGTGGATTTTGTATTTATCACATAGTTGGACTAACATTTGTGAAGTAGCTGGGCTGTTAACGTGTCCCTCATCAGCATATCTGAAATGTAGGCCAAACAGGAAATCAGTAAATACTTTTCTATTTATAAAAAAAGAATGCTGGAAGAATTGGGTCTATCTTTAATTTCATTCGGGTAGTTTCTGTGCACGTACAATAACCACCTCAATAAAGTATGTAAAGAAACTAAAATAGTACTGCCACCTACAAAAGCTCCAGCACAGCTGCTTTAAATCACAGACTGATCACGACCTCTGACCTTACAGTGTGGATACACCATACACCACCTGAGCATGTTTAACATGAAGCTCTGACTGTTGAAAAATGAATGAAATGACATTTTTAGAAGGGCTCAAAACAAAAAGATGTGATGGAAAGATGTCCAAACAGATGAGAGCTAAATGGGTAAGGGTGTTCTTGAACCAATAATATGTTAAAGTGTGAGGTTGTTCCATCGTAACACAGCCCAATCTGTAACTTCTCCAATCAGTCCTGAAAGACAACAGTGTTCCCCTACCATCCCCACCACCACCCACCCTTTAAGGTCAAGTTATTAAAATATATATATATATATTTATTTATATCTTTTTTGGGGCTTTTTGCGCCTTTACTGTAGAGATAGGATAGTGGATAGAGTCGGAAATCAGAGAAAGAAGTCATTTAAGGATACCTTTCTGATAGAACAGGACAGCTGTTATTAAAAGTAACAAATGAACATCAAGATTCTTTCAAGTGTTTGTGTCAGCGTCCGTCTGCCCCCCCCCCCCCCCCCCAAAATCTGTAAACTTAGGGGAAACACTGCCACAGATAATATAATTCTGAAGGCGTACGATATTGATCAAGCAGTATTATATAATAATAAAACTCTGACCATTACTCGTGAAGTGATTTTTAGAGTTAGTACATGTTTAGTCGTGACAGAGTACAGATAATGTATCTCCAGAGGATTTTTTTTTTTTAAGTGTTACGCCTCTGTTGTTTTTTTCTGACCTGTCTGCACATCCAGCTGTCAACGATTCCTCCAGAACCTGTGATCCCCTCCAAGAAGCCGTTCAAAGTGGAGCTGGTTGGTGGGAAGCGGTACTCGTGGTGCTCATGTGGACACAGCAAGAAACAGGTAAAACTACCTTTTACTGTATTACTCCTTTCTGCAAAACTACATCCTCTATCCTCTCTGTTCACATGTTTTCTTTCAGCCCTTTTGTGATGGAGCCCACAAAACCAAAGCCCAGGGCCTGTCCCCGCTGCGCTTTGTCCCTGAAAAAGACTCCACAGTCTGGCTGTGTGGCTGCAAGTACACCAACAACCAACCTTACTGTGATGGAACGCACAAGCAGGACTTCATCGTGTCTGCACCACTACATGGACAAACTAACTCTTGAGGAGGAAGGAGGAGGAAACTTTGAATTGCACATTTATGCTGCTGCTGAATCCACACTTTGTACACATGTAAACATTGTGTGTCTTGTCAGTGTTTCTTGCCTGAAAGGTAAGGTAGTCCCTCCTTTCTGTGTCATATTTTAAAGGCAGTGTTGCTTGATCATGGGATAGCTACTGTATGGGTAAGGGTATGAATTGTTCTGAATCCACTGAAAGAAGAAAAAAACAGTGTGCAGAGGTTCTATACTGTGAAGTGTTTACTTGAAGAAAGGTATATATATATATATTTTGTCCTACAGAATCAGTGGGGAGATGTAACAATGAACTGATCTCCAATATCCGCCAAAATCTGCCAAAGTGTAAACTACACCTCTGGGTATATAATCTCATGTTGTCTTTTCTGTAGTCTTTATGGCAATGTTTTAACATATGACACTTTCCTTGTTGAATTTAAAGAAATAAACTACTGTAATGCTGAGTTGTGAGTGAAGTTGACGTCATTGTTTGCAAGAATCCTGAGAAATAATTGGATGAAGAAAAACTCTAAACTCAATAACTGATCTAGCAGGGGCATCTGGTGAAAGAGCGGGCGAAGTACAGACTGCAGATTGAGACAAAGAAATAAAAGTAAATGATCTTATGTTACAACACATTTTTCAATAGTGAAAGTGTTACGCCTTCATCCTGATCCAGTATGATGTCAGGGAGTAGAGCTTGTTGACCCTTGCATGTATCAAGATTGTGTCTGTTTTATCATTTGTCTTAGTATTACTGAGCACACCGTGTCACACAAAGTAGATGTAACACATCCTTACATTTAAATGTGATGTTAGGCTGATTCCCAATTTTCACTTCAGCTTTACCACTTGGTCCTACCCCTGTGGTTTGAGTTCTCCTGCAGAGGATTGGATGACCTGCTTCTTTTGTGGATCGAGGACTTGTAGTCCTCTAACCCTCCAAATGAACTTTTTAATTTCAGATCACTGTGGTTAGAGACAAATGACACAAGTCTTTGCAAACCAAGGCATGGTAACATGAAACACCGCCACAGTTGCACTAAAAGACAATCATTATCTTTGATAAATTAATGGAAACATTTAAAAATCAGTATAAAAAAATGTTTTCTGTTGACGCAATATTGATGTGTAAGTAACAATACAATAAATCTGACATATTGAATGGTGCGCTTACTCTATTTTCTGGTTAAAGATTCCAAACCCCAAAATCTTGTAGCTCTGCCCCGAAGGGCAACTACCCATGAAAGGTGACTCAACCTAGGGGTAAGGCTCAGGGGTGGAATTGGGATTGGGCTTTTAGGACTTTTTTCTTTTACATATAAATGTCATGGTCTTTCTTTCATGCCCCCTTTGAGACAGAGCTCCTGGAACTGGCTAACCTCTGGCTAAGCTGCTCCCTCGGAGCTTTGTTTCCCTTTCCTTGAAGCAGTGAGCAGCGCCATAGTATATCTCTGATATCCAACTTTTTTATCCTCAGTCATTGTGCAAAATAGTTTTTTCTATTTCAGATCTATTTGTTTGCGGTTATATTTAGATGACAGTAAATCAGTCAAGTTATGAAAACCGTGTAAAGTCTGAGTCTTTTCAGAAAAGCTTTAGTCAAACTACTAAATAACAGCGAGCAGTAGACATGCTCTGACAGATGCAGTGATAAATCATATGATAGAATGACTCCCCGGGTCGAAAGGGCAAGTCATTTTATGTGGCTGCGCTTCTTCCCGTGTCTAAAATGTGAAAATGAAAGTTTGCAGGTGAAGTTCACAGTGGTTTTCTTATTGCAGAGTTATTTAACAAACTGAAGTTTTAAGTTTTCAGAAATTTCAGGACTTTTTTTTATTTAAGGATGAGTTTTTGGATATAGGTGAAATAGTTTTTTGTTGTTGTTTAGAGATTTGTTTCACAGACACAAAGATCCTCAGTTCGTGTGGTTGATGCTGTTTTCATTATTTTAAGTACATTAGGAGTTCCTTTATCCGTGATTAAACTAGTGTTATAACCTTCGATCTGCCGGACGGTCCTCACTTTACAACCTACAGAATTGCAAATGAAGAGACTATTGCATCATCTTTGTCCTTTATTGGGACATACACATCCATGTTGTACAACTAAATATGAAATATGGATCTAAAGTCATCAGCAAAGCTTATCAGGAGTTATTCTGAAAGAAATCACTGACTTGCTCTCACACGTATAACCATCCGATTCTCAGGCTAGCTTACATCTGTGGCTTTGCTTCTTTTATGTCTGCATCATGAGGGAAATCTGTATTTCTATGATAACTTGTGTGAATATATGCTCTAGCGTTACAGTTCCCACCATTATGACCATATTTCCTAGGTGAGTGTAATGCAGTCTCTCCAGAGTCTTAAGCAATTGCAAAAAATCAAGTGTCTATCTAGTAATCTAGTGTCTCTTTTGTTTAGCTTTACCACCACATGTAGATCGACAATTGTATGAATGCATTAAGAAGATAATGCTGTGATGTAGTTTTACCTTCTTCCAGTGAGAAGTAACAGGTGTTAAAGTCAGGGGATCATAAACAGGACACTCAGGTCAGAAAAACCTAGTAAGTAAACATTTTATTGACCTAAAACATGCACATATGGCTGATAAAAAAAATGTATCATTGTTTGCTGAAAAGAAACAAAAAAAGGAATGTTGAACTTGATGGGACTACAACATACATGGCCGAATATCCAAATCCCTTTTTTGAGTTCTTCGACTGCCACAAGAGAAAGAAACGCGTCCTGTTGACAAAACGTCTCGCTTTGTGAGCGTGGTAGTGCTTTGAAATCTGAACATGTAAATCCGCCTCCTGTTGAAAAATACTTTCTGGTTTTGGGGATTGTGTGATCTGACCTTTAACAAAGTGCATCAATAGTCATATGTAATGTACCTGTGTTACCTGATGAGGGGCTTGGATATACTGGACACTTATACAGCAGTTAGAAACATTACTGTTCAAAGACAAGGATGAGCTTCTTTTTTTCTTAACATGGACCTCCTGCAGTGAAGTACACTGCAGCAACGCCTCTCAGCACTCTTGTCTGAGCTTTTCCACCGAGCTTAATGTTGCTGCTGCTGGAGCGATGAAATGAAACAGACCCACTGCATATACAATACAAAACGATTACAATATCTTGTATAAAAGATAAGTTTATACATATGTATGCACACATGCTCACATTTGATACATCCTGTACAGTTTGTATGTGTGCACTGTTCTAGTCTAACACACATAAACGCACACACGCGCACACACACACACGCACATACATACAAGTGTCTATTTGGCTACACTTTTCAGTCTTTTTCCTGCTGAAAGGTGAGGACAGTAATCCACCTCCTGTGTGTCCAGAAGGAGGACATGCCGGAGCTCGTCTGTTTGGGCTGTAGAAATAATAAAAGGGAGCAATTCAAACACTGTCCTCCCCCCCCCCCCCCCGCTGCCCCCCCCGCACACAAGTTAGGTCGTCGGAGGCAAACCGCTTTTGTCTCCTCCTCTCGCCTCCTCTTTGCCAGCCCCGGAGCTCGTGCCGTTGACAGTCACCTTCCGAGTGTTGGCGCTCTGTTTGGAGGCCGGCGTGTGTCGCTGAGTGTTGTTGGGCACGGTGGGACCGTTGGAGCTTTGGATGGCAGAAGAGGGGTTGTGGGACGCGGGGCTGGACTGCGAAGAGGCTCTGGGGGGCTGGGCCGCAGCGGGACTGTGGACCTTGTCGCTCTGGGAGTCGCTCTCGGACGTGGGGCTTGTGTTGACGCCGTCAGAGTGGCCCTGGGCGGCAGACTGAGACAGCCTCCTGCGCTTTCGGTTGGGTTTGACCAGATACTGCAAGGGGATGGGTCCGGTCTGCGCAGAGGAACACACACACATCATGAAGACCGTGCATTAAAGAGGATGTTTTGGATTTTGTCAATACCCGGTCAAAACGTCCAGACAGAAGTGGAAGAGTGGATTTAAAGCCAAGTCAAAAATGTCCAGCAAGACATTTCTTAAAGGCTTTATATGTGATTTTTTGATCCAGCAGATGTCGCCCTTGAGCACCAGCATGAAACCAAAACAACTCGTGCTGCATTGTTGTGTTAGCATGCTAATGCTAGCGATCTTTATTATGCTGGTATCTTCACACTGCATGTAAATTGACCTGAAATGAGCGTGATCTAGAAACACAGTTAAGCAGTGAGTACAGTATGTTATTCTTCTTTTCTCTAGTCCCTCAATTAAACAACTTTTATACACGAGGGGAGGAGTCAGCCGGCCGGCCGGGCGATGTAAACAAAGTGAAGATAGGACTCTGAAAACTCTGAAAACATCACAGACAGTGGGACTCGGGTGTTACACCCATTGTAGACAGTCATGACTCACAGAGTTATTTTCAGAAGATATACTTGATTTATATTACATTTAAGTGTGAAAAATCACATAGAAAGCCTTTAAGGAAATTCATGGTTTTTAACTACAAATGTGACAATATGTTGCCAGGTCTTTACAAGTGCAACACAACCCTCAGAAAACTAACCGTACTTGACCTTTTATAACCTTTCAGTCCACTGTCATACAACTGTGCACTGAAGCAAGTCCACTAAACAGTTATAGTAATGTTTGCTCAAAACCACAAGTAAGTAAAGACTGGGCCCTCTTTAGAAAGATGAGAGTGTGTATCTGTGGTCACTTTTGTTAACGGTACAGTTTCAGTGGAAATTAAAGTGTTTGGGCTGAAAAGCAGAGAGACACTGAGACGCTGAGATGGAGTGTAGTTCGATTTTTGTCTTTCATTCGATTTGGTAACATTAACAGCCTTATCCTATAAGAGAACATATTCAAACTATCAAAGTTGGATCTCTGGTGGCGGAGGTCCTCTGTGGGGTTGGCCCAGGTTCGACCTTTAGCTCATTCTAGGATGTCATTCCTCTCTCTCTCTCTCTCTCTCTCTCTCTCTCTCTCTCTCTCTCTCTCTCTCTCTCTCTCTCTCTCTCTCTCTCTCTCTCTCTCTCTCTCTCTCTCTCTCTCTCTCTCTCTCTCTCTCTCTCTCTCTCTCTCTCTCTCTCTCTCTCTCTCTCTCTCTCTCTCTCTCTCTCTCTCTCTCTCTCTCTCTCTCTCTCTCTCTCTCTCTCTCTCTCTCTCTCTCTCTCTCTCTCTCTCTCTCTGATTTCTGACTCTATCCACAGTCCTGTCTCTAAATAAAGCCTTAAAAATCCCCCCAAAATAAAAAAATAATAATATAAATACATTTTTAAAAAACTATCAAAGTTGTTTCTGTTTAGTGAGAAGAATAAAAGAAGTAATGAGTTGGTTTATCCTAAGGCCCATTTCAACAACAACACCACTGTATTATTGGGGAAATCACAATATATTATCTCTGTTCTTATTGGGAATTGAAAAAATGGGCACTCCTCATGAAAACAATGAAACCTAAATGAGCAGACCCTTCTGTTGGAGTTCTGTTAACAGTTACAACACCGAGGATCCATCTATCTAAATGTTCACAGCAGTAGATTACACTAACAGTTAGTCACCTGTTAACCAAGTTAAAAATATGTAACCAGTAATGTCAAATTAAGATCTATTTGTAGTCATGTGTGGTCATGTAGATAGAAAAGTGTGTCTGCTATCCCTACTGAACTCTGCATCCAGCTGTCTGCTTCTTGGTTAAAGCTTGTGGTTTGTGTAGATCAATGGTCATGAGACTTTCTATTTTGGGATTAAATAACTGCAGGCACTCAGCTTTTTATCTTTACCACAAACATGCAAACTGAATATTTAGCCTATTATGCTTAATACAGCAAACACAAGAGTGATCATCACTGTCAGGTGGTCGACAGGTAAACCAAATTAAAGTTGTCACTCACCCGTCTCCACTCATAAAAGTAGGCAATATCCATTAGTGTGTAGTAGTCCTTCAACGGCTCGTCTCCATACAACACCTCCACCTGTAACACAGTGAAAAAAACAGTTACCACGTTGTGACCAGCAGAACTGATGGATGATGTAGTGGCTACTTGTCCAATGTCCATGCAAGAGATCTGCGGCTTTTTGGTGGTTTGTTTGGTTCAAAAGAAAGCAAACAAAAGAACAAAGAATATCGTGTCTCCTACTGCCTCTCTTGCGCTGGTAAAAAACAATAGGCCCACCCAGGTGCATGCTGGTCCTCTACCTGCCTTTTACTTAAATAAACTCTGGTGCCCACAGTGTTACCCAAATACCTAACAAAAACACTAATGCAAAACTAAATTTACTAAACAAACAACTAGCAAAAAGAAAATATTACCCAAAATCTATTCTAGATAAAGAAAACGTTTAGAATAATTAAATAAACAACACAACACCAAATATTAGTAAACTAAATACCAAAACTAATTCTAACAACAACTAAATAGCTCCAACAGATGATAATGCATGACTCAACTCAACCGGGTGGAAGCTAGTCAGGCAGTGTCACCAGTGAGAGGTGTGACTTTTTGATCCAGTAGATGTCACCCTTGTGCTCCAGCACTAAACCAAAACAAACAACAAACTGATGTCTGGTGACACCACCTATTCTGAAGCCTCCGCTCTCCTCTAACCACTCTCCACTCGCGCTCACACAAAGGAGTTATCAATTAGAACGCATCTTAATTAAAGCACCATTAAGTGCAAGAGGCTTTGCTCGAGCTGCAATTATCTGTGGCACTTCATGGTTGTGTTAGCGGGCTAATGGTAGCACACTTTGGTTAACTTGATCGCTGAGCTTCCATAGCAGCAGTAAAGAAGGCGTATTATAAACAGCTGCCAGAAAATGAACAAACAAAGAACTCAGCCGATCACAAAGAGTAGTGCAGCAGTGTGAGCAGCAGCAGCAATCTGTCAGAAATCACCACAATCCTGAGTGTTCCACCAAAACTTCATCTCTTGCTGTTAAGTGTCCTCTTCATCTATCATGAATGTAATTTGTGACTGAAAGTGAAATCTGTGGATTTAAATGATCAAGGCCCAGGCTCAGCAGCAGCCAATCCAGTCAACACCAGGCCAGGCCCAGTGCAGGAACAGGGATGCCTCCGAAAAAGCAATCAGATGAAGATACTGTTTCACTCATGGTGGTTCATGAACTCTTGGAACAGCAAAAGACATTCTACAAAGATTTGATTTGTCTACAAGAAAATCGCTTCAAAGACTTCCTGATGGGAAAACATCCATCACAAGTCGTTTCGATGTTGCTTGCAAATTCAATGAGTTTTTTGTGAATGTGGGAACTTCCATCTCTAAGCAGTTTGGAAACACAAATGAAAGTCCAACTGATTATATCAGAGGTAGCTTTCCATCATTTTGCTCGTTTGAACCTCTTAACTGCAATGAGATAAATGACATTATAATAGAGCTAAAACAATCTGCCCCGGGTCATGATGGCATTAGTGCAACCCTTGTTAAAGAGGTAAAAAGATCAATATTGAAACCGCTGTTGCATGTTTTTACGGTGTCCATGGAAACTGGTACTGTTCCTTCTGATCTCAAACTGGCAAAGGTTATTCCACTTCTTAAATCGGGTGATCCAGGACATTTTACAAACTACCATCCCATCTCAGTTCTTCCATGCTTTTCCAAAATATTAGAGAAACTAGTATATAAACACATCCTCAAACATTTGAACATGCATTATACTGTATGAACACCAGTATGGATGCCGAAAAAATCACTCTGCCTATATGGCCCTCTTACAACTACTGGACAAGATTCATTCTGCATTAGAAAATAAAGAGTTTTCATGTTGTATTTTTCTGGATCTCTCTAAAGCATTCAATGCTGTAAATCATGAAATTTCACTAGCTAAATTATATAGATATGGATTTAATGGAAATGTCCTGAGTGGCTCAGTAATTATGTATATATGAGACAGCAGTGTGTCAACTTAAATGGTGTAGAGTCTGAGAGAACTATGATACAGTGTGGGGTCCCACAAGGGTCCATTTTAGGACCGTTACTGTTTCTCATATACATTAACAATCTTGCAACAGTATCAAACACAATATGCCCATTATTATTTGCAGATGATACTAATTTACTTGTCTCCAGTAAAAATTTGTCAGAACTCATGAATTAAGTAAATAAGGGCCTTCTTGCATATTCAAAATGGTTTAAAACCAATAAGTTGCCATTATATTTGAAAAAAATCTAACTTCATGATATTTGCTGGAAAAATGAAATATAACTCTGAAATGGTGAAATTGTATATAAATGATGAAGAAATGACTAAAGTAACATAAACAAGATTGTTTAATTGATGAGAAACTTATATGGAAAGATCACATCAGCTTTGTCTGTAGTAAGGTTACAAAATCTCTGGGGATTATTAGAAAACATTTGTGTTTTTTCTACATTCTTCTTGTATCTCAACATTATATTACAGCCAAATATATCTGTATCTTACTTTTTGTAATATTGTATGGGCAAGCACTTTCCAAACATATCTTCATAAAATTCTATTGCTCCAGAAACGTTTTGTCAGAATGGCAACATTTTCCAAGTCCTGTGATGCAACCTCCCCTCTTTTTTTGAAGTGTAACATATTGACAATCTTTGATGTTCATTTTCTTCAAATAAGTAGCTTTATTTTTAAAGTTAAATACATGAGTGCAAACTTGCCAGAAAGCTTTAAAGCATTTTTAATTCTCAAGTGAACTATTACCCAACTAGACAAATCAATAACCTATACGGCCTGATGGCGAACAGAGTTTGGCTGATGATCTGAACAGATTTTTCAACAGATTTGACTGCCCCACACCACCCCAGCCTCCCCCACCTGGTCTGCTGACCATTGCTGCTTCCTCTCCACCTCCCCTCCCTCTCTCCAACACTCCTGAGATGTCACCTGCACGGAGTGCCCTCTTACCACCTCCTACTCCACCAGCAGCCCCACCTATGACTCTTCATACTGCTCAGGTCAAGATGATGCTGGACAGACTGAGGCCAGGGAAAGCAGTGGGACCCGATGACATCAGCCCAAGGCTACTGAAGACTTGCTCTTCAGAGCTGTGTGTTGTCCTAACACACCTGTTCAACCTGAGCTTGCATTTACAGAAGGTCCCAAGGTTGTGGAAAACATCTTGCCTGGTACCTGTCCCAAAGGCTTCCTCTCCACCTCCCCTCCCTCTCTCCAACACTCCTGAGATGTCACCTGCACGGAGTGCCCTCTTACCACCTCCTACTCCACCAGCAGCCCCACCTATGACTCTTCATACTGCTCAGGTCAAGATGATGCTGGACAGACTGAGGCCAGGGAAAGCAGTGGGACCCGATGACATCAGCCCAAGGCTACTGAAGACTTGCTCTTCAGAGCTGTGTGTTGTCCTAACACACCTGTTCAACCTGAGCTTGCATTTACAGAAGGTCCCAAGGTTGTGGAAAACATCTTGCCTGGTACCTGTCCCAAAGAAGACCCATCCCACTCACCACAATGACTACAGACCGGTAGCGCTCACCTCACATATTATGAAGACATTTGAGAGACTTGTCCTCTTCTACATCAGGACTAGTGTGTCAACTCAAATGGATCATTTACAGTTTACGTATCAGCCCAACATCAGTGTCGATGATGCCCTCATTTACATGCTGCAGAGGGCGTACACACATCTGGACACCCCTGATGCATCTGTAAAGATTACATTCTTCGACTTCTCAAGCGCCTTTAACACCATTCAGCCTCGACTGCTAGGGGAGAAGATGGAGAAGATGAAGGTGGATCCATTACTGGTATTGTGGTGTTTGGATTACCTTTTTCTCAGACCACAGTACGTGCGCCTACAGAACAGTGTCTCAAGCACCATCCTGAGCAGCACAGGGGCTCCACAAGGAACTGTGCTGGCTCCATTCCTGTTCACCATCTACACAGCGGACTTCCAATACAACACCAACAGCTGCATTTCGCAGAAATTTTCAGATGACACAGCTGTTGTTGGCTTCATCAAAGGGGGCAATGAGGAGGAGTATAGAGACACAATAAACAACTTTGTGGAGTGGAGTGCACACAATAACCTTCATCTCAACACCAAAAACAAAGGAGATAGTTGTGGATTTCAGGAGGGGGAGGAGGAGAACTCAACCAACACCAATCACCATCAGAGGCACTGAGGTGGAGATGGTCACCAACCACAGGTACCTTGGTGTGCAGCTCGACAGTGAGCTGGACTGGAAGACTCATATGGAGGCAGTGTACAAAGCCGACTGTATTTCTTAAGGAGGCAAAGGTCATTTAACATCTGCCAACCCCTGCTGTGCAGTGTCTACCATTCAGTGGTGGCCAGTGCTCTGTTTTTTGCTGTGGCCTGTTGGGGGGAAGGCGCCCGCACAGCGGACAAAAACAGACTGGACAAGCTGATCAGGAAGGTCCAGCAGGTGGCAGAGGCCAGAACTCTGAACAAACTGGTTTCAATAATGACCAACCCCACTCACCCACTCCAAGCCCTGAAGGTGATCAAGAGCAGCACCTTCAGTCAGAGACTGATTGCACCAATGTGCAAGACTGAGAGACACAGAAAGTCTTGTATACCAGCTGCTATAAGGTTTTATAATGCACAAAAATAAGCTATCTTATGAAATGTGTGGTGTTATGTCTGTCTTGAAGCTGTTGTGGCACTGTAATTTCCTGTAAAGGATTATTAAAGGATCTATCTATCTATCTATACCTAACAATGCATCTCGAGGACAGTACTCAATAAGATACCATACCATCTTTATTTACTTAATGATTTTTGTCTTTTTCTAGATACAAATTGAGACTCAGAAATGCGTTGATGTCAGAAAGATTTGTAGTGAATAGTGAATTGTCCTGATTTTGTTATATTGTCTACATACTGTACGTCCTGTTTTGCTCTATTTTTATGTTTTCAATGTTTGTATGTCATTTTCAATGACATTTTATTTTATTTTCTCTAGTCCTTAAATGAAATAGCTTTATACACAAGGCCGTCCCATCCATGTAAACATGTAAACATGATGTAAACATGATGTGAACATGATGTAAACACGGCTCTGACAACTGTCCAGCTGGCGAGACTCACGCTTCTCACTCATTGTAGACAGTCATGACTCAGAGGGACATTTACACAGGATACATTGATTTCTGCTGTATTAACAGAATGTGTAGAATGTCCCACATTCTGTCTTGAAGTTTGGCCACTTCTGATGTGGCCTCTTCAGAGCACTTTAGTTATCATATTGGAGTGTGGCTTTTTCAGAAAATGCACTTCTGAAAATGTCTACAAAATGTCAGGACAGGCTGCCACTCAAATCTTCCAGACTCACCTATTGACACATGTATCATGGTGAACAATGGAAAAGAGTGAGACGTTTTGAAGACAGTTTGCACCTCTATATCAATGCTTAACTGATGAGTGGTAAATATATAGTGGCAAGCAGAAAAGAGTTTGAAATGCACGAAGAAGATCATGCCAGTTTCCCTCTAATCCCAGGGGACAAACATCATAACGGCTGTCACTAGCTCGCAGTGCATTTTCCACGATATTACCTACTGCGTTCACACTTCACACAGAAAATGTTTCTGCACAGTGGCAGCAAGAAGTCTGAGTGAAAAAATTATTGCGTTTGCGTCCACAAATACAGCTGCCCATGAACATTTTGGGACTTCTGTGGAATATGTGAAAAGGCCACAGTTGACGGCTCACATATCAAAGTGACATTTCAAAGTTCATGAAACCTGATAAGATGCGACCTCTGTTTTGATGATGTTACTGAGAATTAAAAAGTTTATACTATTGTGCCTTGAACCTGAAGTTTACCAAAGAACTGAAACCCACAAGAGTGTCTATTTACCCGATAAGTGTTGGGAATATCCATCTTGCTTCGGAGGAACTTTGCTAAGTGCATGACGGACATGGCTGCTGGGCACTGCAGGAAGCGTTTACCATTGGACTGAGAGCAAAGGAAAGAGCAGATAGGACAAACATAAGTACAAGATGAGGAGCAGAAACCCACAATAAAACATAAAAAGTGTGTAGGCTTCAAATACTAATAACTATTCTTAATTCTCAAATCAGCCTCTACCTTGTCTCCTTCCAACTCTGCATGCTGCATCTCATTATTTCTGCAAGGAAAAAATTAAATACAAAGAAAATGGTTAAAACATTATATACATAGAACTTTCTTACCTCAACTACAGGAAACATGTCCAGAGAAATGTGCCAGGTATGAGAGAAACCTTTTGGAGGGTTTACACAGTTCTTACTCACTCTTTTTCATTTCTGTTTAATATGAGACTTCATTTCATATTTTATTTATTCTATACCAGAGGTCAAAGTTAAATGGTAAATGGAATCTGACTTTTATAGCTTTTCTAATCTTCTGACACTCAAAGTGCTTTTTACACTACATGTCACACACAATGATGGCAGAGGCTGCTTTAAGTGCCTGACTGCTCAACAATACTATGTCCAGTGGTAATCATTTGAGGTTCAGTGTCTTGCCCAAGGACACTTGGACATGTGACTGCAGGAGCTGGGGATCAAACCCCCGTTCATTCCGGTTGAGAGACGACCGACTCCACCACAGAGCCACAGCTGCCACAACCCAACTGAGCCCTGCTGACAGCGCTAAGGGTGAAATCTCAAACCTGCTACTGTGATTGAGTGGCAAAGAATGCACCAATCATTTCAGTCATTTTGTGTTTGAGAAGTGAATAACTCAAAGTGTTCTATCCAGTATACATGAAGGGTTCATATAGCCTGGGACCACTCAATGTTGTCTGTGTTCAAGGAAACAAAATGAATCCAATCGTTCAGCTCACAGTCAAAAAACAAATGAGCTTCTTTCGGGATTTGCATTAAAAGAGACAGTGATATGACTTTGGCGTGGCACAACGGCCAACAGTGTCACGATGTGGGACTTGCTAACTGGTGGCTGAATGGAGGGATCAGTGAGGACGATCTGTTTTGTTTACTTTTAGTTCCTCAGCTCATCGCACCAAGTGAAGACAGCATGGCAGTCCCAAGTTATAAGCACATTAGGGTAAGATATGAGGATGCTAAGATTATTAAGTGCAAATATTTCCAGACCCTCGCCTATGACATAATGACAGCCGTAGAATGAATCTACCATGTTCTCCTTTCTTGTTTCTGTCTGACCTTACAGCTACATCTCATTGTTTCCACACAACTCTTCACTAACTAGACCCAACATGAAGAATCCTCACTGATGTTTTTGTATCAAAATGACAAATGATTGACTCACTTGTTCCTCTCGTAGAACTGTATGGACAGACTGATGATTTCATCCTCTGCTATATTGAACGTCTCCACCACTTCCCCTGGTTCCAGCACACGATTCTCTGCGTAGAAGTCCCGCCTCCGCTTCATTTCATCTGAGAGATGCAGCAGGGAAAACATATAGGTTTCAAAGAAATGCCCAAGATGAATGGAAAACTATTGCAAAAACAAAACTGAGACGTAAAAAAAACACATCCTCACCTTTGAATAACCCTGGAACAAGCTTATATACAATATCTTGTAGAGTTTTGTCCGCTCTAAAAAAGAAAGAAAATGTGTTATCTTGATCAAACTCACTCCAACGGTGTCTTTAAAAAATATATCTGACCCAAAAAAAAAAAAAAAGCATCAAAACCGACCTGATACTGAGCTGTGGACATGTCTTGTGAACCTGGACGTCACATCGCGGGCAGAACTTATTTGTCTCCAGGAAGGCAACGATGCAAGTTTTACAAACTAAAGGAGAAAATAGGACACAGAGTAATGCTGAAAACGCTGCAGCACCGATACCCTTACAGAAAACCACATCAGGTTCACATGTGGGTAAAGCAGGAGTTCTCAAGTGAAATTGGTTTCAAATGTGCAAATCCTTACTTGTAAAATCATGACTTTCAAATAGGAAACTATTGGGTTTGAAACATTTGATGTATGAGAAAGGAAACTACTGTTTTAAGAGCTGTGAAAAATAACTGAGCTACCATTAAAGCTGCAATCCCTAAAGGAGTTTCATGTTAAAGAAATCTCTCTCCAGCAGACACAGGAAGGACACTGTACACTGTAAACAAACTGGGAAATGACACGTTTTCTGTACTGGCTGATGTTCAAGCTCAGGCATCACAATCAGTATTGGGGAAGGGGGAAAATGGTAAACACATCACTAAGCAGCCTCCACTGTAACACTAGTGTTACATCAACACATCATTAAGGGGTGTGAAATAACATGGAATGATTGTTTCACGTGCACCGTTACTTTCCCTTCCTGCAGGTCAGAATATCAGTCATGACATGACACTCACCTCCCTACAACCTACAACAAGAGCAGGAGCTCTGCTGAATATGCAAACTGTTGTAAGGTCTATGCAAATGCTACACAGGGCTAAACAGAAACACTGCAGGTGATGCTCTCATGTGTGTTGTGTGTGTGTGTGTGTGTGTGTGTGTGTGTGTGTGTGGGGGGGGGGGGGCTTACATGAGTGCAGGCACTCTACGATGGTTGTGGCATCAATTAAGTACCCAGCGCACAGTGGACATGTGAGATGTGGATTCAGATCTGTGATTTTAATCCGGTTTGGCTGCATTTTATCCATCTGGGCAGATCTGCAGAGGGGGGACACACATACAAAACACAAGAGGTTCTTGTTACACAGAGGGGGACACAGATCTAAATATTGTGATAGGCTACTAACAGATCCATCCCATATGGTCAATCAGAGACAGTGTCTGCAGCTCGTCCTTGGCACAGCAGATTGAGAAACCACAAACTCGTAGCAATGGTGGTAAATCAAAACAACTGGAGCCCTCATGTTGCGGGGGTAAATAACGTGGGGGAAAGCAAGGAGTCGTGCAGCTAAAGTGCAGGCTGTTTTCTGGTACACAGCAGCCGACTATTGAATCGCCCCTGTGTGGCCTCATCTTGTGCATCTCGACCAGCAGCGGGGCAACAAAGAGCGTTTGCTTTCCCCCCGGAGCTCCGCTGGTCCGACCGGCCACCAGAACCGAACACATCCACATAGATCCCCATCAGTGAGGGGGAGGGGGGGTGCAGGGGGCACAGAAAATCACACTGGTACACAAAGCAGCCATCTTAAATTCACTGACAGGGCTTCTATGAGGAGGCGAACAAGAGAGACTCAAAATGTGACACCGTGCACTTTGTGTTGCGCCTCAGCAAACAGCGGGGCCGATCAGCCCGCTAAACAACAATCACCGATGCTTTCGTTCCTACCTGTTTAAGACATAAAAGAGTCCCTCTCCTCCCAGCGAGGATCCAGGTAAATTATTTGGACTTGGACAGAATTTGCAGCAGCGCCAGAAAATGGCTTTTTTTTCAGCACCGTCAGAGGACTGCCCATTTTGGATCACGTGATATTATTTTGTCGCCTCGCTTCTCGGGGCATGCAGGGTATCTCCTCTATAGGCCCCTGCTCACTTTTTTACACACTGTATTTATTTTTGCACTAGCAATGCATCACATGTGATTTTAATTTTTGCTCCTCTATTTAGTCTGTTAATTTATTTGAACAAATCGCTCCGCAGTGTGCTCCGCCCCGCCCTCACTTAGTCTGACTATGATTGTTAATTATTCTGTCTGCAGGACTGGATGAGGGCCTGCAGGCCTCACGTCCCGGGCCGAGCTGAGGGCTGGCCCAACACACACGTCTGCAAATTAATTGGAGATTAGCAAATCTTGTTCCGTTTCATCTGAATATTTTTTTTATAAAAGGCTCAGAAATATAACTATATATATATATATATATTTTATTTTTAATTTTTACAAAAGCACTGATTTGTTCATCAGATGTTCTTTGTGGAATATGGTTGCTGGGTGTCTTCTGGCTTTCATTGAGTTATACAACTATGAACTTTGTTATTTTGGTAATTTACAATACACTGCAATACAATATAACCATTGAATAACCATGTCTAGGCCTATTGAGTGATTCACATAGACCTAGTCTATATTAAACTTTTAGAAACAACAGTGCAAACACTTTACAATCAAATGATATAAAAATGAAGTAATGTTCGACTTAAATACACGGACAGAAAGATGTTTTGAAAATTCACATGATTGTCTGATCAAACACAACAGTTTATTTTCATAAACTGTAGCCCTGTGTGGATTTATGAAGTATTTTAACCCAGTCAGGGGAATACGAGTTGTAATCATTTCTTTTTGTTTTATACATCAAATGACAGCTGAACCCATAAATCTGAGGTTACAAAGTTTTCCAGGTAACCACGCTCACAATAAAAGCAGCACAAATGAACAGACAGATAAGAGATGATATAGTATCATGCCAGTCAGTAAACAGAACAGTAGACAGGAGAGACAGCAGCAGGAGTGTGTTTCATGGGGTCAGAGAAAGTTCATGCTGACAATCACAAAATGTGTCACCATACTTTAGTCAATGAAGAGTCAGCTGTTACCTGAGCTACCAGGTAGAGGTCTCATTCTATGAACCTGTGAGAGAACCACAGACACAGCTTCAATGATAGATAGATAGATAGATAGATAGATAGATAGATGGATAGATAGATAGATAGATAGATAGATAGAGATAGATAGATAGATAGATAGATAGATAGATAGATAGATGGATGGATAGATAGATAGATAGAGATAGATAGATAGATAGATAGATAGATGGATGGATAGATAGATAGATAGAGATAGATAGATAGATAGATAGATAGATAGATAGATAGATAGATGGATAGATAGATAGATAGAGATAGATAGAGATAGATAGATGGATGGATAGATAGATAGATAGATAGATAGATAGATAGATAGATAGATAGATAGATAGATAGATAGATAGATAGATGGATAGATAGATAGATAGATAGAGATAGATAGATAGATAGATAGATAGATAGATAGATAGATAGATAGATGGATGGATGGATAGATAGATAGATAGATAGATAGATAGATAGATAGGAACTTTATTAATCCCTTGGGAAGGTTCCCTCAGGAAATTCAGATTCTAGCAGCAGGTAACACCAAAGGATAGAACAGCACACAGATACAAAGAATAAAATAAAAACACAAGTTATATACAATTAATATACTGTAGACAGTAGCAGCAATAGACATGTCTAAATAAAATATACTGGTACAGATTTATAATAAAATAGCAGCAAGCAATAAGAAAAAGGTAGCAGCAACAGTGTTGTTTTGTATTTGTCCTTTGTTTTTATAAAAAGACAATTAACAATAAATAATGAATAATGCAAGCTGTTAGGATTGTGTTGTGGTCAGTTCAGGCCAACGCAAGCTATCCTGACTTCTATTTGTTGGAGATGTGGAGATGCACTAGGTCACAACCTGACTGATGACGGGGTGAAATTTGACAGTCTGGACATTTAACAGAGCAAGACGGAGCACAGCTGTAATGTAATGGCCACTGTTGTCTCGGTGTATGGAAAGGTTAGCCTAAGGACCTGAGAGAAGAACAATAAACAAACCTCATCACATATCTTTCTATCCTGCTGTTTATACTGAAAATACCTCACCGTCTTCATCAGTGGTTTTCACATCAATTATTTCCTTGTACTTGTTCACTTTATTGACTTTTATTAACCCAACAATATATCGTGGATGTTGTAAATCACTTCATATGGATTTTTGTTTTGGCAGCTGTTTTAGGCAAGAGAGCAGCAGGTGAATCTGTGTCCGTCGAGAAGATAACCCCTCTGCAGTCAGGGACTTCAGAAACATAGAAAGGCATGCAGAGCAGATAACATCACTACATATTTATTTGTACTTTCATTTTTTATTTTTGCTTGATGTTTTACTTTACTTTGGGATTTTATTTGTTTACATATTTATCTTCTCTGTGATAGTTTAGGTTGTTTTAGTGAATTTTAAATGATCTTTTTAATGTCTCTTTTTTCCCTTTGTCATGACGGGATATTTGGGCTCACTTCAATTATTTTCCTTTATATTCTTTGATGTGTATCATCCATGGTCCATCTAGATCATCCTTATACAGCTCCTGCAGGGCTGAGGCTGCACGTTCTATCACTATAAACTCAGAGAAGTCCTTCAGACAGTTATTCAAACTAAATTCACAAGGATAAATCTTTTCACTGAAAGGAATGTCAATGCTAACAGACGTTGTGTTACTGCCGGTCTCCCTGTCACGATGCTTTTGAAGTCTTGTGTGAAGCACTTTAAATTGTTTCTGAAATTTGTTATAGTAATACATTTAACTTGACTTAATCTGTATGTGACACCTTTGTGGATGCATGTTTTAATAAAAGATGCTCTAGAAGTCAAGTTTTGTAAATTGTTATTGTATGCCAGCAGTAAAGAACATACTGTGTTGCAGCATAATAATTCTTTGATCATGTAAAAATGAAACTGTTTATTATTGAGAAGGGAACACTAATACCAAAGGGGATTGCATTCCTTCAAGGTTGGACAGTAAAATCCTGAGTACAAAGGTCTCTTGAGGAAAAAAAAAAAGTGCAACTAAATAATTACAGCCCACTGCCGCATGTTGCTGTACATGAATGCTAAAAAGTTTTGATTTACTTTACAGCAGCAGAGTTATATTCCGACTTTTTGGTCCTCAAATAGGTCAAAAACACTGGATTGTACAACTATCATGATGTAACTTTATAATGTTTAGGACGTCTTCTTTCATTTCAAGTCATAACTAAGGTAATCCATACAATATATTCCTGATTTATTTGGTTTACAAAGACAATAGTTTAAACCAAAATGACATAATTTACTTTAGCCACACAGCTAAGTCAAATGAAATGATCTCGACACTTGTGTAGTGGTAATCAAATTTTATGTTTCCTTTGTTAACTGTTTTTTGCACCAATAAACCAAGACAAAGTCCTTGTATGTGTAAATGTACTTTAAAAAAATGCAATAAAAACCAACTCTGATTCTGAAACAGGTGCTCTGTAGTGCATTGTTTTGTGTTTTAAGCACCCTGTGGTAAATACATTACTAGCTGCAATAACTAATTAGATATATATTTATGTGGTGCAATCAAAAGCTGTACTATTGTCATAATGTCCCAAACGTTTGAACTTATCAAATCTCAATTTGATCTTTGTTTCTTGACTTCTAAGTCTCATTGCAAAGCGTGTGTAAAAGTCAGTGTTTGAAGGTAGCTCAAAGTGTTCTGTCAGGTATTATTATGTTGAATCTTGTACAAAAAATGTTGCGCATTGGAAATTGTTCTCTTCCTTTTGTCTTATACTGAAAGACATAATAATTCAACAATATTTGTAAAATAATAAGTGAATTTATTGAAGTATAGCCCTGAGGGATGACTCACCTTGTTTTCGAGGGGGTCCAACACAGACACATTCAAAAATACTAAAGCTGCATGCGCCAACCCACCAACACAATATTTATACAATGCCAATACACCCACACAATGTAAACAGGAACTAGATATCACACAACACATATATTACATATAAAATAACTAAAAGTAACATAGTTGTGATACTAGTGAGGTGCACATTTACTGATGGTAAGACAAAAACATTTGATGTGCACATTTACTCAACAAAATTGTGTTCCACTTAAAAAATACAAACATAAATAATCTACATAAAGATTACTGGCATAGATAATTATCTAATATTGTGAAATTACCTTATTTTAAAATTCTGCCACTTGAGAAAAAATAAAGATTGAAATCTGGATGTTTTGCTTTGTGCTTAGTTTATCATAGTTCCATCCAAATCAGACAAGTTTGGAACTTTTTTTCCACATTTAATACTCTTTAAATCGCATTAGATATTTAGATTTTGGTGTGTCCAAATCGTCAAAAAGTAGCTGAGACAAAAAAAAGTAATGCACCTGTCCCCAGCTTTAACTTCTTCTGACTTGCTTGTTGGCATTTGACTTATAATACATAGAGAGGGATGCACTGAGCGGACTAAGCCTCAGCCTTTCAGCCTTTACTATTCCTGTCCTGTGAGTAATCCTGGTTCAGGTCCTGCCTGTGGTCAAGGTGAGATGTGGAATCCCCTGCAGTTCTGCCTGCGGCCTGCTGGGGGCGCTGTTGCCTGTGAAGTGTAAGCGGGGACGCCATCTTGAGGAGACCCCGAACGCAGCGCTCGGTTGGCGGTGATTGACAACAATCTCAGGCGCATCATGATGGGATTACACACTGACAAGTGAAACAGCATCACTTCAGTTTTTTAAGTGCAGAAATTAAATGGAAGAGGGGCAGCGGTGTGGAGAGTGTTGACCGCCAAAGGGTTGTTTTTTCGGGCACAAAGAGAGGCTGCGCTGTGTAGCCTGATGGCCGGCTAGCTGCTCTCTGGACTCCGACGCGGCCTGCAGGAGGAGGAAGGGTGGTGACGGCACAAAATGCTCTACCGCTGACTCCCAACAACATACCTGAGACTCGCTGCGAGCTGGACGACGAGCACGATGCACTTATAGATTTTAAACCCTCTTAACTTTTCCACATTTTCTGTTGTTGTGTGGAGGCTCTGACCGACAGTGAGTGACCCTAAACCCCCCAAGACATGTCATCCAACTGCACCAGCGCAGCGCCCATCAGCGCTAGCAAAACCAAGACGAAAAAGAAACATTTTATAGGACAGAAAGTGAAACTATTCCGTGCAAGTGAACCCATTCTCAGCGTTTTAATGTGGGGTGTCAACCACACGGTGAGTACGTGCAGAGTGTGTCGTTGTGTGCCTGTGAGCAGGTTTGTTTATGCTCCTGTTTTGATTTAGCTAGCATGCTAGCTTGTTAGCCTTCATCTGTCACTTCAGCTTTGATGCTTTCAGATGCTCTTTACTATTTGTCTATTCCTAAGGATAGTCGCCGTGTTTTAGTGCTTATTGTGGACACAAGTCTTATTGAGCTGTCGGTGTATTAAACTAAGTGATTGCTTGGTAGCTAGCCGCAGTTTCTTGTTGCCTGAAGCGTTGCGTTTTGCAGGGATTTAAAAAGCCTATCTGTTCCACTCCCTGTAGCTTTTATCAGACAAGAAAGAAGCATCCTCATTGCAGGGTTGTGCATATTCACACAAAACAAGAGCGTAAACAATCTGGCATCATAAATCATTGATGGTGAAGAAGTGTTTTGCAGCCAAGTCGTGAGCTGCTGCAGCTGTAGTGCAGGCATGGAGTGGGAGGGGTGTGACAGGCAGCCGGAGCGGCAGGTTACACTGATTTTCAGCAGCAGCAGCAGCAGCAGCAGCCTCCCTATTGTTTCAATAAACCTGCTCTGCGCTTAGTATTTGCAGCCTGCATTCAATCGCTGCAGTTTATCCCATGGCATCAGCTCCCCCTATAAATAGAGTCGAAACAAATAGATCGCATTCACATTTGGCTGAGGCTGCCTGTGGCTATGAAAAGCACTGTGAAGGGCAGATTGGACACCAGTGATGGATAGAGTGGGTCTGAACCAGCAAGTTTGGTCTTGCTGCCCAATTTGCAATACACTTAGTAAGTGTTAAGTCAGAAACCCACTGTTGCACAGTTTGATTGAAGCAGCCTCTCAGGTGTGACCAGAGGCTGTCAAAGATTAAGATAAACTTTATTGATCCCCCATGGGGGACATTTTTGCGTTACAGCAGCTCAAGAAAACAGGAAACAGGAATATAATTATTAAAAATAAAAATAGAAGTTAAAAATCAAACATATGTACGTCAGTTAAATAAAATAAATAATAATAATAGGTAGAAAGTAGAAACTACAAGAGTTGAAACTTGTCTTTTTACTCTGAATGGAGAAGGAGCAGCTAACTTTTATCTGCAGTGTGAGTTCTTTGCCTCAGTCAGGTAACTAAATCTGTATTTGTGGTTCCCTTATGTTATATTAAGTACATTTTTTAATCATCAGCAATGTTCTGATCGATCAAATCGACCAGATATTGACCAATATTTAATTTTTGAGAATGACACAATACTAACTATGTAAGGGAAAGTTTCACTCTCAAAATAAAAGACAATCGATATTATGAATTATCAAGCTGGAGTGAGAATAAAATAATTCTATGTGGACTTTTGAACAATTTTGCTCTGATCTGATTATTCAGAAGGCTGCTTATTGAACACATAACTTTATTTGATTATTTTAACAATATTGGAGTCGCCTAATATTGTCCCAGCTGTGACGCTCTTCTACATATGCTGCTCACAGTCCTGAGAGTATTTGAAATCATAAAGTTAAAGCAGTCTCTGGTGGAAAAAAACAAGTGATACCTTCATGTGTAAATCATGTCGAGCAGTTATTCTGCATGATGTGTTCTGTACATTCAGTTTTCATGCTGGTGCATATTGGAAAACATATTTCTGTGATAGGGTCATACTGCCCTGATGGATTTAGACCGACATTTAGTTAACTTTCAAACCTGCTGATAGTGACAACACTCACAGCACATTTGACACTGTGTCAGTGGATTTGCATTCTGTTGATTTCTCAATGAAACAAGAACCTCAAATGTCAACTACCCTGTTAAAAGAAATGACACAGTGGATGAAATGGATGCGACCAGGGAATTAAAGAGGCAGCTAATGATACGGTTATCACTGCAGTATTCAGTGGGTGAACTTTGGCAGTGGGTGTGTGGATGCAGTGCTCAGAACCTGTGATTTAAGGTGTGGGTGGGAAGCCGTTTCAAGACATCAAACAGACTCCTCATCAAAGTCCTCTTCTCTCAGTCAGAAGTTGGATGCATATTTAATTGTGCCTGAGCTTCATAGCTGGAGGACTTCACGTCCACACAGTGTCTGCTGGTGTTTTCATGATGTACCACACAACACCCGTTTGATGCTGAAAGTTCAGTGAGGCCGATTATTTTAATGTCAGTAAATAATTGCCAGGTCTATTCAAGCTTCAACTTCAGAGTCCATTCAGCATGATTAAAAGAAGCCTTAACAATTAAGGACCGATTGTGTTTTTATAGAGGCTCAACATTAAAACACATAACGACATGCTCTCACTGAATCATTTCACTGCACTCCTTTGAGTTAATGTAGGCTTCCCCGGGCACATTAAGGAGGCTATGTGACTTTACTTAAACCTTTTTCCCATAAAACTTTATAAAATCCTAAATGTATGAATAATAACTTTGTGGAATAAAATACACTTTTTTTTCATTGGCTGCTAATTTTCTCAATGGTGTGTGTGTGTATATGCTACTTAGCTTACTCAACATTTGAGCCATGTTGTGGGGTTTTTGACCCCAATACTTATTTATGTGCGATAAAAATCTGTTAACAGGTTTTGGCGTTGGCTTCATAATGACACGATGTCTAATGTACTTCAAGCATTGTTGTCTGCAAACAGAATATGAAACATACACACACACATACTACACATACTAATGCATCTGTGATAGGCCTTTATATTTACAATAATATCGTCCAAAAAACGAACAAGTTAGGGTGTTATGTTTTTATTACATTAAAAATAATTACTGGAGTTATACTTCAAAACGAGAATATATTTCACAACAGGCAGCTGTGGCTCAGTGGCAGAGTCGGTCGTTTTCTCAAGGTAGGCGGTTAGATCCCAAGCTCCTGCAGCTGATGGTCACTTTACACAACAGCTTCTTCCATCAGTGTGTGAATGGGTTGGTGAGAAGTCAAAGCGCTTTGAGTAGTCAGAACTGAAGACTAGAGAAGTGCTATACAAGATCAAATCCGCTTAACATTTACCATATGTAAAGGAAAGTATGTTCTTCCTCTATTCCAAACTACTATTTGTAGTTGATATGTCTGTTGTTCCTTAAAGGCTTTTTGACTCAACTTTCTCTCTGCTGTCTTGTTAGCGCTTCAATGTTTTCCCTCAATGTCTGTTTAACTGAGAGAGAGAGAGAGAGAGAGAGACCATTAGTGTGGGCTGTTGTTGCTCTGCATGCCCAGCAGATAAGACCAGAATCAGGGACTTTGTTCGCAGCAGTAGCAAGAAGAACTCATTTGATGCAGAAAATAATTGGTGCTTGTATTTTTGGGAGGCTTTTGGTAGGATGTGTGTGGGTTACATGAGGCTGATAAAACGTACTGTTTGTACACATTGAGGTACAGCGTGTACTCATAGATCTATTCTGTTGAGTTAACATGTGCAGGATTCTATCCTGACGGCACAACATGTAAAGCACATCTCCGTATGTTTGACTGGAGCTGCACAGTGGAGTACTTTGCGTAGGCGTCTGTTTAAGCAAACTGTTCCCATATTGAAATCACAAAGTCAATATTGCAGCTTTGGTTTCTTATTTTCCTGAATAAATATACCGTTTGTTATTGAATGTATCGGCTGTTTTCTTCGTCTGATCTTAACTATTTTTCCTTCTCTTGTTTTTTCGCCTTCAGGTGAACGAGTTAAGTAACGTGCCTGTACCAGTTATGCTGATGCCAGATGACTTTAAAGCCTACAGTAAGATCAAAGTGGACAACCACCTATTTAACAAGTAGGTACATCACAGTGTATACAGTATCTGCTCTATCTAATAAGTGCACAATCTGTAGTCAGGGTGTAAACAAATGGGTCAACTGACCACCCGAGTTAGAGGCACCAGCCGTCTCTCCAAAATGTTTTTATGTCTGCTCCAACAATTCCCTCATACGTGGATGTATGTGAAATTATTTCATGACATCTTGCCTTTAACAATTCTTTTCACTCATAAGTTATGTGTGAGATATTCCTGCAGGGTAGAGCCCGATGAATAATCAAAACTGAGTTTCAATCACAGTTTCTGGCCTACATGATTATAAAATCAAGATAATCAAGATCAAATGATTTTTGTGCCATAATTTGCTTTGCAATGATGCTCTTGTTTTATAAAAGCAATGTACACTGTTTTCCACATGGATTCAGGATGACAGTAGAAGGACATAATCATCCGAATGGATAAAAAAAACACGCTTAAAGTTTTGTTTTGAGAACCAGCTTACATGAAGAAACTCCCCCGAAAGAAGGATTCAAAATGATGCACTAACTACTATGAAACTTGTTTGAAATGCTAAGTTTAAATGTTAATTTGTAGATTTAAATGCCTCATGTTTTGGTTTGTTGTCTGCTGGAAAAAAAGTGTCATCCAGAAAACCGACAGCAGCAAATTCAGCTTACAGTGTTTTTGCTTGAGCCATGCAATATCAGAAACGAGAAGCAAGCAAACCTTTTTTATACATAGTTCTTCCTGAATTTGTCTGAGCTGACTTTGTGTAACTCTCTCTCTCTCTCTCTCTCTCTCTCTCCTGTCAGAGAAAACCTGCCTAGTCGCTTTAAGTTCAAAGAGTACTGTCCGATGGTGTTCAGAAACCTGAGGGAGAGGTTCTGCATCGATGACCAGGACTACCAGGTGAGGAATCACTTCTGGATGAAAGATACAAACCCATGTTTATGAGTTTGAAAAGTTTGAAAGTGAAAAGAATTAAAAGGCCATATGAATGTATCTGGACTGTCTTTTTTTTTTTTTTTTTGCAGAACTCTCTGACGAGGAGTGCTCCACTTAACAGTGACACGCAGGGTCGCTTTGGCAACCGTTTCCTGTCCAGCTACGACCACCGCTTTGTAATCAAAACAGTGTCCAGTGAGGACATCGCCGAGATGCACAACATCTTAAAGAAATATCACCAGGTAGAAGTCCTTCTCACCTCTGCACAGAGACACAGAGAGAAGGCAGATTATTTCTGAATCAGTAATGTGATTAATGATGTTTGAAAACACAGTCCATACTCTAAAAGTGCTTGTTCAGCTAAATGACAGGCTTATACTTTGACTTCACGTGTCCTAATTTAATTACATAAGTTCAAGTTCAAGTTATCTTTATTCGTCAAATGCACAACATAGCAGGTAAAACAGTCATAGCTGCCAATTATTTTTTTGTGTTCCAAGCTCTCCTTAACAATGCAATAAATAATATAAAAATAAAAAATATTAAATAAAAGCTAAAAATAAAGGATCCTGTCAGAGAAGGATCTCTCTGTTATAGGTGAAACTCTTGTTTTTTTAATCAGAAAGCCATTACATTGCTCTCACCTGAGGCTCCAGGACTCCATGAGTTGAGAAAGTTGTCCCTTAAAGAATACACGACTTGCTTGAATACTGCTGCATCAGTTAGTTAAGATGTTGTGTTATTGAAGCAGACATGGAGCAACGACTTGTGTTCTGCGAGGTAGAATAACTTCTATTGTCAATGGAGTCTGGTGGTGTTTAAAAATATGGTCTTTACTTTAAAACAAAAAACAAAACAGTGTATCTGTTATTATTGTCAGACACTTGGAATAACAACTTCATTTGCAAAAAAAACCCAAAACATATTTAATGGAAGGACTCTGATGGGCACATTTATCCCCAAGGATTAAATGGCAAGAATGATTGCACCTTTCAAGGCTGCAGGTGAAAGCAATCTACTGAAGTGTTCTTACCTACTATTATTATATACCCCAAAGTAGAAGGAGAAAAAGAGCCTAGGTTTATAACTACTGGACTTAACCATGTAATCAATACATGCTCAGTTTTATAGATCCTGTGCTCTGTGAAAAGGGTTACAGTTCCTTCATTTGAATTCAAAGTCACAAATGCATGAAAATGAAGCGAGAGTGTAGAAACACTGTGACTGTTGAGCAGTGTTGTTTCCAGTATTAATCAGTTTTCATACTGTATATTTGATTCCTCACTCCCACACTTAATGTTTCACTCTGTGCTCTCCTCTCCTGATTGCCTCCAGTTTATAGTTGAGTGTCATGGCAACACGCTGCTCCCTCAGTTCCTAGGCATGTACAGGCTAACGGTGGACGGCGTGGAGACGTACATGGTGGTGACCCGGAATGTATTCAGCCATCGGCTCACCGTACACCGCAAATATGACCTGAAGGTAGGATGTGTTTGAAGTTAGATGGCATCTCTCACAACAGCTATGACTTCACACCAAGTTCACACATTATTGATGTAAAACATGTACATTATATACATTATGGATTTCTTTAAGACGTGTACAATGTTGTATAATCCTGATTCAAAAGAAAAGAAAAACAAAAGAGTCTTTCTTTGTCTTGGATTTTTCAGTCATATGAGCTGAAGCAGCTTTAGAAGCTGTGTTGTTAGCGTCAGTGAAACTGATGCTATAATTAAAAAAAGGGGCAATAAGGGGAAATCAAAGTCTGTTAGTTAAGGGACGTATGATTAAGATCTGGATGCCCTACTAAAATATGCCATCACTTAGAATTATTAGCTGAGTGTATATGCCAAAAAAAAAAAGCCATCTTGCTTCAGGGTTTATTTCTGGCAGCGTGGCCCACTGAACATGTGCAGTGGTGTTCTGCTTGTGAGTACGCTAGACTTAGGTTACGATGAGGTCACTCATATTAAATCAGCACTTCTGCTTTTAGAAAAGGTTTACAAACATAAACGCCCCGTTTTAAAAGTGTTCATAGAAATAGATACACACGACCTTTGCAGGTGGAGGAGCCTCACAAAAGTTTATTTTATAACGGTGAGGGGAAACATTTTTCAGGTATTTGTGGCAGTCGGTGACAATGCAATATCGAATTCTCTGACCAAACTGTCAATGGTTGAGTGGTATTCTGGGTAATGTAGGCTTCAGCTTCAGTCAAGTGAAAATAATGTGTGGGAGAAAAGAGTCATATCTGTGGTGGTCCTCTGTAGAAATTAGGATATACTGTAATTTAGATGCTTTAAAGGATGTGGCGTGTGTGATTTAGGTAGTGTTATAACCTATAAGATCAGATATACTTTATTGTCCCTAAAGAGACATTTGTCTTGGACGCTGTCCAGCAGTTGCAAGATAATTAAAAAGTAAATAAATAGAGATCATATGAAAATGTAACAATTTCACATTTACATAAAAAAAACCTTCCTGCAGCAGCGACATCTTGACATATTGCACGGCCCCTTGGCACATCATCCTTCATCGCCTGTTATTCAGAATATTAAACGGACATCAGTCTGGTCTGAGGGAATCTGAATCTTCTCCCAGAGGGTTATAGTATTCACTGTTTGTTTTGTTAGTGTGTTGTTTTACCTTGAGGAATATTTCTGGGCAGTTTTTATTAGGTTTTTTTTTTTTTACACTTGTGTAACAGGAGCTCCTGCTCTTTATTTCAAAAGTAAAACTTCCCCCATTGTTCTTCATCTGAAGCTGAAAAACCTCATTAATCATTCAAATCAAGACGTAGTAATGCTCTGTGTAAACAACTTAATATCTTTGAAATAGCATTCGCTGAACACTGAGTGAATAGTGACCTCATTGAAATGTAAATAATCTGTTGAGTTTCAGATATCTTCTGAGAAGGACGAGATGGACGTCTCATGTCACTTGAAATTGAGAATTCAAAGTCCACTTTATAAATTCACTGGAGAGATTAAAGATATTGTTCATTAAAGAAGAATTCAGGGTTTGTGCTGAATACTTCCAAACCAGTAGATTTGGCAAATGGTCCTCTGACTGCTTCTTTTACTCTCTCCTAAAATAATCATTCATAGCACAAGCCTCCTCTTCTCCTGCGCTGTATTCTCCTGAGAACACAGCCTTACCCATCCAATATTGACAATTCAAAGAGAAACTGTCTGAGTAACACTGGGTAATGTGCTTCTGATGTATCTCTAGCTGCTTTCAATTGATTCTATTTTTAATCTTATTTTCTCTCTTTGTTTTTTTTGTTAAGGGTTCTACGGTCTCTAGAGAAGCCAGCGATAAGGAGAAGGTGAGTTTTATTTCTGTGCATGATGTCTGCTGACATGATGGGACCAAAATAAATGCCCTCAGCTCACCGTAAGAGGCAAACTAAATTAAGTTGTCTTAAGTAAGCAGATGTTCTCTAGTGGTACCTTTTTACACCAGCATCACTCTGTTTGTGTGTGTAAGCATACTCTGATAGTGTAATAGGAAATGTCTCTGATGGAATAAGACTTCATCTTTTTCAGTCAGAAAAGAACTCTTTGAATACTACTGCATTGGAAGTCATCGAGCCCACCCAAGGCGTCCCTGTGCCTGAGTGATTTATTGCACTTCATACAATTGGAAAAGATTAAATATTCACTGAGAGGGTCTAGAAACAAATTTCACAGCATCTGGGATCCAGTATTAATGTATTTAGCTAAACTTCAAACTTGACCGGATACTACATAGAAGAGAAAATCAAAGAAGTTTTCTTCTTATTTTTATTATTATTTCTTTTTTTTAACATAGTAAATGGAGGAGTGGTACCCTGTGTTCCAGTTTGGGGTGGGGGGGATTATAGTCTTCTTTTACTTTCAGTACTGTTTTATTTGGTGTGTTTTTGTGTTTAAAAAAATAAAAAACTGCATGCTTTAATACCTGCCTGTCATTATCGGATGTGAATAAAAATATGTATAAAAAAAAAAGATAAGAACTGTTTGATTTTGAACATGTCTCTTTGTCTTTGTTTGCATGACTGTTTGAATTGTTATTTGTAATATTTATACCCCACATGTCTACAGTTGATGTTGATAACCATTATTTATACCTATTTAATATCCCTCTCTTTAGGCTAAAGAACTCCCCACTTTTAAAGACAACGACTTCCTGAATGAAGGCCAGAAGCTTCAGATTGGAGATGAGAACAAGAAGTACTTTTTGGAGAAGCTAAAACGGGATGTAGAGGTTAGAGACACGTCCAGTTCATCATAACTGCTTCAGTATCGATAAGCCTCAAAGCGTAATGTGGACACTTTCTCTCTAATAAAAAACAACCAGGCTCCAATCAGAACACACTTAATAAAATAATAAATATGAGCAACCGAGAATCAGTTTTCCACAATATTTTGGGTGTTTCTTTCATTGTTGTCTTCTACATTAACATGTAAAAGATGAATTTTATTTCTGACAATGGAAGGCGTTACACTAAGGCTACGTCCATACTAGTAAAGATAAAGTTTATTGATTCCAAGACCAGTGTGAGAGAAAAAGAAAAAAAAATGCTGTTTGCGTTCACACATTCGGGAAATATCTGGAGTTGTTCAGGAGTTTTTTTCTTGTGTGAAAACCTTATCAGAGACAACAAAGCCTTCCATTTGATGCTTTCTGTGTATTATTGTGTGTATGTTTCAGTTCCTGGCCACCCTTAAGATCATGGACTACAGTCTTCTGGTAGGCATCCATGATGTAGACCGGGCAGAGCAGGAGGAGATGGACGTGGAGGGCACAGGAGAGGAGGAGGAGTACGAGAACGACGGGATGGGAGGAGGGGTGCTCACCGGCTCCTTCGGCACACCTCCCGACAGCCCCGGGAACCCTCTCAACTGTGGAGGATTCTTCGGCCCCGGGGAGTTCGACCCTTCTGTGGACGTTTACGCAATCAAGAGCCACGACAGTGAGGGTGGTCTTTGACTTTCTGACTTACTGATTTTAGCTGTAGCTTTATATATTACACACTGAGAGCTGATTACATGACCACCTGTCTTTGTTTGTAGATTAATAAACCCTAACCCTTTAACTTTTGCAAGCGAAGACAGTTAAGCTGAAATATTTACACCAGGCAGACTAAAGAAACCTCAAACTAAGGAGTGGAACAGACAAGGAGTGGTCAAATCTTGTCATACAATAATAATAATAATAATAGAAATGTCTTTGTCACAGAGCCACGCCAAAGAAATGAGGCCATGACGGCAGGTCACTTTGACTTTCAGGTGGTAGGTAATGCTTTGTGATGTGCTCTTCTTTTCCTAGGTGCTGTGAAGAAGGAGGTATACTTCATGGCTATCATTGACATCCTCACGCACTATGACGCTAAGAAAAAAGCTGCACATGCTGCCAAAACTGTGAAACACGGGGTGAGTGTCAAGACTGCAGCAGTCTCCTTCACACTTGGGGGCTATGTGGCAAAAGAGGGGACAATAGAGTGGCCCCCAAAATGGTCTTTACCAAATAAAACATGATGAAACTAATGACTATAGAAGTAGAAAATGAGAATTATGTATTTGCTCGACTCTGGTGATACATTATGTCATCATCATCATGATGAAGGGGTTACATTATGATACGAGGATTTATTCCCCTCCTCATGACTCAGCCTGTGTTTGATATGTGTTGAATTCTTCATAAGTTAATGTTGTTATGTGGAAGTGGAAGATTTAATTGACTGATGCTAGTTGACAACACTGCCACCTAGTGGTGGGGGATTTAAACACAACAAAGACTACAAATGTTGTGATGCATGTGTTTGATTAAGGTTATAAGCTCAACATGTCTACATTAAATAGTTACAATAATTAAAATATTAAAAGATCAATTTAATATATGAAGGATTAAGGGATTATAACATATTTGATATAATTGTTATCTCCAAGGATTAATATTCCTATTCACTGACTCTTTTTATAATTGATTTCCCAATTCAGTAAATCACATACTTAAATGTCTCTTTTTGAGCGTAGAACTAGACTGTAATATGAAAACAAGGACAGGCATGCATTTATAATGCATTAACAGGTACAACTTAATTAAAATTGTTAATCCAAATGTAAGCAGTAAACACAATGACCAAGATGACTTTGATCTTGTTCCTTTTCATTTGTTCTTTGACAGTAGTGAGTTCTGACAACTTCAGGTCATTTAGTTCATTCTTAGATTAAAGGGCAGTGAATTCATCATCATTTTTCACAGATTCTGTTGAAAATAAAATATCTAAATGAAAATATAAATTGATATATCAGTTTATATTCTCATGATGATCTATTTATATTTTATTTATTTATTTTTATGTACAAGCCCTGAAATGCACTGCTCAAAAGCTTTAAAGGAGCCCTTAATGGTCACATTATAACACTGAGGCTTAAACTTCATGGATATCAATCTGTCCATTTTGTGAAGCTCAAGTTATTGTGAATCAGTTCCTCCTGCTTTGCTTCAAATGACAGTGACAACAGGTACAGTGGAGAGGCAAAAGCAAGACATGTGGCCGCCACATGTGTTGCTCTTTCGTTATCCTTCTTCTTCCTCTCTAGTTTTTGTATTCTGCCACGGTCCTTGTCACTGCTGGTAGGATGAGGTGGTACCTGCAGCCCAATCAGGTGGCAACAAGTAGTCCAGCTGCTCCAGCATGGCACGTCCATTGGCGAGGTTTGCTGTGTCTCCCAGCACATTCTCAAGAGCATGGGGGAGACCCCAGGAGACCAGTAGTTACACAAAGAAAAGCTAAGTAGTCAGGGCGTTAGAAGGGCATCGACCCCGCAGCAGGACCGGTATCTGCTCCTTTGTGCGAGGAAGCACTGGAGGGTGGCATGAGGCCCTGATGTTCAGTTGTAGAACCTTTGCTCACTGCCCAGCACAGGGTCGCTCGATTGGCATTACCCTAAAAAACACCAAAATTGGCAGCCCATTTTTATTTTTTTATTGTGATACGGTGAACAAGTACAAAACAAAAATGTGCACATAGACATGACAATTAAAGCGACGGCAAATAAACAAAAACAGGCAAAACAGGCAAAACAAAACAAAATCAAAATACGCAAAACATTAGCAAAGACAAATACAATTAAAGTAGATATAATAAAAGTCAAGTAGTAAATTGAGGTAGTGTATAAGAAAAGTGTGAATGTGTGTGTGGCAGTGTAATGCATTAAAGTGAGTGGCTGAGTTTTATTAGTAGAAAAATAAACAGAAACAAAAGAAAAGAAATATATGTGTCAGCATTAATGGAAAGAATGTATTTATATATATAAAAACAATAAAATAAAATGTTTGGTGTTAATGTGGCCATCATAAAAAGAGGGAGGAAAAGAAGAAGAGAACAGGAAAAGAAAAATAATTACACAGATGAGAGCAGGTTCAAACTGAGCAGATGAACGTCACATTTAAATCCAGCCCTCAGTGGGTTGATGAATTTGGTTTCCATTGACTTCAAATTATACAAAATACATCTGTAAAAATTTTCAAAACTTGAATAATTAATTTTTCAAGATGATCAGATGTGTGATTTAAGTGTTCCCTTTAAGGTTTTTTTTTTTTAGCTGTGTGGTTGAATAATCAGGACTGGAGGAGTATTTTAATGCACATAACACTTTTCATTTGTGTCACTCCATCTTTTTAATTGTCTTCTGTGATGTTATTTTTTCAGGCGGGAGCCGAGATCTCGACAGTGAACCCAGAGCAGTACTCTAAACGATTCTACGAGTTCATGTCCAACATCCTATCATAGAATCATCTCCCCCTCCCCCAAGTCCAGCCTTTCACTTCCTGTCATGGATCTGTCAAACGCCACGCACTTATTTCTCTTTGTCTATTTCCCCCACACCCGCTCCCTGCCTCTCTATGTCCTTTAAATGTTCTTTTTTTTTTTTTTTAAATATCAGTATCTTCCCGGTGCCAGCATGAGTCTGGCAGGAAGGATGCATTGAGCCTGTTACAATTTCTCCACACAGATCTCCCTGCCTCCCTCATCCACCGCAAGGAAAACTTATGAACCCCCCCCCCAGCTAGTTTGGAACATCCTGATAATCTCCCTTTTATTTAAAAAAAGAAAATGTCTGCCTCCTGACCCGCCTCAGCCACCTTGTTACTCCTCACGCCAGCACGGAAACTGTCTCACTAATGCCTTGAACGAGTTACCAGTTCGTTAGTAGAGTCTCTTCGGTTTCTGTTCATGTCGATGTTGTTCTTATGATTTCTATTAGACACAAACACACACACGCGGATGTAAACAACTCACACAGATGCTGAATGGTCAGATTGCATGACAAACTCTTTGACAGTCGCCTTCAGACTTCTCTCTCTCTCTCTCTCTCTCTCTGTTACAACAGAAAAAAAATACAAACTACTGCTGACAAATTGGAACAACAGGGGATAAAACATTCATATATAATGGTGTATTACGTAAATGAATGCAATATCAAAATGCATGGCTGATGTGTACATGAGACTCCACCAGTACGTTGAAACATCAAAACCACTGAACTTAGCGTCTGACTGTTTTGACTAAAACTGAAAAAGAAAACAAACGGAAAAGAAAAAAACAGGAAAAAAAAACTTGGTGTTTGAATGTTACGTTGCCATATTGTTTTTGAATATTTTTTAAATTTAACCGTGAGCTTGGTGGAGGTTGGTCTAAGAAAAAAAATTCACATAAAAAGGGGAATTCTGCAGCAAATACTTGTTTTATTACCATAAGGATCATTTTTATATCTTGTTTACATTAATGTAGCAATTTTGTGTTTGTATACAGTATTGTTTTGTTACCAACAGACATTAGAAAAAAAAAGGTTACTTGAAAATGATTCATTGCATATTAAAGGGAGTTTTATCTTGTTTTTGTTGTTGGACTCTGATTGTTTCATTAAGTGACTTTATTTTTTATGGCATGTGATATCATCAAAGCTGTCTCCGTGACAACTGACCCAAAAGTCACGAGATAGACGTGTTGATGCAACAAACAAAAAAAAGAGAGTAAATGGACCCTAAGGGTTTCTTATAAAACAGCAAAACACTTCTGATTGTGCCATTATCTCAAAAATCTGAACAATAATGTGTGTTTCAGGTTTCATAAAAAGGACATTTAAGAGATTTATTATCACATTAACTCAGTTTGCTGATTGTTTTTACAATAAAATAAATAATACAAATTCAAATTGCAGAGGTGTTATTGTCCAGACTGACTCTCTTGAAAGTGAATTTCAAGAGTTGTCTGTGAAGTTCTGATTTCTTTGAAATCAGAACTTCCTAAAAGTTGCTTTGAAAAAAAATGATTTAAAAATGATCCATCCCAAACCCAAGTTGGGCTAATCCTCATGACATCAACGGGTTTATTTTTTAAGAGGCTTGACAGCTTCCCCTGAGCCGCTCAAGACATTCTATTTGTACGGACCAATTACAACACAGACTGACAAGAGATCAAAGAAGGTCTATCATTGATATATCTTTATAAACAAATGTTTTCTAGTATAAGCCCAAATGGAAACCCCCATTACAGAACATAGCACGTACAAATCAATGCTTGGGGTTATTTAAAAATGTGTTATCAAGTAGTTGGTCCAGAAGTTCTTTAAAGTACTACTAACAGTCCAGCACATGTAGCAGCACTCTGCCATCAAACTGAGAGCGCACAATAAAATCAATCTTTAATAAAGTTACACCTTAAGCACTTATTAAGTACCTTTACTTAGACCAATCAGTGCAAATCTGACCAATAATCCATTAAAGGCGGGCGCGCTGGTGGCGCAATGGTTAGGGCACACGTCCCATGTATTGAGACTCTAATCTCAAGCAGTAGGCCCAGGTTCACTTCCAGCCATGGCCCCTTTCCACATGTCATTCCCCACTCTCTCCCTGGTTTTCTGACTCTATCCACTGTCCTATCTCTGCATTAAAGGCACAAAAAGCCCCCCCCCAAAAAAAATCCATTAAAGGCAATATTCAGTGTTAGTAAAAATCTATATTGGCTACCAGTTTATATTAGCTGCAAATTTCCCCTCTTAAAACACCTCAACACTGGTCTGAAAGGTCAGGCTCTACTGCCATAAACATATTCAATTTTGTAGAATGAATAGAGTACCATTCTACTTTTTTTTTTTTTTACATTTGAAATTTAAGCTAAATGTGAATTGACTTGAATAATGATCTTCCTTTTTTCAAGATTTGACAACATATCTTGGATGAAAGCATGGCAAATGGAGGAGAAATGATTCTCTCTGCAGTGTGACACACTGGACTTCAGTTTCTGTAATCCAGATAATCCTCAGGACATTTAAAGTGTTTTATATTTAGACAGCCCTTCCTATCACTTTTAGTCAGTTGTAAAGAACGGGATCTTGGTTTGGTGCAGAACTTAACTTGTAGGCTTTACAAAATGTGCAACGTAGAGATCTGTACAGTGAAGCAGTGACAGCAATACAATCAGTCAAGGTCATAACCTGGGTTCATTTATTGAATAAGAAAAAGAAGACGGTACAAGCATTGTTTATTATTTTATACAAAACATTTGTAATGGTGAAGTGCAGAGAGAAGCAGACGCTCTAGTCCATCCTGGCCTTCAGGGTTCGTGTGGTGATCTTGTCTTTCTCACTACCAGAGAAAAGAGTAGGCTGTCATTTAGTGCCAACACATTCCCTCTAACCTGTGCACACAGTTCTTGTTATCAAGGTACTTACATGACATGCACCACCACTCCCATGCCAGACACGGCATCTCTATCAACTGCATTCAGCATCGCCTGGGAGATGGTCTCAAACAGGTCCTCTGGTTCCTGCACAGTCACACATTGAACAAATGCACAGTCATCAGTTTTAAAGTGAAGAGTACCAGTAGCAAGAATAACAAGAACCTAGGCAGAAACTGTGACAGGGAGGTGTGTTTTTAATTTCTAGTTTGTACCCACAAACAGGCTGAGCAGAGCTCGCGGATCACAATGGGGCAGATTATGAACACTGCATTAAACTCTGTCCAGATTTCAAACATTTCCAGGTCACAACTACTGTACATACTTTTCCACACTCAAACGTCCAAACTACTCTGTGTAATATCAGATCATTTGACATCAGGTTACAACTGGCAGGATGTTTAAACTAGGGCTGTCAGCATTCACTTGTTAATCAAAATGAATGAAGGTCTGAAATGAATGCATACATTTTTTTAAAGTGCGACTAATTGCATGTTATCCCTTTATGTTGTCCCTTTAGACACACTGTGGCTAAGCCTCTGCAGTGTAGTCACAGTGCTGGAAAGAACGACACTGCTGCATCTTTGAATGTCTCTTTTCACTTTAGAAAACTTTTAAGACGGCTCAGCTGATGTGTCAAGAGTTATATACACCTCATGACATCATACAGTTCACTTTTTACCATTCCTTTGAGCTGTTTGACTTTAGTTTTAGATCTGCTACAAGTTATTTTTCCGTGGTTAAGTTAATGTCTTTTTAAAAATAAAAGCAAGTTTGAATGAATTAAAACAACAATTAAAGCACTCTGTTTGAATTCTAAATAAAAGCCTAAAGCCTGAAATGTTGCGGTAATCCCAATTAAAACTTTGAACTGCTTGACAGCCCTAGTTTAAACCTGTTGAAATCTCTGCCCCAAGAGGAAGTAACTTATCTGTGCCAACTATACTTACATTATTTACCCTAAGGATTTATGTTAAGGTTTCCTCTGTATCTAGTTATTCTTTCTCTACAAAAAGACTCAAATGACTTAAAGATGTACAATAAATGAAAAGCTGCTATTTCAGCCTTGTTTATTTACTCCCCATGGGAAATAAATGCATCCATACAGGCATGGTGTCTTTGATCAAATAAGAACACTTTTATGATCATCACCTTTTCCTTGAAACTAATTTGGTGTACGTGTCCAATCCATTACACATGGCTGCTATTGTGGAGTTTTTCAGACTTTGTGGAAAATAATCCTCTTAAATTATACATTTCTTCTAAAAATTGCTAGACTTGTATAAAGAAGAGTGACAATAGTCTGAAGTATTTCCATACATACTTAGATCTGACCATTTTCCAGATACAACATGTGTTCTATAGGCACATAAATGCTTATTACACAAAGGATAAGCAAAAGTAGGGGACTATTCATTTGCAGATCAAAACATTTTCATTTATTCAGTGTAAAAACTTCTGTACATGTATAAGATTGATCAAAAGCTTCGACCACTACTTACCATGTCTGGTTCCCACAAAGATTCGCACATGCCGTACATCTGCTCTGAGCAGGTGCCGCTCACTACAAAGTCTTCTGTGACCATGGGGCAGCCAATCAGATCCAAGGAGCAGATGAAGGGCTCTAAGGTTTTGGGATCTAGTCCTGCGATCACAGGCTCAATGTAGTATGGCCCAAACCTAAGGAGAGGATCACATATCAACCACAACATTATTTACAATCATATGAGTATCTAAGCCTGCCTACATTATTTTGTCTTTATGCAACTTTCAGGTTACACATGGGTGTTGCTTACATTCACATGGTTTAAAGTTAAATTCAGTGCACTCACCTCTTCTCATACAGCAGGTTGGACACCATGCTCATGAAGGTCTTGGGCTTAATCTGACGACCCTCTTTCAGCTCATACAGGTTTAGTCTGAATTTAAGCCTCTGGGATCTACATGCAAGGCAAAGACATCCAGTTTCCAAAAAGAGAAAGAAAGCACAGAATACAAAATTATTTATTTCCTAGCTTACACTTACATTGTAGATTTAGACAACAGTTCCCCATAACAGTAAGCAGTATAGTACTACTCAAGTTCTCAACACTGGTTGTCATCAGAGACGCATATCATTAAAGTGGTTTTGATTTCCAGGTTTTCTAAATAATAAATAAAATATGTGTTGTCAGTTGGTGGAGCCTCAACTAAAGCATGCATCATTGCCCAAGTAGTGAAAGAATTGTGTTCGGACTGTTAACTCCACTCTCCTCAGTTAAAAACATAAACAGAACTAACCAAAACAGAACTGTGATTACATGATGCACACACACCACACATTTCATCTGCACATTGACACCATTATTCTATATTTTGTATATTCAAATAATAATTTTTTTAAATTGTACATTATATTCTATTTTACTGTATACATGTGTATTAGTAATTTAATGAGAGAAATCAATTCAAGGGGGTTAACCACACTCACACTGTCTGAACATCAGTGGCAAGTCCGGCGAGGCCGATAAACAGCCTGTCTCCCATGGGGAAGATCTTCTGGAAGTCTGTGGTGACCATCTGAGCCTGAATGCCAAATCTCCGGTCAGCAGCTATCGCCACACAGTTTTTCCCCCGCATGGCCATGACAGCCCCTCCATTATAGGACATAATAGACTGGATGAGAAGAGAGATGATAGGTAAGTCAGTTCAATTGATTAACAACTGGCAGAATGTATTAGCAATAGTTCTTAAGAACGACTATCACTATATTGTTAAGGCAATTACACAGAGCAAAACAAACATTTTTTCAATGGGTGTTTTTAGACTTGAAACAGCTTGAATAACTATTTTTCCACTTTAATTACTGCCCTCTTGTCAAGACAATCGATTGATTGATATAAGTTATAATGATCAATAAAAAAGATTACAAGTAGAAGCTTTTCCATTACGCATAAGGTAATGTAATAAGTAAGTAATGGCATTAAAATAATCAAAAGGCAGGAATAAGAACTTCACAGAAGTGGTAAACATTAACAGTTTAATCAGTTGATATCTGTCTTACGTTTGTTATATTTAATGATAATTACATAATATAGTAAGTTTCAGAGGACACATTGACTCATGCCTTCTGGTCCTGTCCTTTGCTCACTGGATTTTGGTCCAAAATATTTGACTGGTACTCTAAGGCCTATAACAAACTCTTTTATCCAGATGCTGAAGTTGCAATCTTTGGCTGCTCACAGTTAACTGAATGTACATGTACATGTCTTCCCTGCAATGCTCCCGAGCACTGGGGATGATTATCCCTAAGAGACTCATTCTGACAGACTGGAAGTCGTCTTCCCCACCTTCTTTTCAAAAATAGATCTCTGAAATGATGTCAGCCATACGAGTGGAAAAACTCAGGTTCCTGAGGACAAGTTTGATAAAGTAATTCTTGGCAATCTGGGACCCATTTCGTGTCCATTTGGACAAAGCTGATGTGGGTTGAAAACTCACCTTGTTACCACCACGGACCTGTTCTCATGAGACTTGACACACAGCCTATTCGGGTTTACTGAGTGACTGGCAGCTATGCAAGAAATTTCTGTTTACTTTTCACTTGTTTTTTTATCACCAATTTTTTGAATATACATGTCTGAGCCGTGTTTTATCAGAAGATAAAAACTACAAATAAAATATTGAAAAAAAAAAGACGTAATAAAGTCATTGTGACCAAAGTGGATTGAAACATTGATCTGTTTATGAGTTCACTGCGGACCAAACACACACCTTGACTTTTTACACATCATATAACACTGAGGCTTCTGCTAATCAAGCTGATAAAGTGATTAAACGTAATCTAATATTAACACAACATGATCAGTACAGTTTGTTTACCTCTGGTACAAAATAATAATAATTTAAAGATGAGTAAGGTCGCGGAGCTGTACAAAACATATCTGTAGAATAAATGTGAGCTAGGTTACAGCTAAGCTACTCATTTAGCTTTCCGGATATTACCCGGCTAAATGTGTGATTTGGTGTTCTGTATCGTTATCCAGAGTTATATTTATAATAAATGGTTATATAAAACTGTGATAACGTAAAAAAACAAACACTAATGTACTTTGTTTAAAGACTGTAACGCTTGTCGGCATGCTAACTGTCTGTATGTTAGCTTAGCCAAGCTGTAAAACTTTGAGCCTTATGAACTAAATTCGCACAATTTTAAATACAAAACCATTCATAAATGATATACTCTATGATGTTCTTACCATTGTGATAGTTTTTTGTTATATTCCGACAAACCAGAACCTACAATCTCCTCTTCGTTTAGTGCTATGCTCGTTTCCCAGAGTGACTACACGATTTAGAAACACAAGGATCAGACTACCATGATTGAGCTACGTCATCGCTTTCGCAAATTGCGACTGGCTGAAGAAACCGCCCTCAGTTTTAAGAGCTGCTACCATTGGCTAATATGGGTTGAAGCGAGCGTTGTATGCATAGTTTGCATGAGGCGATTTAAAATGAAAGTATAACCGGGGACTTTTTTTTTTAAATGCTGCAGCCAGGTGCAATCAAAAGTTGACTGTCATGTCAAGTCCAGATCCGAGAATGTACGGGTGAGCTTCACAACCATTATTTTATTGATTTATGTCTTAAATTCCTTAACAATAAATTGCTCAAAAAGGTTATAAAGCCTGCCCTGTCTTCAAATTGCTTCCCCAATGGTAATAAATCTCATACAACTTCATCTATTTGTTCAGCCAGTGGGTCGAAAAAGCAAGAAAACATTTACCACCACGTGATAAAAGTTTCCCAACACCTTAAAACAATTAGTTTTCTTACTTCGGACCAATAAACATATTTATAATTAAAAATAATTAAAGAATGAGCTCAATCAAGTAAATTCTCACAATACATCCTGATCAAAAGTCTTTGTGGATTAAAATAATTTAGGCTCTAACATCAGTGTTGGCATGGAAAGTTAAATAGAGCCCAATATGTTACATTTATAATGGTGATGTTTATGTGAACATTTGGCCAAGTTTGTGTTTGAAGGTGATTAATCTAACAGATGTATATCCCCCATTGACAATTGTTTTTTCAATGTTTTAAAAAGAAAAAAATTGTGTAGGATTTTTTTATTCTCACAGAAAGTAACAAATATACAGTATTTTACAAAAATGTTAAAGATAAAAACAGGATCTATTATACTGGAATAACAACGACTAGACTTTGTACATTTTTTGGACCTCATGAATATTTGTGGGCCAAAAAGCCAAATTAAAAGCCACTGGGTAGTAATCAAGCCACACAGACTCCCATCACCCCCCACCATTAATACTAAATCCATTAGAACACAGTTTGCCTGAGCCTTTACAGTCGGTTCATTTAAGTTTATCTGTACAATAAATGTGGTGTGTTTATCTCTTCATAAAGTTGTCCAGGGAGGCCGGCGTCCTCTGAATGGAGTGGATGTTCCTCTTCACTCTGTCCTCTAATGAAGAGCTGGCAGCACTCTCCAGCTTCATGTTACTGCAAAAGAAGAGAGGGGAGGGTTAGTGGAGCTCTCGAAGTAGGTTTAAATGAAGAGACATTGGGACACAGGGAAAATTGACACGTGTCCATGAATCCAAAAGCTCGTCTTTCCAAGCTCTGTGTGGATAACTTACTGAATGAAGCCAGCATGGCGTTCATGCTTGACATTTTGTTCCCGCTGTTTTTCCTGCTCATCTTGTCTCTTGTATTTCTTCACATTATTCTCTCTGTCCTCCTCCCTCTGCTTGGCCTGGTCCATCATTTCCCGCCTCTTGCGCTCCAGCTCCTCTGCAGAAAGTTTTCTACAGAAGACAGAAAGAAAAAAAGTCACCAGAGTCAGAGTGGGTAGTTACAATGCTGCTAATGACTTAAAACAATTGGAAAGCATTCAGAATTTTTTTCCACAGAAAAATCTCTAGAATAACTAAAAGTGGAACTACAAGCAAGTGTGATTGACATTTGTATTTTGAAATGACTGAAAGAATAGAACACTCTAAAAACAATGAAACAAACAATATAAGAAGTTTCACATTTCACAGGAGAAGTTGCAACACAATGAATAACAGGAGGGACATTGTAGCAGAGAGCGTTACTCTGTTTCTCTGCTGAACAGGATTCTCAGTCGACTTTGACAACAGCAGAAGAAACAGGTAAACACAAAGGAGGATGAGAGGGTTATAGACTGAGTACTGAAGGGAAGACCCCAACATTGTGGGGATGTATTACAGAAAGGTTTATCTCAGTCGTTACCAACACAGAATTTAAGTTTATACTTCTAAACGTCCAATAATAAATACACACCGTCTAAACCAGAACAGTGTTAATGTGAAAAACATCCAGATCACATACAGGTGATCTGGATCACCTGCAACTCTTACTTGGACACTGGATGTCTCTGTCGTTGGTAATGCTGTCTCTGTGGGCTGAGAGCCTTGGGTTCAACTTTCCTGTCTCTGCTCTGTGAAGACGAAGAGTAGGAGTGACCGTTGTTCCTGTGAGGTGACCGGGAGCGGCTTCTCTCACGGCGCCCAGAGTGATTGGAGGGAGCTGAGGACTGGTGGTGTCTGCCAGCAGGGAACTGAGAGGAAAGACTGAACTGTTAAGACTTGGATGAGCAAAAGATAAACAACAAACAAAAACAAATGTGTGTGTGTGTGTGTCTATATATATATATATATATATATATATATATATATATATATAAAAAGCTCTGCTGCTTCCTTACCTGAAGGCCATAGCCTGGGACATGATGGGAACGCGACTTTGTGTCCGCAGTAGATTCATCTCTTGAATGTGACCTAATAAAAGTTTAGTGTGCAAAAACAACAGTTACAATGTAAAACATGTGACATCTATATTTGTTTTCGGATTAATAATGTAACAATCTGTTAATATGTGTACCTGTGCTTCTCCTCTTCCTCTGAGCCTGAACTTGAACTCCTTTTCTTGTTCTTCTTCTCTTTTCTCCGTTCTTTGTCTCCTTTCTTCTCCTTTTTGTCCTTCTTCCTCTTCTTCTTCTTTTCTTTCTTGCCAAGATTTTGGCGCAGCTGTGAGAAAACCAAATCATTCATGATAAGACATGTGTCAGAAAGAATGCTTTATAGTCTCCCACAGGGAATCAAATATTATGGTGAAGTGACAAGATGTGAGCATGTAAAGCAACTTAATTAAACCCAAAGACAAAATCATAAAAAGGTCATTAAATGAAGTAATTAATACAGTAATTTTACCATTTCTTTAATTTTCCTCATCTTCACAGGGTTACTCAGGACTTCTCTTTTCTTTTCTTCTTCACGTTTTCTTCAGAAAACAAAAACAAAACTGAATTAAACCATTGGCAACTTTTAAAATATTTTCAGATCAATTTAGAGAAAAGTGTCTTGCTCACCTGATTTCAAAAAGGGGGTCTTCCCTGATCTTGGCAGCCAGGTCCAGGTTGGAAGCAGGGGTGGCAGGGTTGAAGATGGACCCTGGAAGGAGGCCAGTCTCAGCTGATGGACCGCTCTCAGGCTCCTCATACTGGTCAGTGATCTGCTTGTCAATGGGACGTCCCATCAGATACTCGTCTCTGGACACCTGGCCAGCGGGACCTTGGTACATCCAGTCCAGACGATCATCTTTCTTTCTGAAATCATAAAAAGATACAACATGACTCAGATACTTTGTATGGTATCACAAAAACAAATATTTAGATCACATCAAAGCATTTACTTGATTGCACCGGATTCTTCTGCATATTTGGTCATTTCTTCTCGGGTTCTTTCGTCTTTGAGTTCCTTCTGGAGCTCCTCGATCTTCTTGCGTTCAGCCTCATGTTTCTGTTCAGCTTTCCAAACTCGCTCGATGTTTTTCATAGTCTGGGGATGCCAGCTCTTTTTCAAATTCTGAAATGAGACACGATTGAAGAAATTAATTTGCTGTACCTTTGATTTCACTGGGTTACTATACAAATTCACTGATCTATTAAAACACCGATTAAATCTTGTAGTTCGTTTGGAGTTTAAACTATTTTTCTGCTGTAACAAAACATTACAATGTCCTTTTCTTGATCCTTTAATGAAATCCCCCAGACTTTCAGCTAACGTTAGCTAGTTACTACTTTTGGCTAACAGCCTTTAGAACAGAAGAGATGTTTATTGCCATTTGCACAGGTACAGGAGAGTACAGGTACAGGACAGTACAGGTACAGGAGAGTACAGGTACAGGACAGTACAGGTACAGGAGAGTACAGGAGGACAGTACAGGTACAGGACAGTACAGGTACAGGAGAGTACAGGTACAGGAGAGTACAGGTACAGGACAGTACAGGTACAGGAGAGTACAGGTACAGGACAGTACAGGTACAGGACAGTACAGGTACAGGAGAGTACAGGTACAGGACAGTACAGGTACAGGAGAGTACAGGTACAGGACAGTACAGGTACAGGACAGTACAGGTACAGGACAGTACAGGTACAGGAGAGTACAGGACAGTACAGGTACAGGACAGTACAGGTACATTAGAATTTTTGTGCGTTTCTCCCTGAGTCAGCTTCTACAAAAAAGTTTAAATTATATATAAAATAGAATAGCATTATAAGAAAACTGGAAAAAAGCTATACACTGTATTAAAGCAGAGCTATAATACACAAATAAATAATAATAATAATAATAATAATAAGACAATAATATTAATAATAATAATTAATAATTTAATAAGACAATAAAAGATTGTATTGTTCGATAAAACTGGATAAAGATCCGTGTTTCATCAGCTGTTTGGTTGATTTTAAACACACACGCTTTTAACACAACAGAGTCTCCAAACAAAATAAAAACTCGGTTTTTGGATGAATGAGTTCATACTTACAAGATCTCCTCCCCCCATCTTGACAATATCGTCGTTTCAGTCCAACAGAATTAGAAAATAAAACTATAAAAGACGAAACAACAGTTTGCCGTTAGCTAGAAAATGGAGCAGCCCAACAGTCGAGGCTTGTGTACGATGTGTTCAGAGCACTTCCGGTTTCCGTCTGCTCTGTTTCCGGTTCAGCCTTCTGGTGCCTTCACGTACATTTCTTTAAATCGTTACAAAACCTTAGACTGTAAATATAAATATAAGGGAATTCTATTTTATATATAACTCAACATGAATTAATTGCAATTTAGGTCGCATTTAGTACACATGAACGTGATGTCCTTGTTTTTGGATCATTAATAATAATGGTTTAAACAAATTAAACAAATACTACGACGGAGGATTAGGGCCATGTTAAAAAATAATAATAATACATTTCGAGAATAAAGTCGTAAATTTACGAGATTAAAGTAAAGAGATTAATCTCGAAATTAAATGATAATAATAATAATAATAATTTAACGTGGCCCTAATCCTCCGTCGTAAAATACACATTGAGCATGTGAAAAATAAATCTATTGAATCTTGTTAAATGTACATATTTTTTCTGCATGGGCAGAACATGCAGATCTTAAAAACAGCATCCTGACCCTGAACGCAACAGTTTCCATGTTTATTTACCTTTATCGACTTTTGACCCTTGAAAACTAACATTTAATTTGTTAAAGGGTGCGATGACGACTTCCTGGATCTCAATGTCATTAAAACCACAGAGATGATAATTGATTTGAGGAAGAACTGGTGTAACCCTGAAGCCAGCCTTATCTTTAATGAGAGTGTTCAGATAACTGACTCATACAAAAACCTTGAAACGGTGTATGATTCTGACCAAAGGTTTGCTGAAAACATCGAATCAATAATTAAAAGGGGTCAAAAGATGATTAATTAGAGGGGAATGCATTTTATGTAGCCTAGTTTTTTTCATTCTCTTTTAAAAGTCAACTTTTAACAATTTATTTGATCTGTTGGTCTGCTCAAAGATCACTGGAGTCCAGCTGAGAGACCTGAGCTCCCTGTGGAAGGAGCGTGTGGTCCACAAAGCAAAAAGAAATCATAAATCAACCTGGACATATTCTTTCACCTCTGATTCCTTTAATGCCCTCTGGGCGGCGCTATCCTCTCCTCCAATGAGAACCAACAGATATGCCAACTCTTTTATTTCTGTCAGGCTGTTATAATGGTCAGTTCCTTAAGAAACCTGTGAAGTTTATTCATTGATTTTTATAGTTTATTGCTGACGTTGAATTGATTTATTATTCATAACTGTTTTTTAAGATTTGGTTGCTCATTTGGTGAACTTTTCGTCTGATGATCTGTTCTAATTGGCCTGTGAATGTATCCCATAATGCTGCTGTGACTGTGTTTGTTTCCTTTTTACTGTCTTGACTTCTTTAAGTGACTCGTTAAGATGTGAAACTGAATTGCCCTTCTAGGATTAATGAAATTGTCTGAATCTTAATCTAAACATGTATAAAGTAATTAATAACTTCAAATCGAAGTAGGCTAGCTTGTCTTTCTTTCCCATTTGAAGGTTTTTATGGCCTCAGTAATGGACACAATTTCAGAGGCAGTATCACCTGAATAAACATGATTTTCCTTAATTAAAATTACATACTAATTTATGATAGTGTTAAAAAGTCCATTGATGACGATAGGGTAATATCTGACATTCGACACAAACAAAATTTGCTCTAAAACATTCAATTAACGTCCACTTATTCTACTTGGATAGACAACTACTACTGGAGCTACAATAGTTCTGTCTGCTGTTGGAAATGAGTAAAAACAAGAAACACAACAGAAGAAACAAAGGTTCAACATGGACACGGAATATATTTTTTATTTAATAAAGAACAACATGATGGATTAAATACAAATTATTACTCTATGATATTTAACTTATTACAAGTTTTAGACCTTTTTTATTACAGTCAACAAAAAGCATTTTACTACAGCAACCAATTTCAAAACAAAACGACCATGTTGTGCTACTGACCAACATTTAAGAAGACTATCTATGATATAACAACACAAATTAAAAAATAGTCAACACACATTACTTGACTAATGTCTATACACAAATACAGCGATGGTGAACTTCCAATAATGTAAGCTCCCTACTAAATATCAATGTTAGCCTAATGCGTGTGATGGTTTACATACATCCTAATAGTGTTTTCACTGTAAAGCCTCTCACTGCCGGCTACAAACTACTGAACACGTAATATTGATCATGAAAGTTTTCAAAGCAACTTTCCAAAACCAGAAATCTAAACATTTTTGTTTCTCATCTGCACTTTATTCAACTTTATCTGCACGCTAATAAAGAGCCAAATGGTTGTAATGTTTAAAATGTGTTTTGTTCCATGTTTCTTCTTTGTAAGTGAACCTTTAAAACAGCAAGCAAACTAACAAATTGTTAATAAAAATATGTAGAGTGATAGCCAATCTGCTGCAAACTGTAACGACTTGTGGGTAAGGTACCCTGTTTGACATTTTGTGCATACTCATGAGGGCTGAGAGGAGCTGCAGTTATTATTCTTTGGCATCATTAAGACCTGACATATAAAAGACACTAGAGGAGGAAGATGATTTTGAGAATAAAGTTGAAATGTTACAAATAGAGCTAAAATATCGAGAATAAAGTGAGACAACTCCAGCATTAGTTTCAAAGACATAAATAAAGGAGGGGATAATTTATCATTATTCTTATCAGCATTATTATCACTTTGCACTGAAGATAAAGTTAAATATAGCAACATTTGAAAAGTCAAGAATAATGTCTAACTGTCATTTTAAATGCCAGAGACATGAAAATGAAGTATTAGCTGGTGCTTATGCAGAATTATGGACCCTATAGTACAAAATTCAAATTTATTCTTAAAATACAAAAAACTTCCTCCTAATCTCTTGATGCCTGGCCATAAAAATCTTAAATTGGCAAGTAATTCGATGCATATACAAATAATTAAAAAAAAGTTTTATTGCAGCTTTAAATGTTTGCACTGCAAAATGCCACTGGTGAAAACTACCTCTCTGGACGTTTCATTCAGCACCAGGAGCCTGCAATGTTGACACAGAGGCTTTGTGGAGTTGTGTAAATGTCAAATCTAATCACCTGATCATCTAATCATTCATAGCAGCACAAACCAGAATTCAGTTGACCAGGCAGCATTTGCTCTCCATGTTTGCCCTGTTTTAAGTTCTTGCTGTCACCTGCTTGTGTAAGTGGAGAACACCAATTGCTGGTATTAATGGCTCTTGATCTGTAAGTTGACCCTTTTCACATCATTGTTTCACTTAATGCTACTATGCATTGCTTGTAACACAGACCAGCGTTCACATTCTCCAGATGTATGAACATTAACTTTGACGTGTTTTGCAATCAAAACTAAAACACTCCATGTTTGGTAAATACTAGCATCAGTAGTGCATCCCATTTTTTTTATTTGATAGAATATTATTTTGTATTATATTATAATGTGAGCATTACACATTTTAGTCATCATGTTTCCTTAAGCACAGCCTCACTGTCACTTTCATTGTTTCTATCTACCATCTCAATGAAGTACATACCAACTTAGATACACACCCAGTTTTGTGGCATGAACCGACAACAATTCGAAGGGCTGCAGACCTTTATAATGACACAATGTTCTTTAGTAATTCAGTGTCTCGTCATCATCAACTTGTGCAGGTCACACGTACGGTGACTACTCAGTCGGGCTCCATTTAAAAAGCACGCTGCCTGAAATTGAAGAAGACTAATATTTGTCCAACTCTTCCAGTTACATATTTAATTAATTCCACTGTAAACAAATTAAAAGTCACCTTGAGGTGACCATGGACTCGTCTCTCCGTCTACTTGGTGGCTCTAGCAGCAATGGTAGTCCTGCAACATGCTGCAGTTTCAGCATTGTTGCCTCCGTATAGTCACCTTTCAAAGTTTTATCCACAGAATCGGTAAAATGTTTTTTTGTATTTTTTTCTGTGAGCTATTACATTTAGTTGCCAACTGAGTTAACCCAGTTAATAGATTCACAGGACATCAAGCAAACACGTTCTGCTCAATCCAACTTTTATCAGTAAAAGTTCCTCCGCACCTGTTTGCTATTCTCTATTCTATTGTAAAACTATGGCACCTCTATGTAAGAGAGGTCAATGAATGTTGAAACCTTTAATTTGCAAAAATATTCTGCTGAAATTAGCCGGACTGCCCCGTCACACTCGAGGCTGAGGGGTCTGCCTCACATTTAAGCTTCAGCGGAGGCTCTGTGCCATCAGACACGTTTGAAGAGGACTGAGAAGGTGCAGCAGCTTCAAAGCCCTTCTCCAACCTCCCGTCTCCGTTCACTCTCTCCTCTCCATGTCCTGGAGGGGACTCGTGTGTGCGCATGTGTTTGGCCAGGTGGTCGTTGCGCATAAACACTCTCGGGCACAATGCGCAGCTGAACTTTTTAGCTCCAGTGTGCGTCTGTAGGTGGCGCTGCAATTCGTCAGACCGTGTAAACCTTTTGCCACAGAAGAGCCAGTTGCACACAAACGGCCGGTCTCCACTGTGCCATCGGAGGTGAGCCTTCAGATGGGAGGTCTTGGCGTAGGCTTTGCCACAGCCAGGTATGTGGCAATTATGCATGTGCTTCCTTCTGCTGTCTTCTGTGCTCTGGCCCATCTGCTCGGCGTGGACACAGTTGGGACAGCGACACACCGCCTGGCCCGCACCCCTAGAGGAGGAGCGACGCTGGGGCTTGGGGCGGGCGGTGACTGGGTTTTCCTGCGGTTCCTCTAGGGAGTATGGTTCTTGCTGCAGCATGTCAGGGGCCATTGGCTCCATCTTAAAGCCGTCATGAGGGTAGAGGTGAGACGAGTGTGAGGGTGGAGCGTGTTGCGCAGAGGGCAGAGTGCATAGCTGAGGGTCAGAGCCATAGGGTCCTAAAGATGGCTGCAACCCCATGGAGCTCCCCTGGTTCACTGAAGGTAGGCCCACCCCTTGGCCTGTCTGCAGGTCGATCCAGCTCCCTGGTTGGACGTCTCTGTGGAGGTCCCACCAGGAGGGGATGTTCATGTCTTCTGAGCTGCCACTAGGTGGTGCTGTCCGTAACCAAGGCTCATATGGATGGGCCATGAGAGCAGCTGCCGCAGGTGCGAGATAGTTGAGGAGGTTAGCAGCTCAAAGTGTAGTTCACAATCTTCTGGGTAACCCCACGAATATTACAACATGGTGGGATGGCAATTCAGTGAAGACACCTACAGAAGGAAAGAACAGGCAAAGTGTTAGGTCTTTAACTCAGCCGTTATCAGTCTATGACTTCACTAAACCACTTGTAATGACTTTAAAGTTCTGAGGTCATTTTTTTCCAAGGCTTTGAAATTACTCAGCTTCTGCTGATCTAAGGTTTCAGGACTTTTGAAGTGCAGGCACTCAGGCCTAAATCCTCCTGTCTACAACGTTTAAGTAACCAACCAGAGCACACCTCCTTCATCACCATGGATACTGCAGTTCTCACGCTGCGTGGCCGTGGAGACAGAAAAGAGGGGGAGAAAGACGTGTCCAGGCAGAAGCCTGCCACATGCATCTGCTGCCAGGTACTTCCCATGGAGGACAGTCAAAGGAGAAGTGCAAAGAAAACAACATGGTCGGCCGTGTGCAGAGGTTGAGGTAGTGGGGGGGGGGGGGGTGAGAGTGAAGGGGAGTGTTGACAGGAGAGCAGTTTGGTAAAGGAAGAAGTTCCAGGGAGGTATGGCTGCAGGCCAAAGTCTATTTGTACGTCTCTGAGGTTTGTGGAGATGAAACCTGGCAGACAGGAGAACCTGTTTTTTATAAATCACACATGATTTACAACAACAGGCCTCCAGGCGAAGTACAAAAGGAGCCCCGTAAAACACCCTGCCTCTTACACATCAGCTTCAGAGGGTATCAACAGTCACAGACGGATTTCAGGAGCATGAGAATAGGAGTCAGAGAATAACATGAGAACGATTACCTTTATGTTTATAATTATGGGCACACGCTCTAAAAAAACAGTCCTCAACACACTGCAGGTATGTACACTTGTGCACACCTTCAGTCTGTCAGCAGAGGGAGGGATTCTCATTTCCAGAGGTGACACAAAGCTTGTTAAAATCGAACTAAGGCTGTTGAAATTTATGACAAGAAGCTACCAGCCCGCGAGACTTGTGCTTGGCTCAAAACATGTCCTAGCCCCAAACAATCTTGTTGACTTCCACCACACCCCCATCCTGGAACGTCTACAATTATCTTTACAGCAGGAAACAGTAAAGTCTGAAGCTTCTTAGTCTTGAGATCACTTGTTGTGATACCATATCTGACGCATCAAAACTGCAAGAAGTCGCCCTGAAACAAGAAGGTCAAACTCCAGAAGAAGAGGTACATGTCTGGGATGTAGAAGGAGTGCACATTTTTTGACTGACAGAGAAAGATCCCCGTCAGTGGATCTCAATTTGTTAAGTCAATAAGACCAAACAAACAGGATAACACTTGCCTCAAAGGTTCAGGTAAACCCACCAGAGATGCTTCCTAGTCACAATGAAATCGTAAAACAATTAGTTTGGAATTCACCTAATGAAAGGTCTGGAGTTAAAGGTCAAGCTGATCTATTTCATGTCGGCCTGGAGCCAGAACTGCTCTGTAATTTTTTGGGAATGCGTCTCAAACGTATGGCGGACTGGTCGCCCCCATCTCTCACTGACATGACCGTAAACAAACAGAGACAGCAGCAACCTGCCCATCTGCTAGCTAAAGTGCTGGAAGCACCGCAAGCTCCCAAGGGAAACAGCTGGCATGGAGGGGGGCCCCCGGGGAGGGGGTGGCAGGATGGTACAGAGCAATGACAGAGCTCTGGTCATAAAACTTGCCCGACCAAGACCCAGCACAGCCCCACGGTTTACAAGCCTGACACTGCAAAGAGGTACAGAGAAGGGGTGAGGGGGGGTTTTCAAGAGTGCATTTTCACACTTATTATTTTCACAAATTTTATTTATCATCCAATTTTTCTGAGGTTAGAACTTAATGATGAGGCTTTTAACACACAAAAACGACTTATTCTACCCACAACAACTCTCCTGTAATATCTAATTTCCAGACAGGATATTTAAAAAAAGTAAAACAAAAGGTCAAATGGTATTTGCAAGTAATTTGTTTTATCCTGCCAGAAGACAAGTTGGCTGAAGTGGAACCCTGTAGCACTGTTCAATTTAAAGATTTTGAGTTTAAAGTCTGTTGTTAGTGCTTATGTTTTCATGTTCTGCATCAAACATGTAATACAAATGCTGTTGTGATCAAAGTCCGACACCAAAATTGCAAAAAGTTTTTAGTTGGTGCCACATAGAAACAAGAAAAACACTTGCGTAGCCTATTTAAAAAAATTATTTATAATTCTACTTCCGATAATTGTAAAATAGGATAACTAGAATATAATTGAAATGTCCTTCTTAGTGATGGATTGAGTTAATGACATACAGATCTTGAGATGGAGGGTTAATCTCATCTAATCTGTCGCTCTGCACTTCAGCTGTGTGATTAATTGCAGTTTGGATATGGATGACAGCTTAACATCCTTATTGAGGGGCGTTTGTGTGACATTGACTGATATGCAATTGCACAAAAATGTTTTCTTCTTATACATATTTTACAACAATATCTGCACAACATAGTTACAATAAACAGATCTTTATTGCAAACAGTCTCTTATGAGTAGACCAGAGAAAATATTTTCCATTTTCAAAGCTGCCGTTATCATCCACGGTATACGGTGACTGCAAGCAGGTTTTATATAAAAGTCAAGACTCAAGACATAGTCAAAAAAAAAGATAAAATATTGATAAAAAATACTACTCAAAAAATTTGAAGGACTGTTTTTTTTTACATTGGTAGTCATGGTTACCAGACACTTTTCGTGGATTATGATTATATTTTCCCCTGGATGCTCCAGTTATGTAAACAAAATAATATGTAAACATAATACAAGCATGTCATTTTTTAATGTTATATAAAGGTTTTTCCGTAATACGAAAAGTCTCCTCAAGACCTGCACCGAGAATCCTCCTCTTTCAAAAGGAGACTAAAAGTCTCTTCTCTTACAAGCTTTTGGTTTGGTTTAAAGTACAGTAAGTCATTCATTAAATTGCACAACCTACAATCCCATTTTTAATGGGGTTTTTTTGTCTTTTGAAATTGTTTAGTATTTTGACTTTACTTGTTGTATTACCGTCTTCATATCTTGCATGGTTTGTATGATTTTTATTATCTGTGTTCTTTACCTGTTATCCCTCTGTTTGAAGCACATTTAGCCTACGCCTGTCATATTGTGTTTTATAAATGAAGTTGAACTTTTTGGTGAACAACTTTTTATTGATTTGGCAGCGTGTTTACATACACATATACATTCTGAAAATTGTTCAACAGAAAGTTTATTAAATGGAGATGAACATAATTATTGTATCAACACTCAGTAAATAAATTAAGTTGACTTATTTAGGCTCATTCAAAAACAGAAGAAGATTCTTTGGATGGAAACCTTCATAAAGTTGCTCACTGAGAACTGCCGAACAGTGTGCGGACCTTTCTCTTTTTTCTGTAATTTAAAACATTTAAAATTGTATTTGTTCCTTTTTTGCTTTTCGCTTACAGTATTCATGTTTATGGAAACAGTGACAAAGTATAGATCACACAGATCAGTCAAATCAGAAACATTTTGAGAATTATTTTTTTTGTGTAGAAATTTGGTAGATAGATAAAACCTCTGAAGGTAAGATTGTGTGCCGCAAAAATACAAACAGAACATTAACGTTAGTGACGTACTTACTTTATCATGAACGCTTCTCTTTATCAGACGTTGTAGAACGACACTTTGAATTGCCATTACACTTCTGAGTTAACAGTTCAAATATAAAACATATGAACATAAAAGAGATGCATTGTTTGAAAAGTCAACGTCCCTAAAGTGAAGGGTATGAAACAGATACATTATTAGTACTAAAAAATAAATCATAATGTTTTTACACTATAAAACTGACAGGTGTCATTATTCTGTCTTTCAGTTTGTTGCTTCTACATTTACGCTTTTACTTGAGATAAACTTGCCTTGTATTATAAATGTATATATCTTACATACACTTCAATTTAAAACACTGATTATTCACTGCCTCATATAGACAAACCCCTTCATATATACATCTTATTTATACAAACTACAATATTAAATCTCTGTATCTTGTCTCAAGCTCTCTTAGCTTGTTTGATATTGATGTACATTTTTTATTCTTAGAAATCATAATTCTCCAGTTTAAATCCAGTAATGAGAATTGTTCCTTTGGTTTAAATAACGAACTAAAAACTGGTTTCACAAGAAACAGAATTTGAAAAATGACATAAACCAGAATCTGAAAAAAGTTATGTTAATATTGTGATTTTATTTGACTTAAAAACATAGCTTTATATTCTACAATGTTCCAATTCATACATGTTTCATTAAGGCAGCTCTAGATAGATGTTCTTATAGCCTACATTTACAAAGATTTCTTCAATGGGCCACTATTTCCAATTTAAACTGTAGATTTTTATTTTTTTTAAATAGTATTAGGATAATTATTCTTGTTGTACATGTTGTTATTATTGTTCTGCTTAATGACACTTTGCTGCTTTTGTCTGCCTTAAATATGAATGATTTTAGACTTAGATTTTCTCATGTGGTGTATTAGGTCCTTACAGCTGACTAAAATCAAAGATACTGTTTAATACGTCACATTCATGCAATCATTTAAAGCTGTTGTTAATGGAGATCAGAATATCTAAAACACAGTTAAAATAAAGAGATTAGGTCACAGTATGGTAAATGACATTTCATGAGTTACCTGTTTGTCCTTGGAGCTTCTTTTATTTTCTGTCTGAAACTTCTCAGCTCAGCTCTGTTGCTTCTTCCCTTCGTCGAAAAATATGCACAGAACAAGAATATCCTCATCATATTTCATCTCTCGCAGACGGCCCAGGTGAGGCGATGTCGGCGTTTCGGCGCACAGGTGAGCAGCATTGTGAGAAGTGACAAACTTTACGATAGGCTGTGCGTCTTGAGCCCCTGCAGGCTCCGCCCCCTCCATGCCGGTGTG